ACGAACGTCCCCCCCCCCCTTCCTCTTCGATGCTGTCTCGCAGCTTCACGTGATATAATACATTACTACACCTCGTGCAGTTGCCGAGAGAGAGAGAGAGAGAGAGAGCGGTGATGTGTTATATGGCGCGTGCCGTCTCTCGCGCGCAAAAAAGTCAAGGGAGTGCCTTTTGTATTTCGATAGTCTTCGATGTTTTGTTTTCACGCGCGCGCGCTTTTATGAGTTTTATTGTTAAGCTCCATTGAGAGGCGCGCGATTATGACGCCTTTATCGCATGCTCAATGAACGACATGCGGCATAAGCAGATTCTTTTCAAGACTAATATTTCACGTAGCTCTAGACGCCTCACGCTTAGCCTCTTTTCTTTTTTTCTTTGCTTTTTTTCTTGTTTATTTACTTTTTTTTTATCGAAAATTTCTGATCGTGTGCGAACAAGTATACTTACTTCTCTGCGATGACGAAGCTAACGAAACCCGCGTATTCACATACAAAATTTGCATTCTCATCATCACTCCAAGACAATTACTTTGATTTAGAGATTAAATTACCATCAAGTTTGATAAGATTAGCGCACTAATTACTACTACATTTTTTAAGTGGAAGAAATCTCAATTAGTTTCAGCATATAGCAATTCAACTGCGATTTTTCAAGCAAGAAAGATTACGGTTTTGCGATAAGCTATGCGTGCGCTCTTGTCCAAGCATATTTCAAGAGACAGCATAGAAACACAGATCGCAACAAGCTGGCTTACAAAGGATCGGCAGAGAAAGACGGAATTCACGCCAAAACCTTGGCAGGCGTGAATTTAACGAAAGAGCGCAATTGCACGAGTGAGCAATCGTAGAAAAGTCGAAAGAATCAATAATCGTCGGAGAGAGAGGGGGGGGGGGGTAGTGAGAGCACGAGTGCGAGTTGCCTACCCATGCGAGCCGCGTGAAAATCGTGAGAGTCTTTGGCGTTGCGATAAACATCATGCGGCGGCGGGCGCCAGCAGCAGTAGCATCCAAAAGCTCCAGTTTTACAAAAACGACTGCGCAACTCTCGCGCGTTCGCTGACGCTGCGTGCGCTGCTTTAGCGCATCGATAGCCGACAAGAAGCGCAGCTTAATTATCGTCTGGCGTGAAGTAATTTGGCCCTCGTTTGCTCAACATCAACTCGCACGCGCGTACTGACACACACACACACACACACACACACACATAAATATATATACATATATGCACGAGTTTCGTCATGAATATTTACACGTATACGGATGTGCTGCTATACTTGCGCGCGTTTGGGCCCATTAGACAAGCCGAACGCCAACATTTTGTGCTCGCATCTCTTGAGCATTGTCCAAAAGTTCTTTGTTCAGTTGAGGCAATGAGCGTAGACAAAATGTGCAGGATTCTGGGTACGTTGCCGAGGATGTTAAGTCGGCCGTAATTAAAAAGCGTCGTTAAAGTAGAATAATGAAAATCTGCTTTAACGGCCTTGGCATGCATGCGAAATAAATCCGAACGACGCTCGGTTAATTATCATAAATAGCTGCCGGGCGATTTTTCCACACTGTACATCTTAGAATAGAAAGAAGCAGTACCTTGGCACGTTTCGTTCGCTCAGTGAGATGTCACATGGCGCACGGTTCTCGATACCGCTCTCGTTAATTTGAACATCGATGTATGACTTGCGAGAGATATGAAAAAAAAGTGTCGAATCAAGGCAAACTCGAGCCTTGACGTATCGTTCGCAGATCATACTCACTGCGGTTTCACTGTTATTTATCACCCGGGCTCCCGCGTACTTACGCAAGCGGCACGGATTTTAATTAATTTTTCATTAGCCGCGATAAATTTACTCTCCCGGCGAGCGCCGCGCGCGCACGGGCAATCAAAAAGTGCGCTGATTATGCAGCTCAGCTGCGCGCGCGTACGAGAGAGAGATGCTCGTCTCAGCTATTTTTAAGGCTCTTTTTACGACGCAACTCATCCTCCTCCATTGTGGAGGAGGGGAGATTATGATTAATTTACGGTTTAATGTGCCAAATTCCAAGCTAGTTACCTTCTTCAGCCAGCAGTTATTTGCCAATAGTCGGCAATTTGAGTACACAGTTTTTAAAAAAGGAAATCACCGCGTGATTGATGAATGATTACAGTGCGTATGCGCTTGTAGGTGGAATTCGGTGATTCAGCTTTAATTCGGACAACGGTGTTTCCTAACAAATGCAAATCGACTTTGAATGTACGTGGCTAACGTTCTAAATTATCTTAAGTAGATTATTAGTTATTACGATACGCTCGTTGCAAAGCTGTTAGCCAAATAATTCGCAAACATTATTACATGGATTTCGTTCTATTTTTCGATATTATACTTCATAGTGTATACGGAAGTTCGACAATACTGTAAAGCTTGGATTTGTTCGTCTGTTTCCAGAAATGTAGTTCATATTAATGGAAAATCTTGCATTTTCTGATATATAAAAAAAACCATTCCATATAAAAAAAACTTATTTCACGAGCAAACGCTTAAGTTTTTTCTAATCACTATTTTCATAGTAAATGTTGAAAATTTTCAATAATCATAAAACGCTATCTGCGTCAAATTTAAGTGATGCGTATACCTCTTATAAAAAAAACTAGAATGATGTTCTAAAATTCATCAAGACAAACTGTCAAATATAGTTATTATTGTATCATCCACGCAAATATAATTAATTTATTCATGCATTAAAGACTTCGTGATCTTGGTTCGTTTACAAGATTTCTAATTCAAATCAAACACTTGAATATATGAACAAGGTACCCAATGAAGTCTCGCTTGAGTGAGCAGTCGACATGAGTGAGAGAGAGAGAGAAGCAAAATAAGAAAAATAAAAAATAACAACTCACGTCTTGTTAGGCTTTGATTTGATTTTTCAATCATGGCATACTCATCCTTTCAAGTGCTTACGTACATACACACATACAATCAGAAAAACGTTTTCGACTCATTGAGATCTCGAAATATGACGCGGGAGCGTGAGCGTGCACACGCTCACCTCGGAAGCCATTAGACGGGAATGCGATGTATCTTCTCTTCTCTCGCGTATCCTTCGGCCTTTGTGCAACCTGCGCGCGAATTAGAACCCTGACGAGGACAGAAAAACGTCATATTGGCACATGGGCTTTGTGTGCTGTTTTAAAGCGAAGCTTTTTTTCACCAGCGAGCAACAAAGGACCGTCAATGCCGAGATTGATTTTTGCCTTTGCGAAACAAAATTTTTTATGCCATGTGTGCGCCGGTGCACTCTTCATTTGCCTATTTGCTATTGCAATGGGACTCATTGAGAAATGGATTGAGATTGAGCCATCATAGATTCGCCAAATAATTCATCAATTTTTTTTCATCGTCATCAGTAGCATATATTGATGTAGCCTCGAGGATATCTAAGCGAAGTAAATGTGAATTTCGTTTCAACTGTCAAGCCAATTAGAAAGTTTGATTTAAAAAATAATGATAACTTTTTTTCTTTTTCAATTTGCGTGAATATCGATTATGTTTCGAACGTAAACGAAAGCTCAGGATAGCGCGTTATCACGTACACATGCGACCACATTTCCATACAATTTTTCAAACGTAGAATAATTTTTTTGAAGCATATAATTATTTTTACACTTTTTCCAACCATAATGTCGATATTATTTCTAAATCTATCAAATATTCATTGATACATGATAGACAAATAAGTAGATGACTTATTTCTGAATATTTCTGCATCGAAATTAATAAAACTGAAGTATGCAAGTATGAAACTATCCATCTCTCGATGTATTTTATATGATTTAAAAATATTCCTGACGTAGGTTGCAATGTAAAATATCATATAGATTTAGTTGAAAAATATAAATATAAACAAGGAAAAAAGATAAATTCGCAGCCAAGGAAATATTGATTGTTTCTCAATCCTACCTGTCACTTACAATTTAACATGATTAATTAAATTAACTGACATTTCGATTTTGCGTTAAATAATCGACTAAAGAAAGAAAAAATTTAATTACGCGTGTCGATTCTCTTCGCAATGGTATTATTTGTCGAATTACAAGTGTATCGCAATTCCATCAAAGCTTCCAAAAACTACATTCAGCCCAAACACTCGTTAGCTTTGCCATCTGTTGCGAGTCGATGTAGCTTTCATTCGATTTCCCGACGCGTTTGCTAGCTGGGCAAAACGAAATAACAGGCGAAAAAAGAAAAGCACAGATAGCGTAGCGAGCTCCCATGCAGGATTTTCACGCTCAACTTGACTTTCCAATCAACTCGCCGTCACTAAAATCACTCATCCCCAGAGGAAACAACAAATCAAAATAAAACAAAAAAAGTGCGAGTAATGGAGAGAAAAGGAGAGGAAAGACGAAGTAGTAAGTGGTGCACTTATTGAGTTCTATCAATTACAGGGACAATCGGACAATGAATAAAGTAGTGCGGTGCCTCGAGCAGATTGTGTGAAGGTACGCGCAGACACATGGAAACCGCGCAAGGACGAGAGATAATAACGAAACGATGGATGATGCAGTAGGCGCGTGTATGATCACAAATAGACATCACGCACACGTCTCCCACCAAAAAAATCTCATAAGCTTTGGTAGCTATGGCCGGCGGCAGTGGCGACTGCAGTAGGCCACCCTCCGAGGGAGAGATGAAGAAGAAGAGTCGTGGTAGGAGGCTGTTGATGTCGCAACGGCCTTGCTCGTGATGTTACACATATCGGGAGAGGAGGATGATGATCCGCACGCGAGAGGTATAAAACTGCGATCCCAGCATCGGCCACCTCGCACTCGTAGTCTCTCGCTCTGGCAAGGACCTCCTCCCCCAGGCAAGATCGACCAGCAGCTTCCCCCCTGCGACGGCTTTGTTCTCGATCCGCGCACACATCGCCACGCGATCTGTTGTGTTTCTTATTCTTCTTTTATTGCTCGTGGACGCGCTTCTTTTATACTTGACTCCGTTCATTTCTCTGTCACGAAAATACTCGCAGTGTGATCGCTGCTTCTGGTTGAACAGCCAAACTCAAATTTAGTTTTGTTGGCAATATGAACGTGAGTATTTTTACAATTTCCTATGAAAAATTAAGTTCATTTTATGAAACTCAAAGAATTATTCCGTACAAGTTTTCATTTTTATTTTTTTTATTAAGTTTTTCTATTGTTATCCCAACGTTTTACATTTCGGAGAAGTTATTCAACAGAAAAACGATTACAAATTTAATCCAGATTGTTTATTTCCGAATCTAAAAAATTGCCATAAGATACTAGTTAGCCGAATAGTTTAATGCCGATTAGAGTAAGCAAGTAAGTATTGATAATGAATAATTATTCATGAAAAAATCACTATTTACTCGCAAAAATAGAATATCTTGAATAGTGAGAGAATGGAGCTTTTGTTATTTATAAAGAAATTTCATTTAACCAATGACAATTAATTTGTCTAAGCATGTATTTTTTCGAGAAGTAGCATAGCAAAAGCCACTTATAAAAAAATTAGTTATAATTTTCTTTTGAGTGCAATACTTACTATCACCAGCATTGCACTTCTAATAAGACTTAATCATAACTTTGTAATATCAAATTATATCTTATTATTTCTGTACAAATGAATCAAAAGGTTTTCAATTACAAGCATGTTGAACCATCAATTTCAAAATCAAGTTACTACAGCGGTAAAAATTGAGTTTTATAATCCATTGTCATACGAAACATGCAATAAAACTTCAAACTATTACTCTGTAACAATTTTCAACGTTGAATGAGCGGCGCCATTTGTGTAGTGATATTAAAACAAACTTAATTGTTCTCCAAATTGAACCGTGTAAAATTGAATTCTATTGTACTCTGGTACGTACACAATTTTTATAGATCTATTCCTCTCCGCGTTGTGTGTTAGTGACTTCTCATTTAAAGTATCGCTGAAATGTATCAAAAGAAAATATAATTTTTCCCACCATTAATACCAAAACATCTTCTCACAAAAGTGCATTAATTATAAAAGAAAAAGCATTAATATCGTCATCTGAAAATATTGAAAAATAATGATCAGCTCAATTTGAAAAGAAATCAATCATCATTTGAAATACAAAATTAATTCACCCTCAGCGAGACGTTTTATTTTCAACAGCACATCATATTAATTAATATTTTGCTCACGTGACAAGTTGATTTGAGGTCGTTGGTTATTTTGCATAATAAACTTGCTTGCAATAACGTCTCATTATTATTCGCCATAAAGCCTAGTTCCCGCGAAAGTACGCCGCTCTTGTCGAGATCCCAGCGTCCCTTAATTAAACTAAAGAATAGAATATATTTGGTAATAAAGGCAGATTCGCTGACGTCTGATTTTTGCTTTTTCAATTAAAATTCAGCCGAATCAAAACACTACGGCAACGCCACCGCCAGCGGACCAGAAAAAAAAAACGAGGATCTTGCATAACTGTTCGGCGCATCCGCGTTCCGCGTCTCGAGCCTGCCCGCCTGCCATGTAGCATGAGAGAGGTAGCGGGAGGAGGAGGGGGCGTTATGATTGCCACCCGTAAATCAACGTGCGATCACCTACCGCGCGCTTCCCTTGCGAAACTGCCGTGCGTGAAGGTGAGAGAGGATAATAATGGAGAGGGCTTTTTTCGGAAGCAGCCTGTGCCAGATGCCTATCGCTGATTTGCAATGGCGATCCTCGTCGTCTGTGCAAAATGCTTGCCGTTTGTGGGCAATTTTGAAATGCCTCGATGACAAAGTTTAGCTCGCGACAACACGTCGCTCGGCCAATTCTTCCAAAGTGACGAAAGCTCTTGCTAATTTATTTGACGCTTGCTCTGCTCGTAAAATTGGTGACGCTATAATCTTGCTAATTGAGTCTGACGAGAGACGTGTTTTACTACTTTCTAGCGGCAGTTCTTTGACGTTTAATATTAACATTAACCGATCCAGCAATAGGCAGATGATTGCATAAAATAAACGTGTTATCATGTACTTACCTGCACACTCTGGCATTGATGATAAAACGATATTTGAGGTGTGATTACCATTACTCGGGAGGGGAACAGCAGCTAAATAGAAATTAAGAGCGCTTTTAAAAGCACGTTGGATTGCTGCGCGTCTTTTCAGTTGAGAGCGAGCACGCGAGAACGAGCATCGCTATAGGTCGGAAAAGAAGCAACTGCAAACATGTCAATCGGGGATTAGTCGTGGCGGTAATCCCAATCGATAAAGCGTTCGGCGGAGGTGCAGCGCTCGTTTTTCTCGTCCAATCGCCTCACTGATTTATTAAGCATTAGAGGCATGTTCTTTCTCTGCCGCTCTCTCTCTCTCTCTCTCTCTCTCGCTCGCGTCTGCACACCGCAATTGATTAATTAGCAAACAAGCGTTTAAGCAAGCGTCGCCATTGTTCAGCTTCTTAATTTATACGCTTGCGTTCTGTGACGCCGCGTGCCTGTAATTTGCGCCTGAAATTTATTCCATTTCGGCAAAAGCCTTCCAAGATCGCGCGCACATACGTATACGGGGTATATGCTGATGCACGACGCGATTCAGACCTACGCGCATTCGTATGCGACGTTTATTTAAATCAGACGATAAATGCTGCGCGCAAGGGGCACCGCGACCTTTTTTCCTTCCGCATTTACAAAGACAGCCGCAGATTCGAATCCTGCTTGTCGTCCGATCCCCGCAACTTATTCACGAAAGATACGTCGAATATGCGACTTTATTATTCAAGCGCCTTATCAGACTTGCGCTCATTACTACGAATATCCCAAAAATCATATATTATTATCACTCGAGCTGCAACGCCAAGTAAAACACAACATATTTTCCGAGCACGATCAATCCTGCGAAGCTTCTGCTCGTAAGGAACAGATCGAATCTTCCTTTACAAATTATTCCGTATACAACTTGAGTCTCTGACGATGTGATCTCCTATCGATTGCAGTCGCGCTAATTGAAGAAGATTTGCTTCCGAACCGACAGCTTCGCCCAGCTACACGGCTACGGCGCCATTATTCCTTGATCTCTCGCGCGCGCGCGGCAGACACCAAGCGGAGATCTTCAGCGGGATATACGGCACCAGTACATTCCGCTGCAGATCTCCATTTTCGATAGCAACGAAGATTTTTGCATTTGTAACAAACCGTGACATGAAGTTTGCATAGTCTATAACTTGGGAGATTAACATACATACGCATTTTCGGGGCGCTTATTTTCAATAAGGACGTGCATTCGGCGCAATTCTTAATAAACCACCGCGATTTCATGGCGGCTCATCCACTCACGTAATCATGAGCGTGAAATTTCGTCGTAAAGTGTTTTGAAAACGCCATGAGCACGCACGCGCTGATAGTTTCCAGCCGAGACATTAATCGTGCGACACTCGTCGTAGATGCCCACAGGCGCACATACAACTTGCAAATGATGATATCGATGCCGTCATCTTCGAGCTTTGTTACAGATTCGTTTGCGTGTATCGTGTCTGTGTACGCGTGTGTGCTAGTGCGCGCGATGCGAGTCAAAGTTACGAAAGCCTATACCGGTGTGCTTCTTCTACGTTATTGCGCCAAAACGCGAAATTGCATTCGCACGCGCCGCCGTGTGCGAGCGGGACAGAAATGTAGCTATTACCGCGTGTTTCGAATTCGACGTTTTTTTTTTGCTTTCGCGTTCACTTTATTTTACCTCGTCAATCAGCTCACTTCAATCCCGGGTAGCTGATGGGTTTTCTCACCCTCCCCCCTTCCTCTTCATCGCTGTATGTTTCTATGCGATTGGTATTTTACTGAATTGTATTTATATATGCTTTTTCGAAATGCTGAATTCAAATGTCGGAGAGAGAACCGAGTGCGTTGATTTCATGGAAAACAAAGCTCGTAAATTATTGGGTTTCCCACGTTGAGTTTCTGCGGAGGTTGCGAATACTCGTAAAATATCGTCATCATTTTGCGCTTGATGAGCATTATTTTTATCTTTATTGTCTTCATGTTATCTTCATTCACCGAGAGTTTGCTAATGACAGCGCAACAAGTCGTCCATTAATTATCATAACGATTTACTTGCGTTTCAGTTGAAGGCGGACATATTTTTCAAATATACTTTTTTGTCAAACATGCTTGAGCAATGCGTTTCAAGATTAATTAAACTAAATAAAGTCTTGACTAGAATTCCTCGTTAAACTCTTACTTGAGTCAAATGAAATTAGCTTTTGTGAAGGGAGAAGTTTCACTCGAAACTTTCTCTAATTACAAAACAATCCAAGTTTTTCAAGCGTGGCATAAATATTTTCGGCCGTTATTATTAAACTTGACTGTTGAAAACATCCGAGCAATTGTTTATAAACTGTCCGACAACGCAGTTCAACGATTACCATGAAAACTTCCGGGAAACCTTGTAAGAAAACCTTGTAAGAGCGGGTGAGCTTACAAATATTCGACATTTTTACATCCGCAGGCAATCATCAGTCTATCAACATTATTACTGGCAGTACTTGCACTCAGCCGAGCGGAGCCGCCAGTAAGCAACCAGTACTTGCCGCCAGACCAGCAGTACGGACCTCCAGGAGTTCAGCAGCAGAGGCCACCGCCTAATCAGCAATATGGAGCTCCAGGATTGCAACAACAGAGGCCACCTAGCCAGCAGTACGGACCTCCGGGACAACAGCAACAGAGGCCGCCTAGCCAACAATACGGGGCACCCCAGTTGGGTGGCGGACGCCCAAGTGGACAAGGTCTATTCGGACAAGGCAACGGAGGCTCACTGTCTAATCAGTACTTGCCACCCAATCAGCAATACGGACCACCATCTGTCGGCAGTGGTGCTGCTGGATATCCCGGCGCAGGTGCCGGGGGTTATTCCAGTGGCGGCGCCGGTGGCTATCCGGGTGGTAGCGGCAGCGGCGGATACAACGACGACGCTAACAGCGTGAGTTTGCTCGCGCCGGAGATTGGCTATCGAATGGTTTCCGCAAATTCGGCCCTTCGCTCGCGCTCGACAACAGGATTTGTACCTATATGCCAGCGACATTGTGTTAAAGCTCTTTGTGCTCCCACGCTCGCTCTATTGACGCGTCTAGCTGCCGTGTGATTTTCACTTGATTGATAATCAGCATTCACTGCTAGAACCTTGCAAACGCTGCTTCAATTTTAATGTTGCTGTCGAACCCAGCTAACAATAGCCTACTCAGAATTACTTTTTTAAGAGTCCATTTTGACTTTCAACTTTAAACTAGAATCAAAATTATTTACAAATTTATTCATAAGCAACTAGTTTTACACTAGTTTATTTATAATATAAATATTCACTGTACGAAAACCCAAGTTATTTTCAATCTTCCGATCGGTTTGAGTGACCTACCTGTCGCACATGACTGTAAGGTAAAATAATATTTCATTGCAGGAGCCAGCAAAGTATGAGTTCGAGTACATGGTAAATGACCCACCCTCAGGCAACGACTTCGGCCATAAAGAAATGCGCGACGGTGACTACACAACCGGCGTTTACTACGTTCTACTTCCTGATGGTCGTAAGCAGATGGTCGAGTACGAGGCCGATCAAAACGGCTACAGACCCAAGATCACTTATATGCAAGTGAACAATGGAATTGGCGGTGGTGCTGGTGGTTACCCAAGTGGAGGTCCCGGAGGTTACTCGAGTGGAGGAGCTGGAGGTTACCCCAGCGGTGGGCTTGGTTCCGCTGGTGGGTACCCTGGTGGTAGTGGACAAGGTGGCTACCGTTACTAGAACTTTCCCAGCCATTTTTTTATTTTTTTGGGTCTTTTGCGTCTTGAACGTTATGTGCTTTATTAATGCCACGGATTCGAGGAACAAAGTACGTAATAGTCTGGCGTATTGTTTTTGTCGTCGAACATTGCTTCTATTGCAGAGCGCAATAAATATAGATAATTTTTTTTAACGAGGTTACTCATGATAAGTTTTGGTTTGCGACGAAGACATTATTAGCACGATAAAAAGATGTTCTTTACGCAGATGTGAAGAGAGACGCGAAAGACCCAATCAATAGTTATCAGACTACACGTCAAGCAAGCTGTTGTAAAAAAAGTAAAAAAAAAAGAAGAAATAGTCTATTAAGGCATCGATGGTTTTGCATAGAACCCGTTGCATATTAATCGAATTCGTTGCAGAATCCGCGAACGTCCCTCATTTCAATTAATCAAGTGTCGCGACAAGTGTAACTTAAATCGACTGCTCGACACTTGAAAATAAAAATGACAACGATATAATATATAATAATCTTGTTGAATTAATGATATTTTTATACGAACGATGCATTTACAGATGATGACATATATAACTTACCATACGTAGCCGATATCTTCCGTCGTATATTCATGATTAGTAATGCGAGGCAACGCAAAACGCTTCGTCGAGTCTGTAACATAGCTTATTGTGCTCATACGTAATATGCATGTGATGATCGAATAACACGTGTATCTGATTGCTGTACATCGACAGCGTGAAAGTAAAAAAAAATGTGAAACAATTGTAAAAGCGCGCAAGATCACGTGTATGTATAGTTTCTCTCTCCCCCGCTGTCTTTTTCTCTCTCTTCCCGACATGTATACCCTATACTCAATATATCGTGTTTGTACAATACAAATAATTTAAAACAGAAAGTGCTAGTGTCCCAACTGAATTTATTTGAATTTCCCAATGCACACGAGAACATCGCCTTTCCCTCTTTGTTCCTTTCGCATGCCCAATTTTCTGAGACACAGATGAACTGTTCAAAACGGCTTTTCTATCGAAAATGCACTTATCGTCGCCATCAAGCGCGAGCGCGGCGCTCTTCTTTTGCAACGAGCTGTACAAGTTGCGCAAATTGAAATATACTAATCCGCTGTCGATATCTATTGGGTTATAAAAGTCGCCAAAATAGAGATGCTTACCGCTCCACGAGATTTGTTTTTTAAGAGATTCTTCGCGTGAGCATGCCGAGCAAATAACCGCTGCAAGCTCGCTTATACGTTAATGCATTCAATTTTCGTTCGAGGCGATAAAAGCTCGAGTCAATATTACTTTAGCCCGAGTAATTTGGTGATTCGTGCACTAGGAAGCCAAAATTAAAAATATAAAAGCGTGGCTTGAACTTTCAGATCTACCTCGGGACGGAGATTAAAATTCTCTTATCCAGACACAGGGGCTGGTTAATCAACTGCACTTCTTTTGTGACAATGACAAGCCTGACAAATGTCCGACTTATCGCCACTGATGAATTTTCAATGCAGCTACGGATAATTGAATTGGCAACAGCATCGTTGTCTCTTATGGGCCTTCGCATAAAACGCGATTAAATAATTGAAAGCGCATTTCCTGCCAGTTAAGCGCGCGTCGCTCTCTAGCGTTGCTTATCATCGTTCAATGAATGCATTTGCATAGATTAAATCCGCGTTTATCTTGTAGTTGATCGTTTAATTGCATAATTTTGTAACGCGGCGCCATAAATGCGCGTGCGCGAAAGAGTACGACAGGCAAACGAAAGCGCCACTTGAGAAACATCACCAGGCAGGCAAACAATTAATTATGTCCGCGTATACTTTCGTTCGCGTGTAATTATTGAAAAGAAAAATTCTCTCGGGGCGAGAGCTATTACAAAATGAACGATCCAGTTCGTAGCGCGCAACAAAGGAGCCGCAGGAAAATAAAAATCCTCGAGGAAGAGCTAGAAAGAGAGAAAGAGAGACGTCTGACTGGAGCGCTGATGGCTGGAAATGTGAAAGTAATGGGAGAAAGAGAGAGAGAGAGAAGACGCACGCTGCACGAGCAGGCGTCTTCGTCGTGTGTGGCAATATAGACGTGATCTAACGGCTGAAAGATGTCGCTGCTGTCATTGGCGAGAGCGAATCCCGCGGCTAGGTAGACGAAATGATGGTCTCGAGGCAGAGCACGGGCGCGGTATCGATTACGCTTTTCAACGATTTTCAACCGTTGAAAATTCCCATCAATTATAATTCGCGTAACGCCGCTCAGCGCGTATACCTACGAATCTACGAGTCCGCTATTTCGACATCTCCGCCAGTTCTCATTGTAGTTTACTCTTCGAAGTTACAAGTTCAGATGAATTCACGTTCGGCTTAATTTTTTCAAATCGAGAGCGCCTTTGTTACACTACGTTGCCATATGTTTACCGAATTCAACAAATTAACTGTCGGCTGAAGCGAGGCACAAATCAAATTCCCACGGCGCGGCAGGGTGCATGGCAAAAGTAGCGTTGCCGCTGGGCAGGGCTCAACGTGGAAGCAAATAGCGTGGCATCGATGTGATTTCCGAAAGAACTGCATCATCGGCAGAGAGAGAGAGAGAGAGAGAGAGAGAGAGAGAGAGAGAGAGAGAGAGAGAGAGAGAGAGAGAGAAGGAAAATGAACGGCACGCGCGCTGAATCGAAATATGCACCACTAACTGCGACGCGCTAATATGCAAACGAAGCGAAATATGATTTTATGCTAATGCAAGAGCGAGCACATTTGAAAAAAAGAAAGCTTCAAAAGAATCGAATGCGAAGGCATGGCTGCATATATAGGAATCAGAACGACGCGACGCGGCGTTTGGAGGGAAAATTTGAATAGAGACGCTTTTACGTATGCAGCGTGCCTACATGTATCTCTGCTCGGATGAACTTGCGCGCCCATGCTACTGTGGATTGCGAGATGTCGCGGTGCTTGGGATATCTTTTTTTACTTCATTCTTTCGATTTTTTTTTTCTTTTCTTTTTTTTTTCGCCTTTCCTCCTTCGTCGCCCGTCGCCCGTCGTCGCGCCGTTGCACTACACCGTGCTGTCTTACATAAGCATGTAGTATGGGCCGCACGTCCTCGTCTAAAAATTCCAATTTTTTCCTCTTCTCTGCGACATTGTCTGCTAACCGTAAATTCCTATCTAAATTTTCGGATTGCCGCTTGGGCGCGCGGCACTGTTCTACTTCAGCCACATGAATAGATATTTGTGTGTGTCGAGGCCGCGACGTTAATTTACCGTATCTCTTGAACGTTTTCTTTTTCTTTTCCGTGTATAACCTACAGTTCGGTATTTTACTATCTTCCCCAAACGATCAAGACAAACACAAATACTTGGTAATATTGTAAGTATACATAAAAGTATGTGTATTTTGTACAAAAGAATAGTGTTCTCTTAATACATTACTACATCGTCTATTGTCATCGTATTAATACGATATAATCGGTTCAATCATCACACGCGCGGGTAAGCTACTATTATTACGTCAAGTCTACCTCTATTACATTATGTATACATCATCGTCGAAGCAGCGCGTCGAAATCACATTGCACGGACAATAAAAAAGAAAACAAAACACGAAACACATAAATCCATAGCAAGCTTCCGTCGCGTCACCTGGGTGCGATGATTGCAATGAAAATCGCTGAGCACGATACAAGTACGGTAAGTATACGGTCTGTATCACCTCTTACAATCAAAATCAATAAAAAAAAAATCACGAGTGCTCGCTTGACGACAAATTTAGAAGCGCCTCGATGAGGATACTTAAATACGGTCTTGACACTCTTTATACATGTGTGTGCGATCTGCAATAAAATTCACCGGGGACTAGTAGCCGAGGTTGTTGGCATTGCCATCGTAGCCAGCTAGGGCAGCCTTGGGTCCCAGTACCGTGGCAACATCCTCATACGAGATGCGCGGCTGGAAACCGTTCTCGTTAGCCTCGTACTGGACGATCTGCTTGCGACCATCCGGCAAGAGCACGCTGTACGAGCCGTGAGTTTGCGTTCCCTCGCGCGTCTCCTTGTGGCCAAAATCGTTGCCGAATTCGTCGCTCACGCGATACTCAAAGTCGTATTTCGCTGGCTCCTGGTAAGATTTCACGATTAGACATCTCGTATAAGCAATACTCTGGTCAAATTGTTCTTGAAAACTTACGGCAGGTTGTTCCGAGCGAGCCAAGCCGAAACCGGCAGCGCTGCCAGCAGCTCCATATTGATAACCGCTCTGATCGGCAGCGCCTCGGAAGTCGCTGGCTCCAGCGGCGGGCGGCAGATAATGGTCCGCGGATTGCTGGTACACATTGTTCTGGTAACCCTCGGCCCCAGACGAATAGCCCCCACTTCTTGCAGGTAACGATGTGGCCGCAGTGACAAGTTCAGAACCACCGAACTTCGGCGACTGTTGGTGGTGGTGGTGGTGGTGCTGCTGCTGCTGCTGAGGTTCTTGTTTCGTGTAAGCGGACCCATCGAGTTTGTAAGGCGAGACGGTCACAACGGAGACTCTGGCCGAAGGAGGTGTCGAGTGTTGTGACGGTGGTAAGTAGTCGTTCTTAGGAGTCGAAGGCACGTTCGGGCGGGCGGGTAAGTACTCGGCCTTCGGTGGTGTTGCAGGTGCCGTTTTCAGAGAAGCCGAAGCTGCTTGCCTGTTGGTTGCGTGCGGCGGCAAATATTCGTTTGAGGGTAAAGATGCGGTAGCCACAGGTCTCTTCGACGGCAGGTAGTCGCTCACCGGAGCTTTCACCGAAGGCCCGGTGGCTTGAGATCTCGACAAGGGCGGCAAGTAATCGTGGGCCGGTGGCGGAGGGGGAGGTGGAGGCCTGCTCGAAGGTACAGGCGGCGGCAAATAACCGTTGGCAGGTGGCAAAGGTCTGCTGACGTGTGGCTTTTCCGTAACTGGCAGGTAGTTGCCCGACGGCGCAGCCGGTTGTAGAGGCTGCTGGTGCTGTGGCGTCAAGTACTGCGAGGTTGGCTTTGCGGAGACGTCGCTTGGTGGCAGGTATTGCGAAGATGGCGGTAACGAGGCCACCGCTGGTTGCTTCTGTTGATGGTGTTGATTTTGTTGATGGTGATCGTGTTGCAACTGATGATGAGGAGGAAGGTACTGCGAAGACGAGGATGAACCTGGCGGCCGGTAGCCGGAGGGCTCGAGGCTGGCCAACGCCACTGCGGAGATGCAGAGGAACACACTGATGACCTAGGACGAAAACAAAAGTAACATTAATTTTATTGATTTTCAAAAATAACTAAAACTAAAGTTAAATCAATAGAATTTATCGAGAACTCAGTAAATTATCGCGTTGGATACTCGTTAAATTAACATACTTTGTTATATTTAAACAATTTTGAAAGTCAAAGTCATATCAAAGAAATGTATGTATATTTTATTAATAATCGCGATAGTAACAATTAAAAAATACTTTGAATATTTCGAACGCCCCCATTTACAATATGCTGTTATTATTACGTATTAATTTTCAATGGTTATTAAAATTATTTTATCGGTATCACAAACTGTCAAAACTTCACCAAAATGCACAATAGAATCACAGAAAAAAAGAAGTTCAGATAAATATAGACACAATCCAGCGGATCCATGAGGAAAAGCACAATAACCATATCACTATCGAGCACAAAATCACGATAAACGTGTAGAAAAGAAGAATAAGAAATATGCGATCGCAGCAAACCGTGAGCTCACCTTCATGCTTGTACGGCGCGAGCTCGGAAGTGAGTTTGCTTTTGGACCAGCGCTGGCCCGCAGTTTATATACACACGCACGCGTTACGATAGCAAGCATAGTATAGACTATAAAACGATCGGTGTGTGTGCTCTCCTTCTTTCTCGAGTACAAACGAGTAGCTCCCCGCGTGCAGCTTCCCTACTCCACACACACACGCGCGCGCGCAAGTAGTCCAAGTTGTCTATAGCGTTGTTCATCGTGCGTGAGCGCATCGCCGCCTCCCTTTCGCAACGAGGATAGAGAAAGAGCGAGAGAGAGAGAGAGAGAGAGAGAGAGAGAGAGAGAGAGAGAGAGAGAGAGAGAGAGAGAGAGAGAGAGAGAGAGCTATAGCAGTCAGCCGCACCGCTGCCGCGTCACATCGAGAGCAAGGCCACACGCGGGTCGCACTCGTAAGGGATCGGCACCGCATCGTTATTTCCTTGACTCCACGCTGAAGCAGCTTTGTTTGACGGCTGTCAGACGCGAAGAGGATCTTGCGTCTCGTCTGCTGCCTTTTTTCATCGAGTAAGGCCGTGAATACCGCTGCAAGGTGATGGCTTTCCCATCGCTATTGGACCACACTCAATTGCCAACAATGCCGAGGGCCTTTATCGCTCGATTGCCGCAGATGCTGATCTAACGAGTCAAGTAATTTCCTTGCCGGGATTGATTCTCATACAGTGAAATTGGACGACGGTTATGATCGTCATCTGCATCGTTGCAGCCGCTCATCAATCCAAACCTCTAATCAATTGCGCGCGACAATGCGCTCGAGACAGATAATCAACGATGCTCGCGAAAAATGAGATTAATCTATTGCGCGTTTATATGCTCATCAACCGGTAAAACTCCGATGGCTGTCAATTGGAAAGTAGCGAACATCGGCTTTTACGTAGTGATTTTGGTCACGCCGTCAATTGATTCATACGTCGCGCGAGAATTCTCCGGCAGCCCAAAACTCCAACGCGACAATTAAAACGACGTTTAGTCGATACTGAAACTCGACGTGTCGGAGTTATCCGTGCAGACTATCGATGAATAGCGTTACCCCGCGGATTCACGCAATTTTTAAAGAAACAAATTCAAGTTCATATTGAGTTTCTGTCAACGATCGCATGCTACGCTGTTTCCTCGTAGAAACTTGTCATTGGAGTCGCGCGGATGACAATATACAATTGTTTGATAATTCCGAATTAATGAATTCACCAAAATATTCAGCGTTAGCGATCGAAGTGTCAAGCGCGAAAAGTTGAAGAATCCGCTGCAAATGCTCTTGTTTTTTTTAATCAGAAGCGACAAAACTAGATGCGCGTTGTGTTTATGCAGAGAAAGGGAATGACGTTGCGAGAGCGTGAGAAAAATAAAGGCGCTCAAGCTCACTTGAATATTTTCAAATTGTCCAACCAAGCATAGTTAATGTCCCCAACAAGAAACTTCACAATGTAACTGGCGTGGCTGATGTAATTCAGAAGCACTGTAAACGCGCTCTTAGCGCTTTCGAAAATTTAGAGAACAAAGTGCACTTAACGTCACGCCAGTACAAAACTACTCGAGCACGCGGCGCGAGCTTGAATCGAATTTTCATTACGAGGCCATTGCACAACTGACCGAAACTCAAAAATGATAATTCGGAACGAGAATTGGGAGATCTCGTGGATGAGATTCATTTGCTTTGCTTCATCGCGCTGCGTCTTTATGTAACGCTCGTATGTCGAGCTCTCTTATCAGAACGACGTTTCTATCCAAGTAATGTCAAAATTGAAAAACTCTTGTAATAAACGCGCGTCGAGCCTATTGCAACGGGACATCGAATTTCGCAGATTTAATGATTTGCAGCTGCGGTACTATTTCAGTCTGGCACATAATTTAGAGATGCTGGTACATTATGAATATTTGAATGAATTTACACCCCGATAAATATTGCCCAATCGCGCGCGCGCGCGCGCACACACGTTTTACATTATTTATGATTCGGATCATTAGCTTTTAACTTTGCTTTTCGTCTTTACTGAATGATACAATCAATTAACCGCGTAATAAATGTGCGCGCATATATATAAGCTCGCATTCATTAATTGAAAATTCACCGGCTATACCGGATTAGCGAAACATCCAAAATTCGAAGCATCCAGAGAGATTATATCCATCACTTAGCAAATATATACTTATCGGCCGAATTCACGATTCGATTAAACGTATACCAAACCCGATATCAAAAGTTCTCATTTGGCGTATCGCAAGCGTTTCACATCCTATCGCGAATTGAATTTCTTATTTTCTTTTGCATGTATCCACATATCAATCAAATATCGTTACACCGACGTTAAAAAATATCGCCGTTAGAAAAGTTTGTAAGAAATTATAGCACTTGTAATTCGAAAGTGTCAACAGTACATATGAAAGAGAGTAAAGTCTTGCATACCATCGCGAGTGATCGCGCACCTTCAATACATACATAAATACAAACAGTTACGTTAGGCTTTTTACATATCCGCACACGTCAATCATCATTGTACAGTAGTAAGAAGCGAAACGTATATAGAGGTGTCATTAGAAGTAATTTACGCATCTTTGTTTGAAAAATGGTCAAATTATGAGCTATCGAAGTTGAGCATATCAATAACGCAGTATCGTAGGCTCGGTACGCACACGTCCAAATTACGCAAACGCTCCCGCAAGTAAATAACCTTGTGTGCGCCTTAATTAGCCTGACGTAAGGATGAGCGAAGATCGGATGAAAGAGAGTGAGCGAGAACAGAGGACGGATAAGACAGCAGTAGGTATAGGGGAGAATGAAGGTAAATGGCACCAGCAAGGAAGAAGCAGAGAGGATTCTTCCGCGCTCGCGCAAAGAACAGACGTGTCTAATTAGCGTGAAAAGCACTTCGAGAGTTAGCGATCCGTGGCGTTGCGCTCCTGCCGCTAGTGCTGCTATTACGTTCTACTCGACAGAAATACGGATGAAATGTTCCAATGTAAACAGTTATCGGTCACTTTCGGATAACCCACTGTATTTCTGGTAATGTTTTTGTTTGTTTCGATCGGTAACCTCGCTAAATTAATCGTAATGAAGTCGCGCGAAAACTCATAACGTATTATGCTAAAAAAATTGTTCATACTCGTGTAACTAAATCTAAATCATATCAAATTGAACGAACGGTCGATAGAAAGAAAGAATAAAACCGCTTCAATAAACTTCGGCTTTGGGCGAAATTGACGGTGTCGCGCAGTTCCCGGTGAAGCGCACTTAGCCCGGTAATTTAGCCGAAGCGAACGTTCACAACTCATAAGAAGGATCCCACTTATAATGGCAGTGCCAACATAGAGGCTGTACTACTCCCCTTCTCTTGGCATGGTGCACTTTGCTAACGTGCAGTACGCGCCTTACTCGATACACGTCACATTAATGCTAGACACGCGAGCTTTGTGTCCAAACGTGTGTATGGCGCTACTGTCGCTACATGTACAGCGTCTCTATCTGTGATTGCCCCGATCGATAGTTCCCTCTCTCACTCGTATGTACGCTTTGCCATGCTAACATATACCTAAAAGTTCAAGTGGATTGCTGCCAATTCTGTTTTTTTTTTTTTTTTTGGTCCGAATTTGTTTTACCGCTGTTGTTAGCGAAATTCAGCAGCTCTCGATCCTCAAGCCAAAGCTGCACAGCACACTTTTCATTTACTCGAATCGAGTGCAATGGTTTTCCGAGAGGAGAGAAGGCGAGAATTTACTTTTTTCTGATTACCGAAAAAAAAATGTATTTCATTTTAAATTTTTAATTTTAAAGCAAATTTTATCGCTATTATTTTTTCTTTGTTTGATTTTTTCTAAGCTTTTCGTGACTGCTCATGCGCATTTTCACTCAAATTACCTACACAGAAAACATGAATGCATTTCTTCTGTGATAAGTAAATTGAGAGCTAAAAATATATATAAACGAAATTCACAATTACTTTAAAAAATGCGAATTTATTACATTACGTTTTTCAATTTTTTCATTTTATTAAAGTTTCTTTTGTAGGGGATAATCAAAGAAAAAAATTCAAATATTCTCTTATCATAGTCTTGAAAGTCTATGCAAATTTCACCAAATTGAAAAGCCATCTTCGGAAAAATGAAAAGAAAGCCTCTCTCTCTCTCTCGAGGCAGACCTTTCAATGTTCGTCGCCGCGACTTCATAACCGCGAAATAAAAAAAAAGGGTCTCCAAGGAAAGGTAAGGAGAGAGGAAGCGGGCAGCTCGAAAAAACATGAGAAAGCAATATCCAACGTAAATCCATCTTTATTGACAGAAAAAATGAAGAGGAAGTAGAAATTTCGTAGGCCGAGGTAAACAACAACTGCACAGTCGGAGAAATGCAGTAAGCTTAGTAGGGACCTCCGCCGGGATAAGCGGCTCTGTCCGTCTGGACGTTTTCGTAAGAGATTTTCGGCCTGTAGCCAGCCTCGTCGGCCTCGTACTCTACGATCTGCTTACGGCCGTCTGGTAAGAGGACACTGTAAGAGCCATGAGTTTTGGCACCGTTTCGCGACTCCTGATGGCTGTAGTCATTGCCGTAGTTGTCTTTTACTTGATAGCCAAAGTTATACTTCGCAGGTTCGCTGCTGGAGTTATCCTGCAAAGAAACAATTAGGGTCAACTTCCAAATAGTAAGTCTTATTGCTCGAAAAATAAAAATAAGTTCCAATAAGATTTTGCATCAAAATCGAAATGAATTTTAATAGCAATAACATTTTATTATGTTAAAATATAAACAACCTTTAATTTTGTTACGTAAACTTCATTTTCAGCAGGCAGTACAAATACTTTTGCTAAAAGCTGTTCAGTAATAAATTGGTTCATTCTTTTAATTACGAAAATTACACTTGATCAAACTGATGGAAACAAACACATCCAAACAAACATAAATAAACTCATTTCTCTCAGAAATATTCTTATTGAAGTGCAACATTCAGTTATGTTGAAATTCCATAAAACGTAGTTTTCTATGTTTGTGCAAAAAATGTAAAATATGCGAGGGCAGATATCAATATTGAAAGAGCGTAAAATCAAGGAATCTCAGTTGAAATCGAATCGAGCAAAGACGAAAAGAGAAAGATGGTATTGGTCCGATCGGATGCAAAGTTTGCTCTCTCAGAACCCTCGCGAGAGAGAGAGAGAGAGAGAGAGAGAGACCAAGAGGCAAAAAAGTCTGTATTACACAGTTGACGAGTTGGTTGTATGTGGAGCGCCTTCAAAACTTGAACCACTCGAAGTCGCGGTCGAGCAATTTCGGTATACGAAAGAGAGTGCGAGAGTTTTTCGAGAGTGAAAAGTATAAGAGCGAGACGTGATTTTCTGTCAGCTGGTGCACGAATTTCGTATAATGATACTCGGAACTTTTTAAGTTCGTTACCGAGTTCCATTTTCTCTCCATCCACCACTCACCGCCGCCGTCGTTTTCTCTGTCTGTATGTACATGTGAAGTGGATATTTGCAGCAGCGCATCGAGTTACTGCAGGCTGCAAGCTACTTTACGCCGCGAGCTATCTCGTTATATCGCTCTTGTTTATCAAGAAGAATAACTGTAATGCATTGAAGGTCCAATTGCGACGTATTTATCCTAATGAAGAGATACGTCAAAGACATAGTTACAAAAAATCTCAAGAAGCTCAAGAGATCCAGAGACATCGGCCGGTGTCACCAATTCCTACAAAGTTCTTGCGAACCTCGCGTTTGTACAGCGTTCACATTAGATACAAATCGATGAAATGAAATATTCCGATTGGACAATGAATAAGTACGACCTCTTTCGTTAAATGTCAAGCGTGTCCGCGCAGCTCTTTATCAATGAATTTTTATAACGATGTCATCGCTCAAGAGAACGGTCACGACTCGAATAAAAAGGCTACACGCTGCACTCTCCCGATATTACTTCATTGGCCGTACCTTCCCATAACTCTAATATGCTTCTTCGGTAAACAATGCTTTACTTGTATCTACTATAATTTATATCGTATTTCTTCGTATTTGCTTTGTACAAGTCTAGTATCGTAAAATTGACTCCTAACGATAGCTCCACTTTGACAATCAAAATTTATGCTTTTTTTCGTATCATTAATTTCTTAATTCTCAATAAATTCAACTCACTTCGTGATTGTGGTGGTGGTAGTCTCTCAAATGGGCGTCATTGTACTCGGGTACACCATAGGAAGTGGAAAGTGCATTGAAATTTTGCGCCTTGACTACCTCGGGCAAGAAATACGTATCTTTTGGCGGTGCAGGAACATATCTACTCGGGAGCGCGGAGAAACTCTGGTTTCTGTTGCTGGGCGGCAAATAGGTGCTCGCCGACACGCTGTTATAATCCTGGCTAGATTGGTAACTTGGTGCTTGGTAGCTGCTCTGGCTACGTCGGTAGCTAGATTGGTGCTGGTAATTGTTTTGAGATGCTGAGTAGGTGTTTTGAAGACGGCTACTGCTGCTGCTGGCAGGCAGATAAGTACTTGACGGAGATGGGCCACCGTAACGAGAACTGGGTGGCAAGTAACTTGAAGATAAGCGATAGCCAGCTGGTTCCAAACTACACATAGCCGATCCTGCTAATATGGTTAAGACTGGCAGGATCTGTGAGTATAACAATTTTCATATAAAAATGCAGTCTTTTTGAATGGGCGATTTTTTTTTTTTATATAAAAAAAATTTTTAATTTTTGTTCAATCCTGGCACTAGTGAAAAATAAACGAAAAAATCTTTCAATGCCTTTTTTTCACATTTTTACATTTGCGCACAGAGATGAAAAGAAATCTGCGTCCACGTATCAAACGAAATCGACATTCGAGAAAGAAAAATTCGCGTTGTGAGTGGCAAACACGCGGCGAGAAAAAAATGTACCTGCATATCGAGCGAGAAAAAAAGTAAACGAAAGAGCCGATAAGTCCGACTGCAGTCGCAGACGAAAAAAAAATGATACACATTGGTAAGCGAGTATGAAGCTTTATACTTATAAAGATCATCCCACCACGCCGAATCTTCTTCCGCATTGCGCCATATCGCGCAGTAATTGTACGATGTTTCAACCCATGGGAATTTTAAGGGGCGAGCGCGATTTGCGTGCAAGGTCGTCGGAATTTTTCTTCGCCACTCTCGCTGCCGCGCTGATTTCGCGCTGTTTGCGCGCACGAAACTTTTTACAAATCGCAAGCAGGCGGATATAGATTGTATTCTCTTTCATCGGCGTTGCCTGTCCTCGACCTATCATCCTCTTGTTCTAACGCGAATATACGTTGAACTTTTTCTGCAGCGACAATACCAAGTATTGTTAATGTATGCGCGAGGTCATATGTCGATTATCGGATGTTGATTTCCGAGCTGTTCATTTAAAGGATATTGTACGATCGTGAGATAAATATAAAAACAAAACAAAAAGCCAACACATTTTTCGATCGAATGGAATTCAAACCCATTCCAATTTAGCGATGTAGCCATTGTTTTAAACGGGACTGTTATGATATGAATTATATAAATTAGCTGGAGTAGAAAAAAAAATGTTTGTAGGTAGATGGCGTAACGCTAGGTAATTAACATGTCCTTTTTACGCGTGAAAGCTTCGTCAAGCATATTTTACTTGTCCATTAGCATATTCACTTTGTGCGTGAATTAAAAATATTTTCCTTTCCCAGGCAATCGGTTTACAAAGTGTAATCTCATCTCTTAACCTTTTTGATTGTATCAGAAGTTTTGAATTTACGTGTAAATTCTCAAATTTCAACTTGGCCTTTTCGGGGAGGGTAAAACTCGTCTAATCGAAAGTTTTACTATGGGGAAATCAAAATTAATCTCGTTGTTTTTCATTTTCAGCGCGAGAGCAAAAGTTTTGTGGTCAGCGAGCTACTTTGGTATTCATTGAATCTCCCTCGGCAATGGGATTTAATGGCATTCAAGTATAATGTGACTTTCGCTTTAGCCAGTTGTTATAAAACTTTTATGAAATTTTTCCAAGCAATCTGTAGACTGCACGTAATGTTATGAATGTTTGAACTCGTCTCAATCCTGCGGATGTAGTGAATCGGGGAATAAAATTAAATTACAGTCTACAACGAAATGATCGCTAGTTTGACTGATACCGACATAACATGACATCGAAATCAAGCGGGCGATCGATTTTACCTCAGCCGAACAAGTCATGTAATAGCGGTCTATCTGTCAAATAGAAGATTCGTGCAAACAATAAGCCCTATAGGCCAAGTGACATAGCTTGAAATGAACAGCGACTCACTTTAACGAGTGAGTGTAATATCTTACAAAAGCCGATCAAGATGACGCCATACAACGCACATTCTTTAATGGCGCTTTGTTTCGGGCGACCTCTTCCCCTTTCGCCAAGTTTCTCAACGCGAACATCCTCTGTGCTCACCTCTTTATAGCTTGTTTATTCGAACTCTATTATTTTTTTTTTATTCTTTTTCGTGTGTTTTTTTTTGTTTTTGTTTCTATTTTTTCCCAACAATCACGCTATTTCATTAATCCTCGAGATGGAGTAATGAATACATCGCTTTCTGGTAAGACGAATGAGTCTTGGTTTCGTGTAGAGACACTATTACCGCATGGATGCATCAATTGCAAGTGCAAAATGAAAGCGAATTAGTTTTTAGCCGTATGTCAGTAACAAATTATGAACTGCGAGTGTTATTGTCAACTGAATTAGATAATAACGAAGCTCCCTGAAGCTTGAATGCACGATATCTTTGCTAGGTCGCGTGTTCTCTCCTATTGAGTTAAATTTTCAGTTCGATTGGCCACTAACATTTCATCTGGCAGAATCCCGATTTTATATTTTTACGTTCTCGCGAGCTATTTGATTTTTTTTATTTATGCGATAACGAATAGCATTTACGAAAGTAAGCTAATTATTTGCGGCTCAATTGAGTGAGATATGAAAAGCACGAGCTGTTCAATGCAGAACAATCTCGTTATTCAAATGGAACGTAAAAAATATAAAATCGAATCGCCGAATCATAAACAAAAAGAGAAAAATCTGTCGAATAGCCAACTCGCGTGCAAAATAAAAAAAAAAACTGTTATCTGTAATAACAATTTGGCGTGGGCTCGGCTATCATCTCGATTTCGCGCGAGCTGAAAAAAAAAAGAAAATAAACGCGAAACGAACGAGTAAACCATAGAGTGCACCAAACGAAAAGCTGCTTCGCAACAAAATTGAATTTCTATCTAGGGCGTGAGAGAAAAAAAAGCTTTGGCTACATATAACGCAACGGGCATGTAAAAAATCAGACGGCGCACTAGAGTGCAACGACGGCGCGGAGAAGGAGAGGAGGGCGAATGTTGACGCATCGCTTTTGTACAAGTTCGGTGCGCGCGAGTACAAACTTTGCAGTTTGCCTTTCAATTTGTCGGCTTTATCCGGAGGAAACGAACGATTAAAAGTTTTTGCGGCCGACCCTCTTTCTTGTACGCGAACCCTCTCGTATACGACTTTTAGGTGCAAGGTGGAACGCGCCGCGTTTCGGTGTACATGTCATTCACTGCCGCTTCTTTCTCTCTCTCTCTTTCTCTCTTTCTCGTTATCCCCTTTTCAACCCAGCTGCTGTATCGAACTTGTTAGCTATTTTAACGCTTGCCAAATGTGAGAGACCAATTATCAAAGCTTGATTGGGGCAGTATCCTTTCTTCTATTCGTCCAGCGATGGATATTTTCCCGTGAAACGTTTCACTTTTTACAGGTAGCATATATATACACGTTGTGATGGAAAAATTCGATGAAAAAACAGCTGTATTATTAGAGTAGCGCTTTAGAAAATATACTTTTGTTATTTTTCCTAGCAGCTGGATGGATCGCCGCTATTGGCGTAGCCGCAGAGGAGCTTATGAAAAAAGCATTTTTAGGAAAGAGCATTATAAGAGGATATGTCGCGCAAAAGTTGCTCGCTGCGGAATGCCGCAAATGTAGGGTAGTTCAGCGTACAAGGGGGGGAGGGGGAGGCGAAGCATCGCCGTCATAGCAAACTTTTTGCAATTCCATGCCTGGAGCTAAGGGAGTTTTTAGTGAGATGCTTTCAGGTGTATAAATCTCTCGTTGTGCATTCGAAATACCGACTAACAAACCTTGACTTTTTTAAGATTAAAGAGAAAATGAAAGAGACAAATAATAGCTGCGTTCCGCTGAAGTGTCTATGCTGTGCACATATAATTGTAACTAAAGGCAACTGGCAAGGCGATTGCGTGTTTTACAATCATTTTGAGTGGCTCTTCGAGCGCTTTGCAATTTATTTGCCATCGCGTTACGAGGCCATTTCAGCTGAGGAGTTTTAAAAGTTAATTAAGCGCGCGACTCTGCAAGGTAAACGCGGATAATGCAAACTCCCGCCCAAGATATTGCAATTGTTTAGTGAACTACGATAAAAGCTCACGCTCGCGCGCTCTACTCCCTTCAAGCGGCAATAAAAGCGTTTTAATTGAAATTACTATTCTCGGCTCTGCTTTACAACCCTTCGTAATAGCTCTCTCACTTTCGTTGAGACACTCGATCAACCATATAATTTTCCAACGGAGCGTTGAGCATCTCATTACACCGTCGTAGCTACGTTATGAAATAGAATAAAAAGAAAAGCGGCTAGCTGGGGATAAATCATGCGAGCGCCACGGTAATTGGTGGCGCTTGTTTAATCTCCGCGGCGAATTTATTATCGCGAGGTCTTTGGAGATTTACCGCGCAGCCCGAGACACTTTACGCGCACCGCCGGGGCGACGTTTTCCCAATAAAATGCCGAGTCGTTAATTTCACACGACGAGGAAAAAATCTATTTGTTTTTTTGACCGCGAAGGGAGAATAAAGGTAGCGTTCGATCGTTCGCGCGACCCACCTCTCAAGAAATTCCTCCTGTTCGCTCACCGAGTGGCCAAGTTTTTGAAAGAGTTTCGCAGAATAGAGCCGTAGTGTACGAGATATCGATGAATATTCAGCGCCTCACGATTTTTTCTTTTATTTTTTGTTTTTTCTTCCGGAGCGTTGCGCCTCATAAACCTTAACGTCTCGCTGCCTCGATCATTGTACGCAAAGCAGCGACCTTGCAAGCTTGGACCGTGAGCGATTTCGCAACCCATGTCAACGTAGAACATCTCGCTATCCGTGCGGCTAAGGATTCCTTCGAGAACACTTGCGCAACCGATCGCCTCACCGCCGCTTTCCGCGACACAAACACAAAGGAGCCTTTGTCCAAGCAGGATGCCACCAAAGACGCCGCGCGCGGAGCTTGAGGGCTTGCAATCCGAGGGGCGCCTCACTTGTCTCTCTCTCTCGCTGCAACAGCCGCTACTGCTACCTACTCTCCACGTTACCACGACACTGGAGGATCCTTGCTGCAAATTTCCACTTTATTAGGACACTCCCGTTACTATGGCCTTTGCTCCTCCCCATGCTGATGATTTTGCCTCCAATAAATTACCGACTCACGAGAACGCGACGTCAACGTGGCTGAGTATTGTAGCATTGCCGAGAAATGTTGTCCGCGAATTTTTATATCTCTTATCGGTATTCCAGGCGTGAGATTCAGACGCGCGCGAGGAGGCGGTGAAATTATATAGAGCCGAACAAAAAGTGCAACGTTTCATAAACGCGTCCATAGGCGAACATTTTATGTGTCACATTAAATCGCTAGACCGAACGTAATCTGCGCGCGCCAGCTCTTTAAAATGGATTTATAAAGCGTAAAATACTTTTCGCTTAACGCCAAACATGCGCCATTTTCATATACTAATCGCCGCGTTGCAAGCATATTTTCGTTCCACGGACGAGCCTGCGGCTCGTTTGCTGTGCGCATAAATTACATCTCTCACTCGACTACGTGGGCCCACCGCAGTTTTGTTTTCCCATCGCAAAAAAAAATGTGTAGACTTGACAATTACATTACCCAGGATTCGCTTAAATGCAAATTCGATTTTGTGTTTTTCACGTTAACAATGCAAAGGGTACAAAGGGTATTACGATGTTACGTGAGCGCATCATAAAAGCTCGGTTAACTCGCGAACGAAAAAAATGTAAAAGAGGATGAGAAAAGAAAAATGTCAAATTGCAATTGCGGTCCGCGTTCTTTCGAAACGCGCCTTCGCAAAGCGGCGTACAGTCAGAAACACGTAACGCGAATACTATAGCAATCGCATGTAGGTGCGCTTCAACGTCTCTAGTATGTTATTTCGGCGTTCGCGAGCGTCATGCACCAAAAAATTACAGTCGCGCGGATCGCAATCGTACGTCACTGATTTTCACTGTAGAACACGCGTGCGGCTGACAGGCCTAGAGAATAGTGCGGCCGATAAGATAAAAACTTGGGTAAACACCATTGAATGAACGAAGAAAAAAGCAAAAACAAAAAAATACGCGCAAACATAACGGAAGCGGGCAGCAACAGGCGATGAAAAGAGATAAAAAGGCGGCGACCATTTGCATTAAATGGCCCGTCTGCGCTAGACCGAATAGAAAGAGGCTGTGTGGCTAAATAGCGAAATGCCTTCTAACGCGTGGAAGTTGCGCGACCTTGCTACATTCGCATGACTTTTTGGCAAAAAGAGAGCACCACGAATTACTTCGGCTCAGCGCGACACGGTTCAATGCGTCTCATCGCCAAGATAGTAAGGAGCCTCTCTATTGAATTCGCATTTGCCGCCTAACTGGAAGAGAAAAGGCAAATAAAACAAAGCGCGGTCTACGCTATTTGCGTTTTACGATCGGCGCGCGTGGACGTGCACTTCCATAAACCCGACTTGGTATTTTTATACGAGACTCCTTTTTTATTTCGAGCAATGCGCCGTCTCTGAAGTTTAATTTCATTTGGAATCGGCGCATGCCCATTTAGAAGTGCACAACGACTCGTAAATGAGACGTATAGACTAACGCACTGACGTAATTAGCCTCGTTACATCGGGCAGCTGACAATTAAGCTACGACGGATTTATCCTTCAATCGGTAAAAGCTACTTTTTTGCCGGGACTGCTCAGCGCGGCAGAGCACGATTGAATTCCAAGGAAAATGTCGTCGTGCTCGATGATGAAAGATGCACGCGCGAATGTCGAACGTCATTTCCTCTTTCCAGGGGAAAAGTGCATCGATCCAGAGACGCTATATAAAAGTCACACGCGCGCGAGAGCTAGCGAAGACGTGTGAGAGGAATATGTGAAAACTCGTCTTCTTCTTCGCGCTGTGGGCCTCCCGCACTTGGCAAAGTGCACATCCGTTGGAAAATAGCTGCTATCTAATTCTCGCCGAAGCGGCAAAACTTCCTCGCCCTCGCACTCATTTCATTTTGAAAATTCATGCTTACGGCTCGAGCCTTCGCAACTGAGGGCATAGTTGTCGCCTACTCGTGAATCAACTATGCGCGGCGCCTAGATCCAGCCTATCGATTTGGTTCTACGTGCAGTCGACGATTTTGTCGAGTTTATTATTTCAAAACCACTCAATTTATCTCCTTGTTTCGCGTGTTTCAAACGTGTAGTTTTCCGGTGCTGTTTTCACGTTTACAGGTAAAGCAAATGAAACGCTGAGCGATTCATCATTTTTCTAGCGATGAAATATTCAAATGCAAAAAAGCCAGCACATACAGATGGAACACATAACTAGCAAAATATGCTTGATATTCCATGTAAAGTACATCCGCCTAATCGGAGCGTAGAGCTGCAATCACGTCACTCCTTGTGCGACCATGGAGTCATCGTCTCCTGTAGACACGTTGAATTCCGCGCAGTAGCGTTGCACAAAAGGGGCTTCATCGATTGGGTGTCTTGTCGCGGCCGACGAGTCAAAGCACTTAAACGTTATCTTGCGCTGAATAGGGTACTGATTGGCGTCTATCCAGAATTGAAATAACATATTATTTTCTTGCTCTTACCGGCTGACCGCGCAGGGGTTTATTGCAGTCGATACGCTCTAATTAAAAGCCATTCATTACATCCCAAAGCGCACGTCTGTAAAATTGGAAATGTCGTATATATATATATATATATATATATATATATATATATATATATATATATATATAGCTGAATCCGAGGCAAGCGGAAAATCTGCTGAACGTATACGTATAACTAAAGCTCGCCCCTGTGACATTTATATTCATTCGCGGCACCGCACACCGCAACCTCCCCACTCTCTTTATTTTTCCCGCAATTACGCGCTGTCCCTCTCGCTCTCTGTTTTTACTACTTCGCCCCACTCTCACATACGTATAAATGTGAACATCTATATGAAGTTAATTTCTGCGGCGAGGCTTTTCTCGCGTTTTCTTTCAGTTGTTTTTTTCTCTTCCTCGTTGTTTTTACTTTTCACTTTCAATCTGCCTCGATCCCACCACCCTTCCTTCGCTGCTGTTTTTTCACAGCTTTCGAGTGCTTGCCTTTCGCAAATTGAAACTACAATCCGTCCCTTTATAAAGCGTTTAAGAGTAACCTGATTAAAATCGCGCCTCTCCTCTGCTAATCGACACAATCTTGTAACGACCGAAGGGAAAAGAACAATTTTTTTCTTTCGTACCTTTACGCGCTTACAATGCCTCGGTAGCATTCGAGCCTTTCGTGGAAAATTGATGCGAAAAAAGCTACAATTGCGTGTAGGCCAAAGTGACAAATGATAGCTCCTACCAATCGAGAACGGAGTCGAGAAAAAAAAAGCGGCCATGTGAGATCAATCAATTAGGATCAAACGAGCTAAATACACTTACAAGCTCACAAGAGGACAGTGCCACTTTTCATTCTCCCTCTTTCAGAGTCACTCGTTTATTTCTTTTTATTTTTTTTTTTTTTTCGTCATCTTTCTCTTTGCACGCCAAGGAAAAACGAACGATCATCATTATGCGCGCGCGAACGCGTGAATTTCTGACGCGGGGCGCGATGCCATTGTTGGCGACGAGTATACATCACCAAGCGAGTGCAGTGCGTTTCCCCGCAGTATATATTTACGTCGTGAAAAGCTCGCCTCGTTTTTCTCTTTGTCTAGGGCATATTTTATAAGCGCACGAGCGCCTGCGTGCTATAACGCGTCGTCGTCGCGCTCATTTTTCGATATCCTCGACTAATGGCGTTGGCATGTGCGATGCTATGACGTGAATAATTTTTTCCCTTTCTCATATTTTTTATTCCTTCGCGCAGGTATGTTAGTTCGTATTTCGTTTCGTGTCAAATGTTTTTCTGCGGGCAATACGTTGCTACCGAAAAATTATTGAATGAAGCAGTGGAGGATTTGTCATAGAGTAATAACTTAAGATTTGAATTATGTACAACGGAATATGGGTGTGAGGCTATTAAAAAGACACTTTCATCACGCGTTTGATGAAGTCAACAACCCGACAAACGTTTCTATAGAAAGGCGACCTTGCTGGATACAAATGCATCGTATGCGTTAAGAAATGACGAAGAATAATTTCGTAAAGCAGCATGCACGAAGAAAAATGATCGCGTCAAACGCCATAAGAAGACGACAATGGGAAAAAATGTCCAAACAAAGAGCTACGTGATGGGTGAACGCGAACCCCAATCCATTTAAAGGAATCACCGACGCGCCTTACTCTCTCGTCGTGACGCTGCATTCCGCGTAGGTGATCTAATGACCTATGGTGCGCACACCTGTCTTAGCAGATTCAAATGCCGATGGTCCATATTGACACGTGACCGTATGACGTGTATCGCGTAACTCGCGTTTTCGCGAACTTTGATATTCCAATTAGAATATTCATAACGTCGCGATTGTCTGTGATCGTACGAACTTGATAATAGGCATACTTTGTTTGGTTTCCTTCGATAATTTTAATCGTCTTTTCCCGAGGTATGTACATACATTTTTTTCTTCCATCGCTGAAGAATGTTTTCACTGTTCACGATGTGCAACTGTAAAATTAACTTACAAGTTTCTCCGCGCGAGAGAAGGAAAAAAAACTGCCGTAACGTACAAGTCTCATCTCTTCAAGTTTCTACGTATAAGAGAGCGGAATAAAGTGATGGGGCAGGCTAGCGCGTCAACTTTTCCGCAGCGAAACGCAATTTTGAGCGCGTAGCCCTTTGTATTTTTATTGGAGTGCGCGAAAAGCGCGAGGGATAGTCAGAGAAAGAAAAAAGATGGCGCTCCGAAAGGTCGGAAAAAGACGAAGTGCGAGATGATTTATCAGAGGTAATATTCGCGATGCATTTGCTCGTGTGCGCGCAGATATCAATTTTGCGTGATCTTTTTACGCAATTTTCACTGAAAGGTCGCCTCTTCGAGCGCGTTTATTTCTTTTAGCCTTTTATCGACACTTCTTCAGTGCTACAAATGTCAACGCATATATTGTCATTAGTTATGAAGTGTCCTTTATAAAAAATTACTTACATTCATCAAACTGTTACACGAACTCTGTCCAAATAAAGATTGCTCAAGAAACAGCAGTGCATTATTTTGAGTATTAGTGTATAATAAGGAAGCTTGTTGTTTATTGATTGAATAATCTACCCTCAACTAACTATCGCAAAATAGAAATCTTTATTATTAGCCGTAAAATCATTCACAAAAGCATTTCATAAGAAATAAAAAAACATCAAAATCAAGGAATTTCTTGTATTTTTATGATTCTAAAAGCAAATTAATATTGATAGATCTAACGAGAACAAGGTTTATTAGATGGAAGAAAGATAAGCAAATTTCGTTGCGACGTCCCGTCGGCTATGATCTACCAACCTTATCAAGGGTTTTATTGAAAAAAGACAGATGCCACTCTTAAGTATCAGTTGAAAATATATGATATTTCTAATATCTCCAAGTTACTAAAACAATCAACGATAGCAAGTCCACAATCTCGGGACTGTAGAAACTTTCACGCAAGTTCTATGCATATGTCAGATACGGAAAAACCGTTAACCATATCATATCAAAGATATGAAGTTTGTCAGTTTAAGTTTCCAACTAAAATGAGCTCGCTTTTACGCGCCGAAAGCTGCACTCGTCATTGGAAATATCTTTAGCTTTATATCAGATGTTGACAAGGTTTTAAGTACTGACTTCTCATAATGGCAGGTCGATATTGGCGATTTTCAGTTAGGTAATAATAAATAATGACGATAACCGTAGGAAACTTACTTCTGAAAATACTGATTATAGAAAAATACAACACATTTGACAATTGTTCTTTAGCATAGAAACAAAATCTTAATCAACAATAATGTAAAAAAAAAGAAGGAAAGCACTCCCTAACGTACTGACTCACAGCCGTAGTAATAAGAATCTGGCAATAATAACGCAGCCTCACCGTTAGTGCAGAAGAACATAGCGAAACGAAGGTTGGTGAGATGCTACGGTTCCGTATTGACTAAACGATCAGACAGTACGACACGAGGATATATTAAATCGTCAAGCATGCGCATACCTTTGCGACGCAGAATTATGCGAAGGACGTAAATGCGTAGTATCGATCAGAGGAGGTTCGTGGCCGGTGCTAAGCTATTTCACTCCGAAAGTAGGGAGAAGGCGAGAAGCTGCTTTTACCACCTGCAGTGACGTTACGTGCAGGTCGCGCGTATAACGAGATCAAGAGATCTCGGCCATCGTTGCGTGGCGAAATCGGATAAAGTTGGTACTGCTCCTGGCCGGCTCTCGGTGAGCTGTTGTGCAATCGACAAAGGGAGATTTGGTCCGATATTGGGGGTTTTTTTCTGCTGCTCGCTCATTGTTCGCCATTGCGGCGGAGCCAACGAGGACGCGCCGAGATTTATTTTCGCTTTTTGCGTAAATGCTCCCCCGCGCTACTCAATTTTTTCATCCAAGCGCGCGTGCCTTATAATGATCTACCTCGCACCAAGCCGGTCACTTTGCAAGTTCCGTTGAACGATTACGAATATTGTTTTTTCCGCATTTTCATTTACGCAATAGTTACACAATATTCGGTAATTAATGGATTTTTAAATGATTTTGCTTGCCGTTCATATCGTGGAATGATGAAGCCTCGCGTAACTTCAAGCCTCTATTGAGAAAATACGAGAGATAGGAAATCCGAGAACCCTTCAAGTCCTATAGCAAGTTTCGATAACGAACTCAACAAATAGCCGTCCGAGTACTTCTCATGCAGCGTTTTTCTATTTTTTCCTGTCTGGGGAAGGGGTTTGAAAGTTTCTTTTTTAGCAAACTGGCCATCGATTATTTTTCACTCTCGAATAATCTCGCAGTGCATTAAGGAGTTTATTGTGCTTATTACCCAAGCGGCAGCCGCTGCCTCCCCTTTTAGTTAAAAGTTCGGCTTGTACAGGCCGATTAATGAATTAGTTTATGAAGTTTTCAACTTTTCCAAAGTGCACGTCTCGGAGCTCCTAGGGCTTGAGTAAAATGAATTGCCATAACTATAAGTTATTTTATTCATTTTCAAGCACACGCGTATAAGCCTACCAAATGAAGAATAATCATAAGGTAATTTTATCAAAAAGTACGTGAATACTGCCAGCTATTGTAACTAGACTGTTTCGAGTATATCGGAAAAAATGTTCGAGTTGATGTATGGATTCGAAATAAATCATTCGTCTCTTTGAAATAATTGAAAATACTACAATACGTGCAAGCTCAAGCGCGCGATTTCCAGATCCCAATCAACTTCACCCAGTGTATCTTGCTCCTTACGTTATATGTTTTTACTACTCTCAATTCTCCACAGCGGCAACAAAATGGGCTTCTCTTTGATTCTGGATTTTCAGATAAGCGTATTGCTAACGGCATGGAGCGAGTCGAGAGCGAACAGCCCGTCAATCAGCGGCGCAATGTGCTCGAGCGATTATGAATAGGATATGTTGATCACTTGCACTGGTACAGCAACTTTCATCAGTTGCACATTCAAACATTTCATCGCAAGCCAATTTAAACGGTGAATGAATTTGCAAAAATTACATTGACAGCTCTCTCTCTCTTTCCCTCTATCTCGACGTGCGAATATTAATTTCCGACGATGGAAATTCCGAAACGTTTACAGGAAATTTCGATGCGAGTTAAATTTTCACGTAAATCATCCAAGCTTGCTATAAATAAATAAATGATAGTCGATTTCAATGCAATTCCATTGGTTTTAATTGTTCCAAGAATGCATAAAAGATACTTAAAAGAAATATTCGATGGAAGAGGTATATTCGATTGAAAAGATCAATTGAATATTAAAAAATTACAATATCTCATATACTTCATTACAATAGAAAAGTATACAAAAATGAGCATGTAGTCTTATTTCTTTTTAGATAGCCAATACGGTATGAAACACTGTCTACATTTATACTCAGACAGACGTAAAGATCATCATCTTATAATTCTTCTTTAATACGTGCGAACGAAATCTCATATTTGAGAGCTTGCATTAGGATTACACGACGAATATAGCCATGGGGAAACCTGGGGACCATGCATAGCTATAATAAAGACATAGTTCTCGTGGTGCAGCTACCACGATTTCAAAAGGGGGTAATTCGACCGAAACTGTTGCATGCTGCAAGTTGAGCGTCAACTTAAGTGCCTTGCTTAATTGAGCTTGAATTCTCATTTTCCCAACTTTTTTTAGCTTTGCAAGCTCGCGCGCTTCGGTTCATTTGCGCGCGATCGCTTATAAACTTGAACGAGGTCGAAAATTCGCGTGGCAATTTATTCGAGCTGATGATACGGAATACGTCATACGTAGAATAGATCGTCGATTCGTTCGGTCAATTGTAATTTCAAATTAATGTTTTCGAACTACCAGTTATATCATAACTAAAGAACTTTGAAATTAATATATTCTCGATAAAGCAAACTTTTGTTAATCAATTTTCGGAATTAATCAATGTTACCTCAACGAAACTTGCACGTACTATGCAAAATTATTAGCGTTCGAACACCAAGTATCCTTGGCGAAAACAATTTTTTTCATAAAAGTGTAATGGACACTTTGATGCGTGATCTACAACAATGATAAGACGTGCCCTAAAGTATTTTGTAAGCTAATCCTCGTTAGAGCACACACGAAGCGGTATATTTCGTGAAATTCAGCGCCTAATTACACGGGATATTTCCATGAGGCAGCTGCAGGCAGGCAGGCAGGCAGCTGCGCGAAAGCCTTAAGTGCGATATGCGTGTGTGAGTGTGTATGTGTCTATGTGGGTGTATGGGTGTGTGCGCGCGCGCGCACGCAACAAGCGTTTCCCAGCTAATTTTCTACTTCATCGGGACGTCGCGTCGGCGCTGCCATTGCGCAGCGGCGACAACATTAATCAGAGAGCGCGGATGATGAGGGGCGCGCGCGCGTGCGAGTCGGAGCCAGCTGCCGCTAAATTAGCAGCAACAGCAGCCCTTTTCGCGGCCAACCGTAATCGAGTCGACACGTCTTTTATATATATATATATATACATATATATATATAGGTCTTTCTCGTCCTCGTTATTCGCCAGCGTAGAGCGCGCGCGCGCGCCGAAAGCGTTTGCAAATTCTCCAAAAATGCGAATCACGTAGTACGCTTGCCTCCTGTTTAATTCCCACGGCATAGACAGCGGAATAAGTCTTCACCCTCTACCCCACCACCGTCTCAATCAGCTACTGCTGAGATTGTCCTTTTTCTCCTTCTTCCTCCTTTCTTCCTTGTTTTCTTTATTTTTTTCGTTGGTTAGTATGCAGACTGCGCGGTGTCAGGCTTTAATTGCGATCTTGATTCGCTTCAACAAGTGCGAAGATCTGATTAAATGCGCGCCATTTGTCAGCTGCGCTACAGGGACGTTTTACGAGTGGACTGTATATGCATGGCTGTACGCTGTTTTGTTTGGAGGACTGGGAGAGCGAGACAAGGGATCGAATTTTCGCTTTGACGACGGACGTCCGTATTGGGCACTGAAAGCGATACCTATTTCTTCTATATACATAGGGGTATAGTGTTACAGTGGGATGTCAAACAATGATAGGATCATTAATGAAACTTCCATCACAACAAGGAAATCTAAACAATGCTTAATGAAAGTTTGAATTGCGCGAGAGTGTGTTCAAGTGTAGAATGATCAGGTTTAGGAGCTTCGGTTTTGTCGGATAAATCGTCAAGTTTCGTCGTTATAACAGAATCAAGTGTAGTCTTGCAGAGCAGCTTCAACGACTGAAAGACTCTCATGAGGAGATTGATTCACTTGAAAAGACATTTCACGTGAGATTCGTGAAGCCGGGATAAAAGAAAAGGAAAGAAAAGAATATCATCAGTGTAGTCGCGCGGTCGCACGGGCGACGAGGGTATCCATTGTTTAGCGTCGACGAGTTGGCTCAAAAAGACCAAATCAATCACGAGCTAATGGAATCTTCCCCTGAATGGGTTTAATGGGCTGCACGAGAGTCTGCCGACACGCGCTCGAACAAAAAAATTAAATCCATCGCTGAAAAATCTTTCGTGGCTCGCGACGTAGAGAGTCGGCGCACGATTTCCAATAACCGGAAGCTTAGACGACGCTCGCCTGTCGCTCGGCTCTCTCCTTATCCTGGGAATGGCGTGTGACTTTATACGCGCGACGACGGCCCTGGCAAACTTTTTTCGACATGGGACACGTGCACCGCCTCCCCTTCGTTTTTTTTCTTTACGTTGCATTACTTTGTACGCTGTCTCTCCATTTCCGGGCGACACTTTATGAGAATTCGACTATTTTTCGCTGGGGAAACGCGCCTTTTTATGCCTCTGCTCGATGTTTTTTTTATTTCATCCTTTTTTCCTTTCTCGCCCTCTCTCTCTTTTTATCTCTTTCTTTCTTTCTCTCTCTCTCTCTCTCTCTCTCTCTCTCTCTCTCTCTCTCTCTCTCTCTCTCTCTCTCTCTCTCTCTTTCTCCTTCAACACACTCGTGATAGAAACAGATGAACATTTTCATGCTAGTACGTAAAGCGTTTTATATTTAAGGAAAGGGAAGTTGAAAATGAAAATTGTTTGTACTTTGAATGTATTCAAGATGTCTTTGACTTAAAAAAATCCACTGTGGCATGAAATTTTATAAGGAGAATAGTTCCCCTCTAGTTCGTAGTTCTCAGCTTTACTTCAATATTTGTTTATTTTAGCAATCATTGATACAAATCGAATATTTTACTATAAATACAAAAAATGTCCGCATGAAATACATTGTGTCCCATTTCATTCAGACATAGTTTGGAAAGTTGAAATCCAAAGCTTTTAGTAAATGAATTCACGATACAAAACTTTACGGACGTACATACATCCTGCACTTTGGCAAGGGTGCGCAAACAGCTCACGGTGCGCGTACACTTAAGTAGATAAGCGAGCGAACTGGTCAGACGGAACAGAGAGAAGCCGAATGCGAATGGAGAAAGAAAGGCAAAGAGAAAAAAGAAAAAGGAAAAGAAGGCCAACTAGCCGAGTAAATCGTGTGTTGGTGAAAACGAAGATATGGCTAGTGTGTTAATCCACGAGCAAGTTAGAAGTTATTGGCCACAAGGCAAACTTGCGACTATAAGACAACGATAAATAGTTGAAAAAGAAGAAATTCACGAAAGAGAACAAGACCACGGATTATTATCGATTGCTCCAACTCTCCATTGTTTATCGTATATTTCGATCTTTAATTTTATATTCTCAAATGAATTTTTTTCATTCGTTTTATCAATAACTAAGAAATTGCGATCAATAACGTAATAGCATAACTTTAAGCGCTGGATACCGCACGAATGGAAAATCCAACGGGTTATTAAAGAGTGAAAATAAAACGTCGACATTTTTCTTTTGTGTGCACGCGAGAGTCGATCTTGCATTTTACGAGCTGAAAGCATTAAAGGTAAGCTCAGTTTCTGTCTCTCTCTCTTTTTACAACTAGTCATAGTCGTCGTCGTCATCGTCGTCGTCGTAGTCGCAGGCGTGAAAATGATCCGCGCTTGGCTCCTTAATTTCCTGGCGCGTCAGTGCGCAATTCGCGGCGGCTATTGCAGCTGGCCGTTCGCCAGTAACTCATGTGTTCACGCGCGCGCATTATTCCACACGACTGAAAAATGTAATGAATGATAATGCGCGCACGGAGAATGAATAATGCGCCCATTCGATTGTGTGCGAGAGCTGCGAAATATCATTATAATACGTACGCGCGCGCCCCGGCGAAAACGAGAAAAACCAAAAGAGAGGGCTGGCAAACCAGACAGCTACTCTCTTTTTTGCTCCCTCACTCTCATTAATGCATGCGTTTTGCTCACGCTCGAACGTTTTAATAACATTTGTGGTGGCGATACGAGGACTTAATGTAATGCGACACCCCTTCCCCCTTGATTGTAGGGAAAAATTTGAATGATGAGTTTCAATTGATTTTTGTATCTTTCGAGCAATCGCGTTGAATTTATCGAAAGAATATTTTTTTGCAATCAAATTGATTGGAATTTTTCCTATTAATACCGTGTTTTAATGAGTTAAAGTATGCGATAATCTTACAGTTTCAAATTATAATAACAATTATACTAGCAAAATATTCACATTTTGAATGCATCTAGTCCTTTCTATAAGCCTATCAAGAAAATTCATCAATTTTATTGAAATTTAAATAAAAAATAAATGGACCAAGTAGAGATATTTTACTATCTAAAAATAACGTAATAAAATTGAATTCTTGTTGAGGGAAGGGAATGAAAATTTCATAGAACGTCAAAAATGCAAATACTCCCTTCACTTTCCATCTGAAATCAAGCAAAAAGATATATACGTTATCGAAAAGCTCAACGTAGTGTACGAATGAAATATCCCATGACATTTGCATTCCGGGATTATTGACAGGAAAATGACGACAAATGAAATAAATCAGCGACGATCGGAGGGTGAGAAAAAGAAATGTGAGATTTGGTGTTAGAGCTACGCGTGAATTATTGAGCGAACGCAATCATCTGTAACAACAGAAAGGGAAAAAAGCAACTCGCACGTACGTACACCCTTAATTCTCAACAGACTCGCGCGCAAATTGGAAAGCGATTTTCATCGCCACGCGCGAGAGAATACGCGTGGGAATTTGCGCGATTATGAAAGTGCGCCAAACGCTTCGAATTTTCCAATTGTTATTGCGCGCGTTCGAAAGTGTACGTACGTACTCTCCGTTTTATTTCGCGCTCATCTCTCTCCCCCTTGCGTTGCTCGCAATTAAATGCAAATTTGTCGCTTCGGCGGCACAAAGTCGCGCACTCGTTAATGCTAGAGTCTCGCGTGGATACCTGCTTCGAGGTTTTAATAATGTTTCACGCGACATCGATATATGTCAACTTTTTTCATTAGCTACTCGCTCCAACGAGGGAGCCAATGAATTTTCCAATAAAAAATAATGTACTTTCACTATGCAAATCTATTCATATTTATTTGTTCTGAACGTTGAAAAGTTCAAATGCAAAAAATTAACCGTGTGCGTGCGTGCGCGCGCGTGTGTATGCGTGTGTGAGTGTGTGTAATTAATGTCTGCTGCGCAGAGTATAGCAATATATAACATCATGAAAATTATAACTATTGTGCGCGCAATTCATTAAATACTAATATCATCTTTTTCCATTAGCCAGCGTATACAAAATGTTATCTTTGGACGATGTTAACACAGTCAATGTAAATAGAAGAGTAAAAGTATTTGAAATTGTAATACATAATTTTTTATATCATTGGAATCCATTAAGTTGATTATTCATCGAGCGCTTCGAGCTTCCTCATTTGCCAGGCATGGTGCATCGCCCAGATGGACAGTGGCCTCATGTAGCCTATTGCACGGTACACCTTGTCTTCGTACAAAGCTTCCGGGGTCTCGTAACCCATACCTATCTTCTCGTAGACTGTGCGGTAAACACCCTCAGCCGTGTGGAAACCCTCTTTGATCATTCCCTGAAGGCAACAAATAATATTCAGATTCATTAATTTTACTAAGTATGTAACTTTTGTGTTTGTCGCTGCTAATTTTTTGAGTGGCAAAGATTGCAATTACCGGGCCATTCTCGTTCATTCAGTGGTCGAACGAAAGTTCAATAACCGCAATTTAAATGAAAAAATCGTTTTTTTTACGTTATCATCAGAAAAATTTGATGAAAATGGTGCAGTAATAACCCTGCAGCTTCGTGTATACTTGAGGTAAAAAAATTTCAATTCATGTCACATACCGTGCAGCGAAAGTAACAAGCAATAATAAATTTAGTCTTTTTTTTATTTTGCGCACTGTTTAAAAAAAATATCTCAATTAAAAAAATATATTCACAACGTTGTAGCGACATAAATTATGTTGCTCTATTTTAGGAACTCTCATTGTAGATCGCTGCTGAGTCAATAAAATACTCGAAATTATCGGGAAGTTGTTTTTTATGCGCGCTAATTCAAACGTACAAAATTTAAAGGGGGAGGACACTGAATTTGAGAGAACTAATAGCGGCAAAGTTGAGCGAATGCATTATTCAGTACCCTTCGGTGCCATTCATAATAGCCTTTTTCTGTAGCAACTCATACGCGATAAACTTTGAAAATGTACGTCGTGAGACCCCGCGTGGCTTAGTCGCTCTCTCTTTCTCTCTCTCTAGAGGTAACAATCTATACTTGTTCAATGTTCCGCGCGCGAGAAAACACGAGTGCGACATCTGGCTTTCGATCGTAAAAGAAAGAAAGAAGCACAATTTTCGAGGCTAAGAAAAAAGAATGAGTTTTTTCCACCTCATGAATTAGGAGTGCAGCTAAGCCATAAGCGACACCGGTCCACATCTCCTCGCTCTGAACGCATGAAACATCGATCGAGTCTGATTCAGTCGAGAACCCGTTCACTGCACCCTGTTCGCCATTCTTGTACTTCATCACGTTGTTCTCGAATATCGTTGACAGTGCTGACTTCACTCGCTCTTCCGGAAACACCTGCAATTTTTTTTTATTTTCGTTATATTGTTTTTTATAAGTCTCGTGTAACACGGCCTTGACACAAAATGTCTCCCATAAAAACATAGAAAACTTTTATTACTCTACATATACGTTTCATAACTTTCTGCGGTGTATTGTAAGTTGTTTCCCAGTTATATTGCTTTCTGTATTACAATATTTTATTGAATGAATTAATATATTGACAATTTAGGCAAATATTATTTATGTCGATAAAGCCAAAAGCATAAAAGTCATTAACATATTGCAGGTATAAAAATCCGCGTTAATACTGTTGTAATCCAGAGAACAATATGAAAAAAAGTTAATTACTGTTCGATTTCACCATTTCGTTTTGAAAAATCAAATATTTTAAAGTATTTAGCTGCGATAAACGAAATATTTATATTTACATAGTGATATTCATTTCTCGATGTTGATGGGTAAAAATAGTATGTATAAAAAATATTGGTAAATAGAGATAAAAATGTTGAAAAAATCATACCTCGTAAGTAAATCCGCAAGCTCTTAAAAGCCAATGACCACATAGCTGGTCGCTCATGATGCTTTTTCTACTCTCGTCCTTGCTGCAGTCGAAATTATAATATTTGCCTTGGGATAAAGCGGCAGAGAGATGAAAAAAAAGAGAAAAAGATAATAAAAAATCCGTGTAATAAAAGCTTTACGCTCGGCGATGCGGAAAAGATTAAGGTAGGGTGGCACGAGCGGTGAAAAACGAAATTGCTGTTTTATGATAATTTTTTTCAAGGGGTGGGGGCGGTCGCACACAGAGGAAGTAGGAGGCAAATATTAATTATTTCAAAATTAAATTTTCCTGTTTTGTCAGATAATTTCACAAGCAAAGTATATATTCCAAGCGAATAAATGTGTTCACTATTGAAGGTATAGTAAATTTGAAATAATTAAAAATATGTTTATTTAACATTTAAAAATATAAAACGTATGTATATATGCTTTATATCAAATCAATACATTTAACACGTCACAAATAAAAATCTAAATTTTCAACGTTTATGGGAGAAAAAGAGAGGAAAATTAGTTTTTGGCGTGCGTGCTTATAATCGTATTTTCGTGTCAAAAGTGTATTTTTATTCGCAATCGTTCTCTCTCTCTCTCTCTCTCTCTCTCTCTCTCTCTCTCTCTCTCTCTCTCTCTCTCTCGCTCTCTCTCTCTCTCTCTCTCTCTCTCGCTCTCTCTCTCTCTCTCTCTCTCTCTCTCTCTCTCTCTCTCTCTCTCTCTCTCTCTCTCTCTCTCTCTCTCTCTCTGTCAACTAAAATATTACGGTAATAAAGCTAGGATTTATTTATTAATTAAGTCACACTCTCTGTCTACACTGTCAGTGTATAATTGCTATGTAAATTAAGCCGGATTAATTTTTATTCCTAAATAATATGCCCGCCATTTCATTCCATTCTAAGCGTTACGCTTTTGATATAATATAAATATAATAATTTTTTAGTCGAATCAACTATTGAAATATTTTATTTCATTATAATTCAATTTTCTGCTTTGTATGGTATACAAGCTGATAAATACGTGCTTTTTTTATTTACAATTAAATATTCAAAAAAGTTCTTTTATATAATAAAAGAATTCCTCTTATTCGTAAAGTTCTCTCTCAACAGACTCTGTTGATCCAAGAAGAAATATTCTTATTATAAGAAAACAATTCGGATACAAAGAGATTTCTTCTTATCAGAGGAGGATTTAATCAAAAATATTAATCTCTTGTTGTAAGAATATCATTTTTTTCAGTATAATAATCGAAAATAATATGAGAACCATACCATTCCAAAGTTTTTCCTGAAAAGCTATCTTGCCACGATCCAATATCTCCTTGTACTTTTTTGCATCCTCGTGTTCGCCAAGGAGCTCAGCCATTTTTACAGAACACTGGAGAGCAGCGATCCACAGACCACCGCAATACGCGCTATAAACGAGAATCGAGGGAATTGTAAATCATCCATTGCAAACGTATCTTTTTTCCCTCAGTAAACATTTCAATATTTCATTGCATCGGTTCAAATACGAATATTGAATATCCTATATACACTTCAATTAACAGGAGAAATAAAATTGTTTATTTTTACATTTCCAATGGTGAATTTTCTGCTTCTTTGCAATGCTCATTGTTATATCGCTGAGAGCAGGTCACCCATTTGTCAAATGAAAAAAGAAACCACTGCATATTTAAAAGCCGAGCAACAATATTATGTGTGCTCGAGGCGTCGCGTTATATATACATATATCAATATGGAATATAGCCGTGTGCACGCAGTTTAATTAGAATGCCTTTTGGTTATTTGTAATTTTCAGCCGTTATCGAAACGCAGAACGAAAACAAGGTTTTCCATTTTCGGATAATTGAAACGCGCTAAGTGAAGCCTTGTACTATAGACTAATTAATTAAACGAAATTTGGAAGGTCGATATATGAAAAAAAGAGTCAAATAAAAGTTGAAAAGATATTACCTTGAGCCACTCATCACCCAACAATCGTAAGTTTGATCGGGAAAGCCACCGTTCTCAATGAGACCATCGTTATCCACATCAAAAGTTAAGCTGTGCTCCAGCACCTGACGAAATCACATCAACATTCAATTAACCCATACGAGTGAGCTGTCAAGTGGGTTTCACATAAAATTTTCTCCTCACCTCCTTGATCGTCGGCCAAAAATGCTTCAAGTGCTTCAAATCTTTGTTGAAAAAGTAGATTCTGTAGCAACTTAGAATAAACTTTGGATTGAGGTCACGCCACTGGGATACGTCATGTATGGGATAAGCGTTGATCATGCTGAATGGTTCCTCGCCTATAGTGATGTAAGAATAAATCAAATGTCGAAGAGTTTTAAAAACTTATATGTCGAGAACGTTCTTTTTAATTTAGTTAATCAGTTGTGAAATACGAGAATTTTGTTCCGAAATCTCTATTCTATGTCGAGACAGAGAAAGGTTAACAACAGTAGCAGCGAGCAGGTCGTAAAAACCGGGACTGAACAGTAGCGCAATCACAAGCGCATGTAGACTGTGTGTGCGCGCGTGCGTGTGTGTAAAACTTACCGGGATCGCCAATATCATGTGGCACGCTTCCCTTGACTTTCCTGCGACGCTTGGTACCGTCGTAAAGACCGTGAAGTCGTCGCTGGTCCTCCACGTGAACGCTATCACAGAACTCGTATTGTATACTTGCCTCCAACTGCGGCCACAGGCAGCCAAGAGCGAAGGCCGCGTAGAAGTGCACATCGTACGTGTTGTACATGCGGTACTCGTGGCCCTCCAGATACGCGAATCGACCGTACTTTGTCCTACGGCAACATACAATGTGTTATGCTCCAAAGCTTTATATTATACGTGTCTCACGCAATCGCGCGCACCACTTGTCCTCTCTCGCTCGCAAGCTTCTTGTAATGTGTAATCCTTGTTACGCCGACTAGCTCTTACTCTTGTTTATTTGTCGTACACACTGTCGTATTGTTAGATACAATTTGTCGCGCGGCATTTCAACTTTTGAATACCTTTATATTTTATGACAGCCTTACGTTTTATTCAAAAATACGTGACCGGCTATCACATACCTATTCAAATAAATACGCGCATCAAATTGAAAAATCATATACTGTCAAGATTAATTAGTCTTTTCAACCCCTTCCGAACAATGCAGCTTTTTTCGAAAAAAAAGTAAAAAAAGAGGATTAGCCATGCAACCCGAGCACGAACAATAAGCGTGCAACGCAAATAATCGGAAACCAATTAACGCAGCGGCAGTTCTAATTAAAAATCACTAACGAAAGATACGGATCTCAATACCAAAGCGCGAGCGAGAGGATAATGGGAGCTCGTCAGTAATACCGTGGATCGTCATCGGATAAATTGTCAGACTGGTCAGTGAGCAACCAAACGCTGCCGCCGTCGCTGACGAAGTACAGCTCGTTGAAGAGGCCACTCTTAAACCATTCCGGTAAATCTGGGTCTTCCAGTACTGGACGCTGCCATTCAGCTATTGATTCATTCCAGTCGTCGTAACGCGATAATGCGTACCTACTTATCTCTGGTGCTACCGTCGACGTATTTTCCTTAGGACTGAAGTATTTTGTGTAATACCTGTAATTTAGAGAGGGTAAGACATGTAAGAACTTTTTCTGTTTATAGATATGTTTGAAAATTACCTGTGATAAGTCTTTTGCTTGAAGTAAAAATGTATCTTTGGCATATCCCAGACTAGACAAAACTCCAAAACGCCACTACTACCTGCTTTTACGAGAGTATCGGCACATACTGCCGTTGCTATTGGTTTTCCTTGAATGAAAATAAATGAAATAAATATCAACTTCGTAATTCAAGTGGAAAAGGTCAAATATGGTCAGTTGGAATTTGAGCTTGGCAAAATCCCTGAATTATCAACCAAAATCATTTTGAACATTTTTTTACAAAAAAAAGGCACTCTTAATTAACGCCACGGGCGTTCGACAAAAGCGCGACGCTATCCCGTCATTGAGAGCGACCCCATCAGTTAAGATCCACGATTTACGCGCCACAGCTCCCACCCACACATCTCGACACTTTTTTACAAGCTTATGCCACCGCTCGACTTTAAACGTTATCGCCTCTCGCGTTTTTTTTTTCACCCTCCCCTAATAGCTTCGAGACACGAAGTGTGTTCGACTCACTGCTTCTGCTCGAACACTTAGCCTCGTCACCGTTCTCGAACAGTCGACCATCGTTCTGCAGCTTCTGCCACAAATCAGCACCATTACTGCGTGGATCGAAGCTCAGCTGACGAGTCACTCGTACTTCACCACGACGTGGCTTTGAGCCGAGCGCATAGGTACAAGGCATTCCACGAAACTCCTGGTGAATCATCGAACCTCTGACATCGCCATGCTCAAATAGCTCCGTCCATTTTTCACCTATGAAAATAGATATCCAAGCTTGGTGAGTTACCTTTTCCGCAGGAACTAGGTTGATAGTAGATTAATATTTTTTATCAAAGATTTTTTATCATTCTCTGACAGGCCTCTTTTGCCGTGTGAATCAATTTTAAAGATTAATGCCTCTTATCACGATTCTACTCGGCTTTCAATCGATAAAGAAGATAATGGAATGACACCGGACTTGAAAGTCGTGTTGCGATCGCAAAAGATGTTAATCCTCTTGATTAAAAAGCTAAAAATATATATGTCAACTGGAGAGCGCCCTTTTGCGAGTGAGATAAAAAAAATCGGTATGTTAATTACACTTGACGCGCTTGAAGACTGTATCGTAACACGTGCAATCTCGCGCTTCAAAGTGCATTGAGACTTTTTCAAACGCGTATCTCGCGGAGGGCAACGTACCCTGCAATACGAGAGCACTTTGCGAAACAAACTCGAACAATTACGAAGGATTTTTCGAGCGAACAGTTTCGCTGAAAATAACGACGAAGCGGCGCCAATGCTATTAGTTGTCGCGCTAATACACGGCATTCACCATTTACTTGATCACATTATACCTATGTAAGAAAGCTCGATCTGCAACGTTTTCATGAAAATATGAAGCTTTACCCTCGGCGTCGTCCTTGCTGCCGCATCCGCTTTGAAAAGTAAAAGTGATGGAGACATGGAGATCACGTCGCGAGCTGTTGACGACGTCCCAAGTAAACACGGCGCACGGCAGGCAGCTATCCTGATAGTCATGTGGAATCACCGGAGAGATTTGACGACAGGTAAGCCGTAGCTGCAGTTCTTCGATATCGTAGACCGTCCAAGAACGTGGATAGAGACCGGTATAACTGGCTTTGCGACCGTCGAAGCCCCAACGCCATGATCTCAGATGCTTGCTTTTTCTGCATTTGCCAGAATGCGAAATTGCATTGTCAAATTTAATAATTCCAAAAGTACACTGCGAAATTTGTATCGATCCGAAATTTATAATACACAGAATTTCAAACTTTCGAACCAAAAAGCTGCCCGGACCACGTAGCTATTCAAATTTGTTGGAGCGCAAACACGAATGCTCAACAAGGAGAATTTACGGAAAAATTGAATCCTCGCTCAAAGTTTGGAAATCCGAAGCACGCGAGAGTAAAAAAGCTTAATATAATAATGCGACATTGCTGAGTATTATGTGTAGAAGTGAGGGAGGTAAGACTCACGTTCTCGTCGACAAGACTTGGTTGCAGATTACGTTGCCGTTGGCATCCCTTACAGTCAGGATGAACTGATTAGCAGGCATCACGTGATAGCTATAAAGACCCGGGAGTACCGCGTAGCGGCAAAACTCACCCCTGAATCCCCGACCAATTGTACCAGATCCGAGCCCACCTATGGGCACGCCTGTACAGAACATTTAATTTTTCTACGATTGCAATCTATTTTTCTTCCATTTTTTTCCTGTCTACTGACGATTTTTTTTTTTTAATTTGCGATCGTCATTATTTTTCTATCTCAATCATTTTTGTCTTTTCACATTTCAAGCGGCAAAAATTGAGTGTCATGAGCTCACCAACGGTAAATCTATGTGATATAAACTTTATTGCGTGCGCGATGTGAAAGAAAAAAATCAAACTCGCGATATAAAAAAAAAGTGAGTCAAAGAAGTCCAATATTCCCGGCCGAGATAATAAAAGAGAGAGGGGGGTGGGAGAGAGAGAGAGAGAGAGAGAGAGAGAGAGAGAGAGAGAGAGAGAGAGAGAGATTTGCCGTAAACGGGAAATTGCAGGCTCGCAAAGTTAATACTGTACGATAATGGATTCAGGCATACGCTCGCTCTCGTGTGCCAAAGCTATTGCATAAATTTCAAAGTTCGTAACATGCGATACTCGCGCGTTTATGCATTGGATTTTACTTTTCATCAATTAGGTACATAAATATAAATTTCGACGGAAAAATCGACAGTACGCGCGAGTTCTGTTCATTTTCGAATTTTCGCTTTTGATAACCATTTTAATGTGTGTAAGCACATTGAATAAATACTGTAATAGACTGGTTGGACTGATTGAAATGGTATACATATTTACCGTATATTTGCTGGCCATGTCGCATATTCCAGTAGTCCATTACTACAGGCCGACCGTTTCGTGTTACGCCAGTGTAATAAAATAGATACCTGTCGTACAAGTACAATATTCATATCTTACTTATAGTTTTATAATTCTTTTATATTTCAAGTATCTATGACTAACGAACATTATACATTTAGAATAATAAAATTTGTTAACTTTGCTAATTTTGAATATAATTAGTGTATATAAATATTTTTTTTAGTTTTTAAATTTATTTTTAGTTAATAAAGTAGAAGAAAAATGATTGGCATTAATTAATCATTCGATTTTTCATAAAAGTATATTTTTGTGTACCTATATATATCTTACATACAGATATACTATTGTATATTTATATTAAAATATTTTTAAAACTCAAAGAATACGTCAAAATTGATAAAAGTAAATAAACATATAGAAAGTTATGAAGTAACATTATGTAACTTAAAACCTTGATATTGTGCATCGTGAATAAATAACGGTCGTAATCAATAAACGTAACACTCACCTCCAGGCAAGCGGTAACATCTGTATCGTTTGTTTGAAATTCGGCCTCAAATTCTGCGACCATTTCTCGGGAAATTTGTGATCGAGTTTCACCTTGAAACCGTATTTTGGAACGCTTTTCACGTCACTATTCATCTTTTGTCTGGTCAAAATTACAAATTCGCGCAGCTAAGGAGTTTGAATTATTTAATAATTTTAAACAATTTTATGGTTTATACACAAATATTTGCACTGGTCGATACCGGCGTCCATTCGAATTTGGCGCTCCGTCTAGCAGAACATGATTTATTTATCTTATTACTGGCACTATTGGTATTAGGTTTTATTTAAAAAATACGTAAAATACGTTTGCCCATTGACAAGTGGCTTCACCAACAGCGGCGTTTCAATTTTTCGATAGTACTCTAGTACTGTACATTAATTAATATTATCACAGTATGATTTACTTCAATAAAACCAAATCACACTTGCACGCAGAATACACTTTCACTTTTATACTTGGCAGAATAGAAGTCATCGCCATACACCGACAATCGCTACAAAGCACGTATTAATGAGTGCTCGCATCGCTTGTAATTTATAATCAAGCGTCTCTCAATTGTAACGCACCGCGTAAGCAACTAGTCGCCGCTAGAAAGAGAGAGACAAATACACACAGCCTTCGAAATAAACACTCTTCATGACTAAGAAGACGTAACCTATAAATCCCAAAATAGCAAGATACTATACACCACGCATGCTCTATCTCCCTTTGACTTATCATCGGCTCTTCCTTAAGTACGACAAGGAAACAAAAGCATATCAACGAGTTAGTACATATACTATATGTTACTGTATAGTATGTTCTGCATGTGCCAACAGATGCGCAGATACACGCGATACGTAGACAGGGTTTTCTAGGTTATGTTTACTATTGAAAACATTGCGTTTATGACTGGCTGCTATGTGCTATATTGAATGAGCTTGACTAGAAAATCGTCGAGCTTGATTTAGAAAATGCATGTGAGAACGTGACCTTTATGCACAAAGAAAAACAGATGAAAACATGGTGTTTTCCATTTGTACAAGTAACTTTCAAGTGGAGTTCTATGGATTCGTTGATAATTTTTTAAGAACAGCTTAGCATAAACATGATTGGTGCATCTGTACTTTTTATAACGTTTATTATTAGTGATAAACAATAAATCAACCGACATGGATACTGCAGAAAGTGAGGTGAGAATTCACATTTTGGTTATATAAAATATCTTAATATTACGTTTTCGATAGTGTACAGTAACTTTCGTTATATTATCATGGGTATACTTTTCTCCAAGGGTTACACTTTTTTGAATCAAAATGTTAAAATTTATCAATTTCAAAATTTAAATATACTTATTGTATTTTTACTAAAAAAAAATGTCAAGCTAAAAGACTGTTAATAAGTTAAATAGTTATCAATTTATTATATTATTATAGAAACTTCAGGTGCTGGAAGCAGATATTGTCTATCTGTTGATGAAAAAGGGCTTTCCAATATCACGCAATGTTCGAGCACTATGGGTACTTCAACATTTGGATGCTGTGATTTCAATAGAAAATCCTGATATACATCAAACACAAGTGCCTGAACTAAATGTTATCTCTGTCATTCCAAAAGAGAACAACAATCATTTATGGAGCCCAGAAACCAGTCATCTGTATTTTTATAAAGTAACAGCTTCAACAACAATATATTTTCTCGCTCATAAATACAGAGTTGTTTTTAGTTTAGATCTTAGTCCATCCCTTGCCACAGTTGTATGTATTGATCTTTTATTACCTAAATAAAAATAATTAAATCATGTGTAAATCATAAAATCACAATTTCAGGATATCCAGAATGGAGAAATAGTTATTGATGAAGTTTTTATAGCAACAAAGCGATGTCTTGAAGGCATAACAAAACCTGTAAGGGAGCTAATAGATAGTATTATTATTGAAATGATACAATTTCGCGTCTATCAAATAACTCATTTATTCGTCATTTTTTCAGCTTGTAATTCCTGGAAGTAAGAAATTAATTTATCCAGAAATTTATGTAACTGTGATAGTTCATACACCATTTTTTACCAATCCAGCTCAACAAGTGTTAGTTCAAGGCTGGCTAGTCACATTGGATAATGTTGCTATGTTAATGCAAATTATTGAAAAACAATTGAATTTATTAGAAGAAAAGGTGGCTCAAGTTACGAGCTTAGTCAATTTACAGTTAGAGACTTTACGAGCAGAAAGTGAGAAATTGGTAGGTGGCCTGTTCGAGGAAGGTGGCACTAGCACTGGTAAAAATAACACCAATAATAATATGTCTACGATAGCCATGGTTTCACCAGAAACTGGATTTGTCAACATGTTGCGTTATGGCATGTTAGCATTGTCACTTTTACCTGAACACAGCTGTGCCAGTATGTAATTCTTAACACCTTATTGAATATTTTTCTATTTTTATTTTTAATATTTTTATACACCTATTTTTCAGATTTAGTTATAGTTTCGGATGGTATTGTTGGGGTTGATGATGTTCATGCTTTGGATTCTGTGATACAGCAATTAAGAGCAGCAACGATTGCATGTAGTTTTTTACACGTCGGAAGCTCATATCACCCTCGCTGTGCAAATGGGCTCGTGCCATATCCAGATCTACTCAGATTTTTAGCGAGTGCTACTTTAGGAAGTTATATGACAGTTTTTCCTTCATCTGTAATTAGTCTCTTTCTAAAATTAATATTATATTACTTTCATTAAATTAAAGTACTTTAATTTATTATTTTCTAGGTTTTTAACGAAGAGATAGAGTTGAATACATACCACCGAAATTTGCTACGATGGCAACTTTATCGGACAGAACAGAATGAAATTGCAACGCTTGGTCCCAATGCCTGGCGAACGAAAAACAATTTGTTTTATGGTCATGAGCCGCCTCAGCTTCTTAGGAAAAAGCAGATCGATAACCAAGTGACATGTACATTGAATAGTCTATTGTGTTGTAGATTGCGTGAAGGTTATTTGATCAAAAAGACAGCCATACGTGACGGTAGTCTTGAAATATGCTTTGTACTTCCCTGGAAAACCCACGTTTCCGTGGAGTATCTTGTGACGTGTCCAAGGTTTTCGAAATCTTTATCCGTTTGTAATACTCTACAATATTCCATAACGATAGAAGCTCCTTATGAATTTTTGCACGACATCACGTGTTTGTCGAAGAAACCGCTAAAATCGCAGTACAGACAGAACATGGTCTCGCGTTTTTGGAGCGCTCTGACTTCATTGACTGAGGGCGATACTATGTTGGCGCATTTCAGTTGGTTTCCAAGCATGAAATGGACTTGGTACAATGTACCTGATACTATCAAGAGTGGTATGCCGCTGTTTTATATGCCTAGTTCATCATCCAATTCAATCCAACTTAGGTTTGTATTTGAACAATTTATAAATCAAAACTTCTTGCCACCTTAATAAATAACTGAAATATTCGTATTCAGTGATGCAGCTTGTCCGCAATTCGGTCAAATCTGGCAACCAGTAGTCTCACTAGAACCGCATCAGTGGCCTCGATGGCTACATTCTCAACGAGTCACCTTAATTCTCATTCACGATAGACCTCTGTCGAAACACCTGCATCAGGCAAACCAAAGTGGTCGCTTTCAAAGTGTACAGTACCGCCAAGCCGCAGCAGTGCTCTATGGAATGTTAAAAAACTGGGCGACTTTTGTACTCGTAGAAAATCATACGTATGTGCAGTTTATTCACCGAGAGCCAGATAAACCACCGATATCTTTTTCACTTATCAATATTAGCTGTAAATCCCTATGCGTCGTCCTTAATGTAGCTTTCGCTGGAGGTACCGAGGGTTATTTACGTCACAACGTCATGTCTGATTTAATGGAAAAACTCTCGCAACTTGCTTTAGCGAGTCGACGTATTGAGCAAAAGGAAATTCCTTGTTGTATAATTATGCATAAAGCTTTGGAGAAAATCCTTATAAGATATGAGAGGATGCCAATAGATCTAAGCACTGTTATTTTTCCCGATGGCTCCCAGATTATAGCTAGAAATGCTGCGATCGTTGGGGGTAGTCTTACTACCACTTTGAGTAGGTACTTATATCACGTCAGGTGGCTGTGGCTGCTCAAGAAACCTGCTCTGCAAACGGTTCCTGTAATTAACTTACCAAGACTGAACGTTGCTGCTGTAGCTAGAATTTTATCTACTGTTACCAAGTAAATATACTTTTTAATTACTGAACTTCTAATTTTCTACAGTTTTGACTTAAAAAATATAAGCTTTATTTCTTTTTCAATAAATAAAAGTTATTCAATAAAATTATTGGAAATAAACAACTTTTTCCAGGATCCGTTTGGCAGAAGGTTTCAATTTTGCGTATTCCGCTGCTGGGATTATAAATACTGTGATGGAAGTACAAATGCAAGGACCTGGTAGTAATCATATAACGTATCCGTGTATAGTGCAATATATTTCATTTCCTCCTTATGTTATTGTGAGTCCTGGAGGACCAGAAAAAGATAGTGGATCTGAAGAAGAAACTGATGGTAATATTAGTTTACATTTTTGTTATCAAATGCGTTTCATCGTGACATGCATTGAAAATCTTTTCTTTTTAACAGGTACAAACGACGGTGAGAATGTCGAAGATACTGAAGCCAGTGGCGATTTCCAAATAGTCATGGAAGTTTGGATTGAGCCTCAGTGCGGACAAGTGTATTCAACGAATGCTAAAAAATCTTCCTATATGCATTCTTTAGAGTATCAGCAATTATCAGACGCGGTAAGTCTTCTCAAATAACTATGTATCTAGCAGAGAAAATTAAAAAATTAAAATTACTACGCATGCAAAAATATTTGTAGTAAATACAATGATTGGAAAATTAATATGCAAAATTATTGAGCATTATACAAATATTATCATTATCTTGTATTACAAAGATCAAACATACAATTTTCATTGAAGTCTAATAATTTTGGCGTCCATTGTTTTATTATATACACAAACTCTTGTACAGAGTAACATAGCATAGGAATTAATACACGCTGATTGACGCCATATTGCTATGCATACTAGTTTGTGTATATAATAAAACCATGTGAAATTGTCCACACGCCATAATTTCGTTTATATTACATACAAAAGCTCATTTGATCACGCTCTACAGACATAGATTGCCTCAAATAAATTGTCGATTGATAACTTATCACCGATAAGTCCAATATCTCAGCACATAGACTCCTGATTACACGTGGCTTCTCGAGGAATTTGAATCCCCCGAACGATTACGATAAAAATGAAAAAAAATTTCACGTTCGATTACGTTAATAATAGTCGAGAGGGAAGGAAAAAGAAAAGGGAACAAAAGAAGAGAATAAATGAATTTCCTCAAGCATCTCTTTTGAATAACTTGGGTCGTCGGCTTATCTCCTGTAATCTGCAAAATAAAAATTTATCCTGACCGACACTTTTCTCGAGTGCTTTATTTTGTCAGGTAGACGACGGCAAAGACGCGCGCGCTATCTCGTTCGGCAAACAGCCGTCAAAGATATTGAAGATTTCAGCATGTAAGAGAGAGAAAGACGTGGGTATCGACGCTAGCGTTTCTATCTTTTTCTCTCTCGAAAAACTCCCCGATGCCGCAGGCTTTCTTGGCACTAGCCGATGCACTTTTTATCTCCCCAGCATTGTGCTATGTGGGAATTGCAGATTTTTTTCCTTGCTGTCGTCTCCAGAGAAAAATGCTTTGGCAATGAATATTTTTTGAAACGGCTGCATTGATTTATTGCGGTTAAGGCATAGTCGGAGCTAGCATATATGACAGTCAATAACTATTGCGATTCTATTGAACTTAGATAAATACTGTAATATAAGTAATTTTTTGAACTGAGGATTTATGATGATTCGTAACTATTGAATAGAAGAATTGCAACTTTGATAAAAAACAAAGAAAATTTTATGAAAAAGAATTTCGAACCTAATATTACCAGTGATGTCAATTATTTTATCAAAGGCATTCAGTAACTACAGCACGTATCAATCTAAAATGCATAAAAAGCGTAAAATTAGCGAATTTTTTCATAATATGATTAAAACAAAAGCAGATTATTTCAAAACAATGTACGATAACTAAAATCAAATGTTTCATTTTTTCATTTCTAAAAATTACGTCATTGTATCATTGTGATGAATCATGTGATAAAATCAAGCTGTAAAGTAATATTTTTGCTGATGGCTTTTGTAAATTATTTTTCGCTAAAATCTTGTGACGCATTCTATATTTTATCTCTGTTGGATTACAATTGTTTAAAAACTAAATCAGTATAACTGTCAATGACGAAACCGTCGGTTGTCAGGTCAAATGTGTCAAAAGGAAGGAACTATCAATCTTGAGTAAACGTTTCACTCTTAAAATAAAACATGTCCTCTTATCGTCTGTTTCTCTAAACCACTTCTAGCCAAATATCCAAAGTGGCGCAAAAAGGTAACTAGAGTAAGCTAACGGGAGAAAGTGCCATACATCGTTTTGGAAATAGATTAAGTTAAAATTAAATATGTTCAATGTAAATTGAATGTAAATTGTTCTGATAGAACAATTTACAAAACTTGTTCTGATAGAACCTAGGCTTATAAATGTTAAGCATTCATCCTTTAAATATACTCTGTAATCTCTATTTTTAATGTTATTAAAGTTGATGTAAAGTCTAAATTAATTTATTCGATTGATAATTGAGCATGGTAGATCAGCATTAATGTTACCAAAGTAATGCACGACCTGATTATATTTTTAGTTTTCTTCTGATTTCTTGATTATAAATAATTATCTGCATTGTAAAAGTTTGAGCACACTCGAACTATATCACTTGTAGGATTCAAAGAAATGATTACTAAAAAAGTAACATTCAATTTGAAAATTTCAAATTCAATATTAGCCCTATTTCGAGATCCCTAGGTTTACCGAAAGTGCATTCAACTTTGTCTAACGAAATACCGATATCTCGAACGATCGTGGATGCCGACATATCACCCAACTAAGTAAGTCAAAAGTAAGGAATTCTCGTCGTTCTTGTGAGACGACGTCGGATCAAATACCAAATATATTTGTAAAATGTTGGCCGCATTCGGGAATCAGACATCGAAAGTGCAGGTGGTCATCATAGCTGCCTCTTTCTCAATCTATATATCCAAGCCAGGCATTTCATAGCTGTGCTTATCGGGGTTATCGAGGTGGGGCGCTTGATATCGGACGTTGGGACGGGCTTTTCCATATCAGCAAGCGACCCGCCAGGTATATATAGGGCCCGCCGTCACGGCTGGGCCCTCTAGTGACCCCTCGTACTCGAACTTGTACGCACCACCCTCTTCTCGTACTCTCTTTCTCTCGTTTTCGAAGTTGAGTTCTAGCGGGCAGGGTGTTTTTTTTGTTGTTTTTCTTTTTTATTTCTTTATTCTTTCTTTTTCTAGTATGACAGAAAGTGCGATCAAAGGTGAGCCGTTACGTAAAAGAGCGCCTCAGAAACGCGATAGATAAGCGGCGAACGCGCAGTAAGCGCCGGTTTTTCGACGGTGCCATGAACGAGGTGCAGCCTTAGATAACGCGCCACAGTCGTCTTATCGATCTCGAAACCACTGCGCCGACAGTGTGAATCACGAGGTTTTTCTTTCATTTCTTTCCGAATTTTTCTCTTCTTATTATTCTTTTTCGCCGAGGTGTGTGATAGTGCAAAGTGATCGGACAATGAAAAGAACTATTTCTTTATTTCAACGGATACAGTCGTTTCGTTCGTTTACGTTGAATTACGAAAATGAAAATCTATTTTGTGCGATGATAACGTCTGTAATAACGCGTCTATGTACTCAGCGGTTTATCAGCCACGGCAGTGTAAAGCTTTTGACGTATTATTTGACTCAGTCAAGTATTAGTTTCTTTTTTTCGAAAGAATCCATTGTTCCAGATGAGTCCCGCCATATGGCGAGGCGAGACGTGTTCTCATACGTGAAAAGGAAAGAAAGAAAGAGAGAGAGAGAGAGAGAGAGAGAGAGAGAGAGAGAGAGAGAGAGAGGAGAATAAGTCTTGCAAACGGTTGAGGTATTATCGTCCTGGTCGTCGTCGTCATCGTCGTCGGGCCAGTCGATCTTGAGTTGGAAGTGGAGATCTAGGCAGTTCGGTGGATAAAACGTGCCAGATCTAACTCTTCCAGCTCGAGATCGGCACGGCAACAGCCTCGTGGTGTTCTGTCCGTTCATTGTGTCCTCGATCTTTAAGATCGATATGATATGCCGAAGATAACAAGCTGATAATAAAAGAAAGTGAATAACTCGTTGCTGGACGGGAGGGTTTCAGGTTCAAGTGGAGAAGTGGTCTCTGCGCTTTGTTTGTTTGAAAGTGAGATTCAACTCCTCCAACTTATTCCTGAAACCCCGATACTTCTATGAGCGCCCGAGATATTGGACTTTGATATTGAAGTTTTGGTGAAGTTTTTATTAGTGTTTTACTTGTTGATAAATAAATTACCGATGTGTTTTATATAATGTACAGTTAGATGTTATATACACATATATATGATGTTATATATGTTTCTCATGTCATATTGAAAATAAAATGTAACCTCTAATCCTTACATCATTTGCGTTCGATACCCTTATCGCTGCTCAAGCATTTTGATTCTTTCTTCATTTATCAAATGTAGTTTCTTAACTAAGCAGGACATCTCTCCAAGTGAGGACTCGTAACGAGCATCTATTTTAAGATAAAACTTATCTATCAATTTAAGGAATTGGAGTTCTTTTATCCGGAAATTTCCAGTTTTAATCAACTATTATTTATATAAAAGCTGTTTACTTAAAAAATAATTTTCATAAAACACTACTTTTATGAAAATTAATCAAAAATATTTGTCAAAGATAATGTTCAATTATAACATTTTTGACTATTTATGTCCAAACATATTAATGTATTCGATAATTTATTCAAAATGAATATAGATATCCAGGATTGACAAAGAATGCATAAACGCGCTGCTGACGCTGGAGCATCTGAGTCTCATGTGCCAAGCGTCACCTCAAAATAAGAACGCCGATGGCACGAGTAACCAACCAGTACAACCGAATAACAGCAGCGTCAGCAATAATAACAGTATCAATGTTAACGGTTTGAGCAAGGCATCGAGACGACCAACGTATGCGGACATTGCATCTGCAGCTGAGAATCCCCTCATCGATGATCGCATTCGTCCGATGCAATTTGAATTTGACGCTCTCGGCATTCTACCCAAATGCCAGCAAGCTGAGTTGCTTTTTTCCATGTTTGTCGACGGTTAGATTTCCTTATTGCTGCGATTTACTTTTATGTTGACAATTTTTTATGCACGATCCTTTTATGCCCGGAAAGTCGGTACTTTTTATGGTTATATACCTATCAATGATTCAGGAGATAAAGTAAAAGATTGTTTCAGTCGAATGCTTTTGACATAGTTTTTTATTGCATTGAATATTCTGGATGATATCGGAAAATAAGGCAATTTCATTGTACAGTATCTTGCGAAAACTGCATTTGTATAAAAAACAATTTTTACTCGATATAAATGGTTGAAATCTTGGTTTATCACAGGAATACAGCACCGAACTTCCGGTTGTTGAAATTTAGATTTTTTTTGTTTTTGCTAAAAATTGCCCCAGCACAGGTCCAGTTCAGTTCGTTGTTTCTCAACATCTGATCAGTTAAGACTTTTTCGCAATTAAACATTTGATAATAAAAATATATTCATATACATGCTAACAAAGCTATAAATAATGGACATTTCTACCCACACTATCATGAGAAATCTTACTCGAAAAGTCCCGATTTAATAATACCCGCTTGGTTTAGAAATTTTTAAATGTTTTAATTTTCGAAAATTTAGTTGAAAACTTAACTCGATTATAACACAATTTCTGTCGACGTTCAATTCATCTTCAAATACAGCTCGAAAAAAAAATCAATTATCTGAATAATGTGATAAAAAATAAGATGACTACCTACATTGCACAACTATGTAGTTTGATGAATCATCAATTTCCCTGAGATTTGAACAATTTTCATTATTCAAGGTTTTCATAAATGTTGATTCAATACAAATTAATTTCTTTATGATAAACATTCTCATTAACATAACCTTTACTTATAAAATAAATCATAAGCAATATAGTAAGTAAAGCAACATAAGTATATAGCGAGCACGTATATTTCATTGTATTCCTATGGTAAATTAAGAATATAACCAACTAAATTTTATATAAATTTTGTGTATACAGAGGAAATTGTCGCACGTGCACAGAAAAGGTTTTCCGTAAAGACGTTAATTTTCCGTTTTAAAACATTGTTGGCATGATTTTTTGTTTATTCGGCGTGTAAATAATAAAAAAAACTTGATCATAGACTTCAACGATAACGGAGAAAACAATGCCAATAGAATACTGATGGAAGGTCTTCTAAGTCACATAAGAAATATACATAATCGAGAATTGATGTTGAGCACGGCAGATTCTGACAGATTCACCAAAATGCTAGCTGCAAGGCCCAGAGAAGAGGGTGCTAAACCCTTATTTTTAAACAACGGTAATTACCTCATTCATTTATTTCCATTTTTTAAGCAATCATCGAGCTCGAAAAATATACCGCCCAAATCTTATAGAATCAGATAGCAGTAACAAGTCAACAGTGCTGTACCCTCGCTGGCGATGTTTCGTCAAAGGTATAAGCATAACTCACGTGATAGTAACTCTGATACCAGCAGCAGAAACCGACGTGCACTTGATGGTTCATCCTGAAGAAGACGACGAAGCCTTACTCGAGGACGACGAGGATAGGCAAGAAGATCTTGCGACGCCAGTTTTTCAACAACTCGAAGATTCGAGTGAGCAGCCAAACGGCGAAACATCGGGAGATGCATCGCCTGTACCACGCAATCGTGTTAGCACTGCGGTAAGCTTTGAGCAAGAAACTATTCAACACGATAAAGTTCATTTCAAAAACTTATTCTTTAATTATATAGGAGAGCAGCGATTTGTACTTCCTGAAAAATTCAATGGCGTTCAGCACACCGAAGTCATCGGACATTTGCGAGAAAGCAGCAGCGTCTAGCGATGGGAACCCTCGTCGCGGCCTTGTACTGCCGATTTACGTTTATGATTGCTCGCTGGCTTTGCTCATAGATGCGCTTATCGAGAAGCTCGAGAGGCCGCGTTTTAAGGATATTTATCGCGATCATACCTTCAAATTCGGTGAGCAGTACAGCGAAGAGTTTGTGAATCTCAAGTCCGGTGATAATACCAAACCTTCATCGCCGGAGCCCAAGAGCGAGGACTCCGATAATATCTCCGGTGGTAAGTGCCTCAGGAATAAGACATTTACGTGTGTAAGGAAAATATACTAAAATCAGCCTGTAATTATTGCAGATCAACGAAATCTCATGGACCACTGCAAAGTTCTTAGTCTCGCTCACTGCCATTCGTACGTCGTGGCAGCATACAAATCGTTAGTTTTACAACAACCACTTAGCTATGGTGATATGGATGCAGCGGTCGAACAATGCGAGGAATGTCTTATAGAAATCAATATAACGGACTACTTGAGAGCAGTATGTAAGCATCTTCACGCACAGACTGGCGAAGAAGAAGCAAGTTGCAGCGAAATGCGTAATATTCACAATCTCATCAAAGATAAGTTCAAAAAAATCATCAATGTCGCCTTCAAACAAGTGCCCGTTCATCCCGACTTTTACTTCTGCTTGCCTTCGTGGAAATCTGAGAAAATGGTTTGTTTTTTCTCAGCCATAATGTTTAAAAAAACACATATGTAAAACATAATTATTTTGATTTCGTTTCAGATTGACGCGGCTTCTCAAACATCTTCTGATAGCGACGACGAAATTCGTTTTACTTTCAATTCTGGTGTAGTTAATGGCAAAGTTAATTCATTGAAAAAATGTAAGAATCATTCACGATAGTTATTACTGTTATGTAAGTTGTTATTTAATAAATAATATAACTATATTTATTGAATTTTTCTCTTCAGTAAATCAGATCAGCACACACACGTGGCCAAGTAATGTTCTCCACGAACGATCCAAAATTTCCGAAAGCTCAGATTCTAATGATTCCTTCGTTAGTGATTTGCAAATGGATTCTGACAATGGAAAGGAGCAACCTTTGTTTCTTCAACTCAATTGTTCTTTACATTCCAAATCTAGCTTCTCTAGTACTTCTGTTAAACTTTTACCAACTTGTTTTACCGAGATCACCGAAAAGCTCGAAGATTATCATTTGAAAGATGCCGCGGCTTCCAATTTCAAAATAACTCTCGATATTATTTGCTTGAATCTACCGAAAGACGTATTAGAGGTATGATTGAAAGAAATCATAAAAAAGAATTGCAATCGATAACATTGTTCTTGTGATTAATATTTAGGTTAGTATTGACAACACACCAGGTGGTTTGAGAACAACGTCATATTGTAGCGAAGGTAGTGCACGTAACGTTTCGGAAAACAGCGAAGGAACTAGCAATTTCGATCGTCTACAATCATTCGAAGCAGAGCAAATACTCGAAACCATGGCCAATCTACCCACTCATCAGTATGCCGCAGTTTCAAATTTAGTGGAAGAAATTAATTGGTTGCTGAAAGACGAAACTGCTACGGTATTGTTAGACCAACCCTTGCCTACCGAAGGAAATCTGAACTTCGTTGCAAAACACGTTGAGGAATCTAATAACAGAAGCAGTTGCTATTTAGACAAAGTACCTCTACATTTTGTCTTTCCGTCAGAAAATAGTCTTCCAAGGTTCATCGAAGAGTTGAAGAAATTGAATATTGATCGATATTTCATTGAGCAAGAAGGTAGCTGGTTTTATTTTGCTAAAAATGCAACTAACGAGCAAGATATGGTTTCTGAAGAAAACGTTGACACGTTGTCGGAAAAAGATAATTATGTTAAGCAGCTCAATCGTAAGTATTTTTATTAGTGGAATTTTATCAAAGTAAAATATTTTGATAATACAATATATCATCTTAGCTTCCGCAAATAGCAGTACTGTTTTTGATGTAAACGATTTGCCAACACAAGCGTCAATACGAATAAAGAAACAGGATTCAGGAGATCCACCCGGATATCACTCGGAAATATCGAGTATAGGAGACAATCAAATCGGTACTGACGACGGATACGAAGGTGATAGCAGTAATTCCGAGGAAGAATGTCAATGGTTAGTCGACCTTGACCGTCGTAGGGAAGTGCTACCTAATTTTTGGCTAATAATGCGCGTCGAGAAAAGCCACGTGAATGTCTACTTTCACTGCCGGTTTCTCGAACTCACTTCGCCGGAAGTTGATAGATACCTACAGATACAAAAGAATGCCGTGTCACAAGTCAAGGCTATTTGTCGAACAGTTAATCAGTATCTGCTTCTCCGTGATTTGCATGATAAGCGCATCTGTGAGCCACTACTTGAACCCGAGTCAATTGAAGATCATACGTGGAAGAATGCAGATAATAGCGTTGACCCAACAACTTCTACTGCGCTGAATGCTAACACAGGTAAATATCTTGTCCTTTAAAATAAAATTATGTGCCATGCGTAATAAAACATTTGATTGAAGTAATTTTTAAAGAAAACTCAAACATCGTGCCAGGAATGTTCCGATGCCCAGTCGTATGCGAAGTGTCTTTCTGCTTACACCATCGGCTGAAAACTGGCCCCGGCAAGACAGGCTTATCCCGAGGTATCAAAGCCTTACAAGCAGTACTCAATCGCTTTTGTGTAAACAATCGTAGCAACATGTTCGTCTATCAGGAGAGCAATGGTAACGTATTCTATTTGCGGTTACACGAGCGAACCAGCGACGATCGACCATTGCAGAATAACAAACTTTCGGAAAGCGATGAAAAATTGATGGTATCGCGAAGTAGCAGTATTGCTTCGTTGTCACAAGTCAAGAGTCTTGGTATTTCAATGGATCAGACCTCTGTCTCGTCTATCTCTGCAGATCTCAGGCCGAGAGTACGCTCTTTTGGCGAAAGGGAATCGGACCTTTTAAACAAGTCCGGAGATTTAATTGTTCTCATGGTAAATTGAAAATCTATATGTTAGGTTATTTAATTATTCGTGTCATTTAAGAATTGTACTAATGTTTTTTTTGACTTATTATAGGTACATGGTATATCAGAAGCCGGACCTGAGGTCAAATGTGAATTAGTGCAAGTCCTTCAAAATCGACTAGACGATGCAGTTCTCGAAGTACTCTCAGTGATGTTGGCGAGAAATCCAATGTGCAAGCTCACACCTTCGGATGTGCATTTTATTCAGCGGCCGTACCGCCCACCTGAAAACATCATCCGATTGTCTGTGCAAGAGCGATATTTGTACCATATGACTGCTTTTGGCTACTACCTCCGACAAAATATCCTACAATTCCTTTACACGCCAAAGTATACGGATACTATAAGAGCGCATTCACATTTTCAAGATTACTCGCAGTCTGATGGCTCTAGCAAACGAGTTCCCGAGAGTGATATATATTTATACAATCAAAGTCACTCAAGTGGAAGTCGAGGAATAGCTTGTATAGCGATCGCTATCGTCAATGAAAGAAGTGATAACATTGCTAAGGAAAATGAGAATGTCTCGATACTTTCTAATTGTCCCGATATTAGTGAATTTGAAAAAATTGTTGAGACCAAAGTTTTTTGGGGACAAACACGAGCTGTAAGGAATAACTGGTTTTAATTGAATAATTCAATATCTGTGATCACTGATCTTTTGTATTTCTTTCAGGATAAATCTGATGTGGCCGTAAAAGCATTTGTCGAGTTTCGAATATGGAAACAAGGACGAGTGAATTTGGAAACTCTAGTACAAAAACTCAAAGCTGCAGTTAGACACGCAAATTGGGATCTTGTAACCGAGTACGCGTTTCTACCAACTCCACTTACAGAACCACTGAATTCCGATGATGAATGCTACGACGATACCGTCCAAAGAAATGAAGAAATGAGCAGTTACGAATTAGGCGAGAAAGGAAAGTTAGGCAAAGTATATCACACGATTTTGCCATACTGGTTTCAGTTCGCCTTAGATCTTTCGGCGCCCGCTGTTAAAAAACACGTGGTCACACTGGAAAGAAGACACTCGTTACCAGTGATTCTCAAAGAATTGCAAAATTTAGTTCATGGTCATGCACTCGATACAACGACACGTACTTTTGTACAATGGAGTCGACAGCCTTTCCTCGACATTGGTGCAACCCAAGATGAACTGCTTATGATCAACAAATTAACGGAAAATAACGAAAACAGTTTTAAATGGCTGTCGAAAGCTGCTGAAATTGCTGACAAGGCTGGTGACTTACAATTTTTGTCATACGATACTGCAAAAGATAATCAAGGGATGTTTGTTAGGAGTATTTTATTAGCTCGAAATTTTAATCAATGGAAAGCTTCTTTCAACTATAAAATTGAATCTGAATGGCTTATCCCAAAGGGTTTGTTTTTTAAGTATTTATTTTTAAGTACTTTTTAACTTTTAATTAATTAATTATTTACTCATATTTCAGATCAAAAACTACTACAGAAATTCAATCCATTAATTTTAGAAAAGACATGCATACCTCGTCAAAGGTTACTTTTAGCTAAAGTACAAAGTCAGCATGTGAGTATTTGAAGCTGTTATACTTGTACATTGACATTGAACGTTGAATTTCCTGACTACTTATTGCAGATTATCGTATACATGTATAACTGGTCTAAGGAGCGTTCTGAAAAGTTAGTTAAACAAATAAGTAGCTTAGGTCTGTGGTTGTCGTCGCGGTCTCATCTCCATTCTAGTATAACAATGCAAAAACTTGGAATATTCCATCATCAGCCGGCTCGAAATTACGAACAGGAGGAACAGAGAAATTCTCAGTACTACGCTCAAATAACGGACATGGAAAGTCTCGCCAAATTCCCCAACACGGCGCAACCCGATGGTAAAGAGTGGCAGAAGGTTAACAATCGTGTACAAGGGAAAGGAGGTATTTTACCGTGGAATCAATTAGTTGGACAAGTTATGCGCGATGCTAAACCGAGTGGTCAGTATCCACCAAATACAACCGACCCTGTCGTCAAAACTGCTTATGACTTTCAAGAACTTCGGCACAAAGACAAAAAGTACAAAGGTACGTAGAAAAATGAGATTGATTTACGTTCAAATTGAAAAAAAACGTATTTATTTTTTGTCAGATGATCTCAATAAACTACACACAATGTGGCAGAGTCGCAGCGCTGCACCAAATATTCCAATATCCTTAGCAACTCTCAATACTTTCAAACAGTATTCGCGACTCATTCATTACTGCTACACACCTCTGCTATTTCTACCGTCGTGGAGATTACAGTCGGCAGCTACAAGGGATCATTCCTTGGTACCATCACCATTTCATTTAACTCCTCAGCAGCAAAGATCGAGAACGACTAGTGATGCATCTAATAAGAAAATGGTTACTGAATGGCACAAGCAATTATGTGAATCTATGCTGTCAGAGTACATGCAATACCTTCAAGTGTTAGGATTTAGTCCCGTTCTGATCGAGTCGCAGCAAAAAAAGTAGTTTCTATCTTCTTTTGTTCTCGTTGTTTTGAAAATTTCAAATTAATCGTTGCTGTATTTTACTTATAGCGAAGAAGACGTTCTTAATCAAGCTTACTATCTGAAGAAGTCGATGCTTGGTGGCGTACTACTATTTGAAATCAGTTTAGCTGAACCATTCTTTGCCGTTAAGCTAAGAGTAATTGAGTGCAGCCGATTACAAGCCAAATCAAGTAGTGCCTTAGTCAATCAAGTGCGTAGAATAAGCGCTATGAAATAAAGTCAAACTATGAATTCGAAAAAGTTACGACACCCTACTAATTATAACTAATCTATTTGTTTTTTTCAGTTTATGTTAAGTTTCGTGGATGCCTGTGATGAGATAAAAATAAACATGCACTTACATTCCTTTACTTACGATTTCCACTTGAGATGTATTCATTCGTACATCGCTGGAAATAGCCAATGGGCGCTCAAACATGGCTATCACTTGACCAACTTTTTGGATGATTTTAATAAGTATTATAGCAAAGCGCCTAATTACGCTAGAAACCTAATTTATAGTGGTAAGATTATTTTTTTCGATATTGTATTTTTGTTAGATCTCATTGGTTTTTGTATAACGTGTAACAATGTTTTTAGGCGACGTGACTGTAAGTAATTTAATAACACCGGCGCATACTCTCTACCAATACCTACTGTCCCATGAAAAGACGTACAATATGCAAGTGTTCTCGATGTCTGACGATCCAGATGATACTCAAAACAGCGAGTACGTTCTTGTAAAACTTCAAAGTACTCCTTCAGTGAGTTACCACGATGCTCAAGATACAAAATATATCGACGACTTTGACATCGCTCTCATCGTCACGTGGCTCGATCAATTCGCACAACCTGACAGTCGAGAAATTACTCTCAAATACTACCTCATGCTCACGAGTAAACGCGAATTGTACCCAAAGCGACAGGTTGAAAGCAACAACAAAATCGGCAAATTCCGTACGGTTTACAGTGTCGTTAAGTCAATGGCAGGTTCGCAGGCTGATACTCCTTCCGAGTATAGCCCTGTTTCTACAATCTCGCCTTATCTAACCCGGCAACCTAGAAACGAACTCATTTCTTACCCCAGTGATCTACAAACACAGGTGATTACACTATTATTTATTCTTCGTCAATTTTTAAACGAATGCACTATTTCTTACTATACGTATTTTCAGGACACAAACGTAAAAGAATCCCTAGGTTCTCATAGAGAACGCGTAGAGCGTGATTCTGACGAGACCAACAACCAAGAACCGAGCAATATGGCCCCAACACCACCTCCGGTACCAGACAGTCCCCTCGTTCTCAATGCTCCCTCGACGTCGACAACCAACCTAACGCAAATACGTCAAGAATCTATTAATTATCTTGGTTACTACTCGTCACACGAGCAACTGATGCAGCAGCTCATAATGTCTCAAGCTAGTGCTGCCCAACAGCACATCCGCAAGATGATCGAGCAAGGAGCTTTGCACTGCCGTACTCATCTGCTCTGGAATCGTCTTCTTGAGACCAAATCGAGCTTGAACTACGTCGAATTCTCAGAGCTTTGTGCTCTTGCCTGCGTAGAGCCGCTGTCCAAACTAGACCCAAGGTTGAGCTTATTCTGCAATCAACCAGTCGGTTGGTACCAGAACCTTGCCAAACTCTTACAAAACAAGTATCAGGAATATCACAAGCAGTTCAATGCACCAGATGGTAACGTTACGCATCATCTCATTCTGCATCCAAACTACGTTCAAGCATTTATGATGCTTACGATCGATCTGCATACCTCCAGAGGTGTAAGTATACAATTTTTGATAATAAAACGTTTTATAGAAATGAGCATTCACTAATGATCGACTATTTGTTATGACAGGAATTGTTCGCGGTATACAGAAAGACTGAAGAAATAGTCAGTACACCGTTTACTATGGGAGATATTTATAGTTTGATAGAAGATTTCGTTAACGCTTGTTGTTTTCATCTCTGGTTGGGACTTTACTCATGAATTTTCAGCTATATTTTTTAAATTTGGAAAAAAAGAAAAAAATAAGAAAAAATATCTTTGTTATTTGTATGTTGTTGTATATAATATATTCTTTGTTACGAAATATTCATGTATACATTTATTTTTGGGAAAGGTAGATAAGAAAAGAGAAGCAAAGAAGTTATGTACAGAAATGTTTTATTCTTAAATTATGCACAAATTGCAATCAATACAAATGTATCTGAAACAAGCAAGTTGGGGGATATCTCAGTTTTTTTTGCCGCCTTACAGTGATATAGTGTAACTTCTCATGATGTTCGTAGGAGTAGCTACTTTATTTGTAGGTGTCGAGTTATACGATAGTTTTATTCAACTGGCGTACGTAGATATATTTTTTCATTGTGATTCTTTCACTTGATTAGCTTTTCGTTTTCACAATAACTATATCAGACACGTCCGATTGGTTGTTGTCATATCCGGAAGAAGAAATACCACAGTTTCATTAAATTGAACGATTCTTCAATTTATCATTGACCGTTGACCATATCTATTTTTTTGTTTTTAATAGCTTTTGGTACAGTAAAGCTAACTTTAATTGTTCAGACATTCACATTTCTACCAAGATATAATATAGTAATAAAGGTATGCGCGCTCGCTAAGTCTTCGCTTCAGCTAGATATCATTAAAAACATGTATCATTCCTTCTCTGGCACATCATAAACTGGTATCGCTAAGTATACGTTTATTTTTTTGTCCTCGTACAAATTACATGAAAACATTGTATGAGATTTGGGCGGGGAGCTGGCAACTGTTCTAGTCTTTTTTTTTTGTTTTTTTAATTTTTTTTGTCAGCTGTCATAGTTGCAGCACTTACGCTTTTAACGCAGCTAAAAGGGAGAAAAACGAGGATTTAAAGAAGTACGATAAAACTTGGAAAAAACAGCACGATATTTGCACAGCGACGGGTAAAGCGTAGCCGAGGAAAAAGTGAATCAACCCTTTTTTTAACGCTCTTAAGCGCCACTTTTTTCGACATCTTTCAACACGACGCATGCACGGGCCGTTTTTTTGATCTTGATTATTTTTTATTTTCTGATCATTTATTTATTACTATTTTTTTGTATTTTTTTTTTAAATCTTACTGTTAGCCAATTTTATCGGCAAATATTTTATAAACTAATAATCCAGTAATTAGCACTGCACTGAAACATAAAAATCTAGCTTTGTGATTTATGTAACTACTAGTAATCGTAAACGAAAGAATAAAAGAAAAGAAAAAACTCAATTATGTAAAGAACAAAATTTAAGGAACATCATTGGGACACTGACATAACTAGGATTAACTACAGCTGCCGTTCCGGTTTCTCTCTTTTTTTTTGTAATCTCCATTTATCATCTCAACTTATCGTGTTTAAGTTTGTCATTTTCATCAAAGTTGATGTTGAGATCTTCGCATCGATGGTGTCTTTCGTACTAGTAACGATGTTATACGCTAGTCTTTAAAAAAAACAGTCGACTTGCCTATTTCTTCAACTCGTTACTAGAGCGAAAACGCCAAACATAATTGACGTAAACACAGTGTACGCTTGACAGATTTCATTATCTAAAAAATGAATTTATCTTTTTACTTTTAGTTTTAAAAAAGTACGATCAAGCCTACACTGCATCAACGCCAACTTTTGGTGCGTTCACAACTACGGATATCCGGCTCACCCACGAATTGGTGCCGTCAATCGAGATTTGAGTATAAAAAATGAGGCACAGTTTTCACGATCAAGGGAGTATTGTTTCTCTTTTCGATCCAATTGTGCGGCCGCTGTTTTAGCTACTGCCTCCCAATGAATGCGTCCGTATATGTCGAACCACAGGCGAAGGGGCCGTTTCTGTGATTTAACACACAGTCACCGCTCGCTTTACTTTATTTTCTTGTTTTAAACTAAATCATGCATAAATATAATAAATGTCTTTTAAATTTTTTTGTATTTTTTTAATCCTTTTTATCATTTTAAGATGAATGACCGTCGATTATAATGTCGATACTTGTTTTTTTTTTCTTATCGGTAGCAAACAGTCTTACTGACGAGCATAGGTTAATCTTTATGTCGCGTTCAAAAATCGTGTGTAGTCCATTAGTGAGTAGAGGTTAATGCGTCATGTTGCGTGCTGATGTAGGTAGCTCATTTTGTTGGGTTTACAATATACACCATTATATTTATATGTATATATATATAGATATATATATATATATACGTTAATATATATCGCGTCGTGGGAAGTTCTCTCGAACACCATTATTACTTAGTACTTTTTTATCCATTTTTCGTTATAATCATTTTGTCTCATTGTTAACCGTGACGTGTTTTCTTTTTCATTAGCTTCAGCTTTCAAATTCGTCGCAACGCTGAACCCTTACACCTTTTGACATCGCTTAATATTGTGTTTAGACTCTCGTAACGCTCGTCGCACATAAAAAAATGGTTTATCTGTCCCGTGAAAAAACGATAGCTCTCTCTTTAGCTTCCATTTTAGTTCGTCGTTGAGGGGAAGTGAGTGTTTTGTGTGTTTGCCTCGACAAGCGAGAGCGAAACGAACTTAACCGCTCGTCCCGTTAACCATGGTTTCCTTGGGCTTGCTGTTTTGTGATACTCTAGCATAGCGTGGCCGCTGCTCTCGTTGACCTTTCGGACCACCTGGTTGGGATTGCTGCTGCTGTTGTTGGTTACTACCAGTGTTGTTCGTCGACGCTGAGATGTCGTTATTCGACGGCGTTATCTCCTTACTCTGGATGCTGCCGCCTGACTGGTCACCTTGACCTACACTACTGCCTGCAATATTAATTTTTCATTTGTTAAAGACTGTGCATCAGAAACATCAAAGAAACATACATTTCAAATTTCAATTAAAAACTACTGAATAAAAATACAATATTAAATGAAGCGTGTTGTTTGCGTAAAGTAACCAATTCCTTTGTATGTATATATTTATTGATTTCAATTAATTTTCAAATATAATGCAAAAATATCGATACGTTGTTATAACGAAGCGAATCGGTGCTTGCTTTACATGACAATAACACAGAAATACGAAAGTAAGGCAAGGTCTATTTTTCTATTTTCATTTTTCATTATCGATAGATTGCAGTAGCGATTATCAATAATACAGTGAAATCGCAATCGAATGAAATTACCTCGTCTACTACGGGTCGGCGTCGCGCTGCGCTGACGATACCGTCGTGAACGTCTTTTCGATCCTCTGGTACCACCTTCCATGCTCGATACCGACTCTAAATGAATACAAACCATTGTGACCATCTATTAGTTTACTTTCACTTTTTGTTTTACGTTTCGTGTGAAGAAATGACTGCAATTGTTAGTAACAGGCATTCAGGTTAATGTACCCAGTATGATTTCTCCACAACATTACAGTTAGATGGTCACAAGTGTTTGCTTTATTTATTTTTTCTTGACAACAATCACTCAAGGACGATACATATATTTGTTTTAGTTTTATATTCGGAAATTAACAATGCAATTCTTATTAATTTGTGCTTTCGGAAGATGGTTGAGGATACCCTAGCTATAAAGCCATACATACACGTGTATTATATCGATCGGCACATTCAACCAAATTCAATTATATTAATTCCTTTGTAAAACAGTTTCTTCATTAATAGTATTAGTTCATTCAAGTATATGAATTAGTAACCCATTAAAAAAAAAAAAAAAAAAAGAAGCTTAACAGTACCAGAATAATAAACGTATTAATTATCCTTATCTTGCCGTGATTGACAAGGCAGAGCACACTTTCATGCACATAGATAACGTAAACAAAAGGCTACAGCGATAAAAACAAGCTCATCGATGATAACGATAAGCCAACACAGAGCAAAGGACTCACCTCTGTCGACACTCGACACGTCCTGGCTGTCGAGAACAGTGTCCTCGTCGTCAGTAGTCCGGCGACGATCATCCCTGCGGTCTCGACGTTGCGTGTTTGGCCGTCCTCCGCCACCTCCACCCTGTCGACCGTAACCAGAACTACCTTGATGACCTCCTCGAGGTGGCAGGTCTCGGATTCGATCGTCGTTACTATCCATTGTATCACGACGCATACCTACAACAATATGATTGTCAGTGAGTCATCAAAGGAAGTTCTATCTGTTCTGTCAAATTTCTGTTTTTATTTATGGCTTGCCGCGTGAGTCAATACAGACTCATTGATAATTTTAAACGGTGCTGCCATTGAAAAATAAAAGCCCATTTTTATTTGCAAAGCGTCTTGTCACTATGTCAATTTGTTAATACTTATAAATAACAGTTAAAATTGACACGCGACATCCTATCATATTAGTATGATTTACCACTATTGTGCCTTGCAGGAGCTCTACCTCGTCCACCACGCCCTCTGGATTGGCCACCACGGCCACCACGACTGTTACTACCATCGTCTGGACCCATGGACATGCCTCGCCTCGTTGGTTGGAAACTGTGGATTGGTCCTGTATTCGATCCGTGAATACTCCTCAACTGTTGATCGATCTCTAGCTTCTCTTGCCGCAACTGCTCAACTTCCTATTTCATTTTTAGTTATTTTCAATTAGCTCTTGATAAATTACAATTAAATGATCAATTGACGTGAAGTTCCATATTTTACCTTAAGGTGAGCCAAATGATATTCCAAAAGGACTTTGGCGTTTGAGATACTCTCAACAGTACCAACAAACACGAATGGTACTTGACCTTCTTCTCTTGGAATTGTTGGCTGAGGCTCGTTGTCACCTTCGATCTTCACTCTCACCTGCAAAAAAGAAACGTTTACGTATGAGTACTTAAAATGTCGCTGGTGGCTAGGGTTTGGTAACGTTTAGAATCTTTACCACCCCACTCTTATCCACGATTTCCTGGATGATTCTGCCGTTTTTCCCAATGACTTTTCCAACCAATACACGTGGAACCTGTATGGATTCTTCACTGTATTCCAACATGGAACGAGCCTTTTTCACAGCTTCATGACTCTGTTGATTAGACAAAAGTGTGTTGGTATCCATATGCAGTTTTTCTGATTCAGTAATCATTTTAAAAATTACCTCTCCATAAATTTTAAAAGTACAAGAGTTTTCCTCTAATTCAATGTTGGTAATCCCTTCTACTTTTCTTGCCTGTTGGATGTTAGCTCCATGAGCTCCAATAGCCAAGCCCATTAAATCCTCCCTCACATTAAACTCATCTGTATAGCTGAAATTCGAATTTCTACATAGACTTTCATGAAAATCGTGTACTAAAAAATATTTTATATAATTAAAATTATAAAAAATTCAACCAAACTAAAAAAAGTTCTTATTCTTAATGATTGAAATAAACTCATGATTTTACAGTGGATTACATGATGATTAAAATGAAAAAATTATCGTAATTTCTTTCAGCTTGGTATTATCAAAACGTGCAAACATTCATGCAAAGCAGGGGTAGAATAGCTAAGAAAAATGAATCTTTTTTGGCCGAAATTGATCGATGCTTTGTTTGTAACTTACTGATAATAGTAAATTTTGATCTTTGTATTACTGTAAGAAGTAACAAATAAAAAACAATAAAAATTTTCGAAATCCCTTTCATGTATTTAGTTGTAGCTAATTAAATTTAGGCTCCTGTTTTATGTTTCCAAATCGAATCATATTCCAGGCAAGGGATAAGCAGATGGGCCATCGTTTGTAACTTTAAGAAAAATTTGGCTTGTTCTAGGTTGTAGCTACTAATAGTTTAGAAAGAAAATGCAGAACAAATTATTTGAAAGATACATTATTTGTATAGAACTATAAAACAAAATTTGTAGCACTATTAAAAAAAACTACTAATCTTCACTAACCAACTTTGCATACTCTTACTAAAGGAATAATTTACAACAAATATAATAATAGTTTTGCATACAAAGTGTAATTGAAGCGTACGTTTGTAATTGATATCTACACTGCATATTTGTGGCATGCACATTAAACGTGTAAATTACTAGTTGTAAAAAAAATTTGAAAATTTCAATATATATAGCAATGTCAAATCGGATAAAAATACAATAAGCTATCTTGAGTGGTCTAGACCACGCAGCATGGGTCTCACCTTGAGTTTCCTTTAACTCCTGTCTCATAATCTGAGACACGTTGGTATACAAAGTTTGAAGATCTATATTTGCTGAAATAAGAAAGAAATCCCTGAAGTAACAATGAAGTTTAAAGTATAGAATATTTCAAATGCTTTGGCATCACATTTGGTAATTTTGTGTGGCTGAGGATACAATTGAAATATTCCAGAATTCAAACTTCTTGACATGACTTGAAGGATAGAATTTTGTTGAATTTATAAAAGGATGGCCCCATTCTGCGCCCTTGCCATTCTGTCTGTTTGCGTGCGATGAATTTCTATCGCTATAATTGCCCAGACAATCCCTAGTATAGTAGTAGTGATAAAAGATGCGTGAGAAGAACACTACGTACGCAAAATATGACGCTGATCGGCCAGCAAGCGAGTAATTAAATCAAGGGAAAAACTAAAAATTATGTTTTTTTTAACTCCGACAACACAATGTGTTTTGACATTATTAACAAAGCATCGATCATTTTCGGTAAATTTTGGATAAATAACTCGATTATTAAACACAATGTTCACGTAATTTAATGAAAACTGCGATTATGAATAGATTGACATTTTTTGAAACTATGTGATACAGATTGTGAAAGAATTTGGATATAACATTATATTCAATAGCTAAGGTAATAGTCAAACATATATTGAACAAAAGTAAATTTGGAACATTTTGCGCTGTTATACAGAGTATCTTTCACCTTTGCCAACAATGAAATTTACAGACAGGATGGTAGTGAGGACAGTGAATGTTTACCTCTGTATATGAATTAGTATTTTAGTTAGTAAATTAATTGAATATGCAGAGCAAGGCAAAAATGAAAGGGTTTATTTTGAATTAGCAACAAAAAGTATAAAATATGAATTACTTACACTCCTGTAGTTTGAAGCTTGGTGGACTCCAACTGACGTGCAGCTTCTTCTGTCCTCTTCAATAAAAGTACCTATTTAATAAAAAAAATGTTGCAAACTAGTTTTTTCAAGAATAAATACTTTTTTTTAATTTTTATGAAGACAAGTACCTTTTGTGACAAATTACGAAAATGCATGTCTTGCAGCATACTGCAGTGTCGATGTAGATTCTCTTGACGGGAGATGGCCAGCAATACTCCACGTTCAGGCACATATCGTAACACTGCTGCCCCTATCACTTTTTGGAATTCTTTGTGTACACCATCCATTTTTGCACTAATAAGTAAAATAGATAAATTAAGAACACATGAATAACCAAATATTTTAATGGACAAAATATACTGCATATATTAACTTACTATTCTCTCAGGTCTTCAGGCACATCTATTTCCACCTTGTGAAATGTATTTTTGTCAATAGGAGGGTTAGGATTTTTCGGTCTTAATCTCTCACTGGCAACAATTTCGGTGTAAGCACAGTCCCATCCCAGATATTCAATGACTTGAAAACCACCCTTGGTCATCTATATGAAAAACATTAATAATAAAACTTATTATTCACTCGAATATTCAATGAGCAAAGTATCAAATTTCTTGTTAAAACTATTAATACTAACATTCATTTGTGAATCTAATCATGAACAGTAACAATTCAAAAAGAAATTCATACTAACATTAATAACAGCCCTCCACCACCCGCTTGCCTCCTGGTCATTTGCCCTGGAGAACACTTCAATTTCTTGATTTTCTTGAAATTCAGGCTTTGAACCTTCCTTGGGAGGTAGACGAACTTTGGAAAAAGAAAATTTGGACTCTGGTTGCCAGCTAAAAATATAAAAAAACAGTAAAATGAAACAAAGTTGTTAGAACAATTGAAGAACAAAATTGAAAATTACTACTATTATCTATAAATAAATCTGACTATAGTAAATAATTAAAATCAAGTTGTAAAGATTTTAAACAATAAAGTTATAACAATAATGGATACATTAATGAATCGTGTAAAACAAAAAATGAAAACTAGTTCAAGATCAAAGGGATAAACTAAGTAAGTTATAATGCAGCTTAATCAATAAATTTTCGACCAATTGTTTATTAACAAAAATCAAAGGCTACTCACTCATTTTCGAAAGCCACCAGAACATCGGTGTCATAAACGTCCCTGACAAAGGCCTGTAAAAGAAGAAAATTATGTTCACAAGAATATTGAAATATCCTCGCGGTTAATTCGATCGTGTCGCTGTACTTCGTGATCCAACCGCTCTTCCGAAACCTCGTGCGTGGACTTCCAAAAAAGGTGTTTCTCGCGGCGGCGTCTTACGCCGCCCGCACATGCGGAATACAAGAAGCTTTGTCAAAGAGAGAAACAACCGAATGAAAAGTGGAAAAAAAACAGTCCCTTAAGAATATAAAAATCAAAAAAACAACCAAGCTCTCCCGGATACAATATCGCTAGTAAGCGAGGAAGAGGGAGAAAAAGAGAGAGACAGAAAGAGAATGAGAGGAAACGCCGTGCCGGAGAATAAGTATATGCCGCTGGGGATGACGCACTACCACCAAGCAAGATAGCCGCGTAACCGGAGGTAAGTCCGTAGAAATGCAGGAAGCAATCCGAAAGATAGCGAGAGTAAGGAAATAGAAGAGAAGCCCAGGTCGTCGGCGGCGACATGGCGTCGGCTCGTGGCGCGATGGAGACGAGTTAGGTAGGTAGGTCTAGCAGTTGGAATAGTGGGGCCGGCGAGCCGGTATGTCGACTTCGTGATGATAAATAACGAGGGCTTCTCGTAATGCATACTTTTTGTAATAACGCACCTTGTAATACGCTCCGTTTTCGCCGCATACTTCGACTACGAGATCCTCCATCTTGCTTTTGTGTGTGACGGGTCGACGACGACACCACACCACGGACCTCAGCTCCCGAGCCGCACAGTCTTGGCTAGCCCCCGCTACGCGCGCGCGCCGCCCTCTGCTCTCTCCGCTGCTGCCGCACCGTACCGCCGCGCAAAAGAGAGAGAAAGAGATAAAAGAGGCGGCGCTGTTGATCGTTGTCTTGCCTTGTACAAATGCGCGAGAAAGAGAGAGAAAGAACGATGCGACGAAAGAGCACGCCCGCACCAACGAATCAACGATTATACGATACGCCGGCTGGTGGAACTTCTTCGGGGAATGTAATTCAAAGCGATGCCAATCTCTGCGGTGCGCTTGCTATACATTCAAACCACTTCCTCTTTTCGATAACGTTCTGTCTGCACTTTTTCTTTGGAATTTACCCGTTAAATATATTCTTTGTCTTGTTCTTTGTTGATATATAAGAGGTTACGAAACAATCACGCTTCGTTTATTTGACTGTGGTTTATTTTCAACACTTACCAATGTTTACGCGTATTGTACATATTTGACTGCAACTTGGATGAAAAATTTAAAAAGCGTCACGACGCTATTTATTGGTTATGGTTACGAAAAAAAATTCGCCGTGAGGGGAAAAGGCCAATCGCTGCGATCTTTCGTGTAAAATTTGTTTGAAGCGCGCAATTTGAAATTTGCAGCTATAGTTTGCTAGCAGTCTTTCGAATTTCAACTTTAAATAATAATTTATAAATTTTTGTATTAAGCAAAATATTTTCAATTTTTTTAATATATGAGTCAATGTATATTTCATTAACTCTTATAGCACTAATTTTAGTGTACTAAACGCCTGCGATTTGTTTAGATAGAATGAATAACAATGCCCTCGATAATTCCCGCAAGGTTGAACTAGCTTTTGTCCTTCAGTGTAATGTATGTATGTAAATACATCAATACCTCTGACTACAAATCTTTCATAAACATATACATTTGTCAAATAATTTAAAAATAAATGTATTAAAACCCCATCCATATAAATTTTTTAAAGTTTGATTTATTTATTAACGTGACAATAATGTGTTAATGACAAACATGTATCATTCTTTAGCTTCATAACGCAGAGTACATGCAGATATTGACACCTAAAAGTCTAAATAAATAAATAAATAATGCAAGCTTCAGTTACAATGGTATTCTATCCTTATATATATACATGCATAGCAAGAATATAGAGTCCTTGTATACTATAGTAAGTACATACACACATACATACATACACACATACATACATACACACGTATGTGTGTGTGTATACAGCAAGTACAGACGGTCAGTTGTGTTTTATAATGTGTCTCGCTTTCTTGCGATCGCTAGAATTGTTAAAGACGTACGGGTAGTGAGCTACTGTCGTCACTTGTCACTCTCGTCATTTACAGCGCACAAGAAGGAGACAAAAAATAAGTGAGAAAGAAAGACGCAACGCCTCTATTCTACAGATCGCGGGGTGGGGTAAACGCTCTTCTGGAACTTCTTGACCAGCCGCAGCTAGCGAAGTAATAGAGTAGTAGTGGATACGCACTCGACGCGTAAACATCGAAAGCTGTTTTCAATAAATACGCGTGTGTCTAATCAGAGTCAGAGAGAGAGAGAAAGAGATCTCTGGACTTTGCACATATTTTCTGACTCATCAGCCAACCGCACTACTGACTACTTGTCATCGTTTAGAACAGCCAGCATTTCGTCACGTTTTCATTTGCAGAGAAATTTGTCAGGTATTACACATCTTTCTCTCTGTCTCTCTTATTCTCTCATTCTCTCATTCTCTCTCTCTTTCTCCCTCACTAGTCTGCTTGCGTGTAATGTATTCCAGAAAACTTTCGCTTTTGCCTATATATACGCGACTCGGCCACTCGCTTTTTGGGGGCATATGCATATTATGTATACGTACGCACGGAATGGGTTCTGTCTCACGATATCAAGTTTTTATTTTTATTTTTTTACATTCATCTTGAAAGATATTTCATTTTCCTCGCGAAATTTCAGACTGGTTTGCGTGTGCTCTTTCTTGCGCTTACACACGTGTTTTTTTTACTTCTTTCCTGCGTTCGTGTATATGACGATGGAAAAAAAAACGAGTTTTTACAGCTGGATGCTGACACTCGTTTAACTTTTCAGGGACTTTTTTGGGAAAGCTAAGTGGTGTGTGGACTACATGTTTTGTCGAAGGCGAACGTACGACTGTTGAGTGTAAATTGAGAAAGAAATTTATTCGTTAAGTGGCCTATAGTTCGCACTTAGGGTCTGCACTCTTCCATGCAGGTATATATCACGTACTTATTCAAGAATCGCGAGTGTATCTGTATGAATGTGTGTACGTGTGGACAAATAAAGATGCTTCAGCAACAATAAAAGTCCTTGAATCGTTGAAACTGCCAGTGAAAGGACAAAAAGCGTGCTAAGTTGATGAAAATTATACTTCGTGTCAATTATCAAGACTCACGAAAGTTAACCTTGTTTTATATGTTAGAATAGTTCAATTTCTTTATAAAATAGTGCATTATGACTTTTCAACAGACATTGATTTAAAATTTCGTTTTAATTATTTTGAGCAAATTACCATATTTTGAAAACTTAATAGTATATTTTCTGTATTTTCTAGCATACTGATCAATAAAACCTTTCATTTACCTACTAATCAAATGTCAGTAAATTACAAAGTAAAATATTTTTCTAGTACATTATATTTATAAAAAAGTTATTTAATACAAGTTTTCTTATGTACTGTTAGGTTTACACAAATTTCATTACAGCCTTGAAAGACTAACATTGTATTTATATAGATATTCTATAGTATATACGACATCACCTGTAGATTACTTTCATAGTATTAATTGATGTTAATCTAATTGGTGGTGTAAACAACAGTGAAAACAAAAGTCCCTAGCTTATTTTTGATATCCTGCATAAGTCTGTCTTGCTGAATAAACTTGTGATATGAACTTAGGAAAGTGTTAATCTTTTTTGCAGATTTTGTAAATAAGTGACTGTGTAATTGCATACTTATCTCTGAGAGACAAGTATGACAGTTTGGTGAAATAATTAGGAAAGAATGCTTAAAGACGTTGAAGCTGGATCAGGAGGATGCAGCGGTATAACTTCCAGACCAAGGAGGTTGATTCCACGATTCTCATTAAGAAGGTTGCTATATACAAGTCCCTTAATCGGTCGACGTATCTCCAGACCATCTACTTCAAGCAACAAAAGTGGAAAAGGTAATTTTATTATTTATAATAGTTTAAAGTTAATTAAAAAAGTTTCATTGCTAATAGACATGATGAATTAAAACTTATGTTATATATAATTTTCATAGGCAGGGACACTATAACCAAATCCCCTGATACAGAAAGAGGTCAAGCCAAGACTAGCTCTAGCCATACACAGTATCACAATGTAGATTTACAAAGAGCTTCCAGTAAAGGATCAGTTTTATCAACTGCAGGAAAAGTAATATATGTTTAAAATTATTTTAGAAACTGTTCGATATGATTAGTGTATTAAACTGATAAATAAAATTAATGTTTTTAGAGTACTGAAAATGGAACAATGGAGTGTCCTTTATGTTTAGCTGAACTTCCAGTAGAATTATTTCCTATAATACAGTCATGCCATCATCGTAGTTGTTATGATTGTTTCCAACAGTACCTCAGAGTGGAAATATCTGAATCTAGAGTTAACATAGCTTGCCCTGAGTGTTCAGAACCTCTTCATCCAAATGGTAAATAACAAATTATTATTTTGAATATTTCATTTAAGCTAATAATAATTCTAATGTTTTCTTACCCTATTTTTCCAGACATACAGATGATTTTAAATGATCATATTCAACTTGAAAAATATGAAGATTTTATGGTAAGACGAGTTCTCGCAGTTGAACCAGATGCAAGATGGTGTCCAGCACCGGATTGCAGCTTTGCTGTGATTGCATCGGGCTGTGCTTCGTGTCCAAAATTGCGATGTGAGAGGCCTGGTTGCGATTCTTATTTCTGCTATCACTGCAAGGCGAGGTGGCATCCTAATCAAACTTGCGATGCTGCACGAGCTCAACGTTCACAATATTATGAACGAAGCTCATCTCTCAGTTTCAGTCAAAGCGACTCTCAACACAGTTAGTAATTTCCTATGACAAAAATTTGTTAATTTTTTGCACAAAATAATTTTTTAACGGGGCCACTAAATGTCTAAGATTACATAAATTATAAAACAAGATGGTATGATGCTTTATACTTGTTTAGGAGATGACATCAAACCTTGCCCCAGATGTCAAGTTCTTATTTTTAAAATGGATGATGGTAGCTGTAATCATATGACATGTACTATGTGTGCTGTGGAATTCTGTTGGCTATGCATGAAAGAAATCAGCGATCTTCATTATCTAAGGTATCATAGTTTTTCAGATAAATTGAAAATAATAGTTATTACTTTTTTTAAATTTGCATTGAACTAACGTGAAAAAATTATCATAACTGATATTTCCGCTTAATCTGTATTTTTGTCACGAAGTATGAGTCACGAAATATGACTCATAGCTTAGCAAACTCACTGCAATACGTAAAAGTTATAACACACTCGAAAAGTATTCCCTTATCGCAAGCACGAAGTATTTGTATAATGTAATAACATCCATTGGCATAAAATAACGTCCAACTCCTGTTCTTTCTTTTCGACAGTCCGTCCGGATGCACATTTTGGGGTAAAAAGCCATGGTCTCGCAAAAAGAAAATTCTTTGGCAACTCGGTACACTCGTCGGTGCTCCAGTCGGCATTGGCCTTGTTGCTGGCATTGCCGTGCCTGCTATGATCATAGGTAACAAGATAGATCCCAATTGTTATGTATTCGTTTTACAGCTTGAATTCTTTACACATCTTTACATGCGCAACGTTGTGGCTGTTTTTAGGCATTCCCGTTTGGGTTGGACAGAAGTTGTACACAAGATATCAAAAGGCCAACAAGCACAAAAGGAATGCATTCGTAGCTGGTGGAGTTACCGCGTCGGTAAGTGGAGAAAAACATAACTTTGCATATTTTATTCGGTTTATTCGGAATGTTCGACATTTGAATGTGCAATTTTTTAATAGATATTTTTGTATTTTAAACAGCGTGATGATAATTTTAATTTTAAGCATTTAGCTTTTTATAAAACTATTTTCCATAGAATCAACGTTGGTATTTAATACTTCATAAATTAACAAGTCAAGAATTAATAGTTAATGAATAGATTGTTAAATTTTTTAGCTGTAGTGATATCTAAACATCTCGTGTTAGATAATAAAATGCTTGACTAATAATTATCGCGAAAGTAGGTTTTTTATAACTCTTGCGTCGACGTTATATTTTCTCTACATTACTCATTTTTTTCGCATTCGTCATCGCTAAATCGTTGACGTGTAAAGATAATAACGGTTCATCGCACGAATGCCCATCCGCGGATCGTGTTTCTTTTAATGAGCGCATACGCTCACGTTTTATTCATTTTTCATTCGTTGAGGATTTTTCCGGTAACGTATCAAGCAATGCGCCACATGAAAAAAAAAGATGTTTTATTCCACAAGCATCTATTTTTTAATAAAGACTGAATTACATTGCTCGAAAACGAAGAGCGGATTAAACGATAAGTAAACGAGTTTCATAATAGACCTATAGGTAAAAAGTGTAATTTTACTTTCAGTGTTTTATTCCATATGGCATAAAAATTACAGATAAAATTAATAAAAATTAACATTTATCTGACCTCGTGAAGTTCATCAGCATACAAATACATTTGATAATTGATAGCGCAGAAACAATGTCGTAAAATTGATGATAATATACATTTGTTTCATCAATGATTAGCACTGAGTACAAGTTTTAATTCACTTACCGCAAGGAACATTTTCGATTAGCAGACAGTCACATGATCATGCAAAAAAAGAATCAAAATTGGTATATAAGCATTAAAACGAGTAAAACTCTACATCTTTATCGCTTATCAATTTCAATAGTTTCACAATATCCTTTAATCATCGTGATTAAACAATGCATGATTTCTGAAGACGCGACGCTATAGTTAATTATCACCTCTGTTAGTATATTTGACTTGGACGAACGCACGCGTAAGCGATCGAGCAAAGCGAACAGAAAAGGAAAAAAAATAGAAGTCAAAAAAGAAGAAAAAATTCCACCTGTCCATTTTTGCTTCTCGCAAATATACAGACACTGTCTAAAATTTTAACTCAAGCACGTCAAGCATTTATCTAAAAGAATTTCTCGCTTTTTAATATGACAACTTTATATCCGACGAGACAGTTTCGTCACACTTGAACTCTGTATAATGTAAACACGTGCCTGATTAGAAATCTGCATTAAGCGAATATGTGACATAGAAAACAGTCGATGTTTGCAAAGTACGCACGCATATTACATAGATAAGAGTCACTCGTCACTTGGATAATATTAGATGGTTTTTTTATGTTGTCTGTGAACGACGTTCGATTAAGTTTTTTTTTAACGTCATCTCGTTTACAAAGGTGTAAAAACAACGAAATGACGCGAGTTTCTTGATAAATTCACATTTTCGCGCACACTGAGATACAAATCTTATCGATCGCTATTAATCGTATGTTTCATTTTCTTTTATTTTCTTTTTTACAGTAAGCAGTACGCGATAAAATGAGCTCGTTATGTATTCGTGACGGCATTATTTATAATATCTATGTACGCTGCTGGCGGTAGTTATTAAGAAAAAAAAGAATCAATTGATCGACAAGGTGAAATATTATAATTCGATTCCAAGTCGGCGATTAGGTGATTTTCCAGGAAACAAGTTCTCATTCGCACGATTGTCGCTCTTTTCTCTCTCTCTCTCTCTCTCTCTTTCTCTCTCTCTCTCTCTCTCGCTCATCAGTGTTATCAATACAATGCTTGCTAAGTCGATGCATACGTTGTATATATATATATATATATTTTTTAATTTCTTATGCAAAATCAATTCGCGTTTTTCAATAGTGGGAAGTCGATCGGAGAAAGACGTCCTCGTATCACTTTATATTATTTTCAAGGAGTGTCTATGGATATATTTCTCTCTTTCTCTTACCTCTTATTACGTAAATTGGAAAAATTATTATAAAAAAAAAAGGATTACCGAAGGACGTGAATCGTCTTATTAGCAAATGCAACATAGCGTTTGCTTTCGAAGCAACATGCGAAAAAATGGTACAATTAGGAATTGACATTTGACCTTCCGCCATAGACGCTCTTTGACATTATTATTAGCTGTATTGCATAATTAAGTTTGAGATACCACAGACAGAATTATCCTCCCGATCCGCAGACTCTTTGAATGAGTGGTCATGTATTTACTAAGCAGGTCGACTGTAATCAATGCAAATGTCGGTTTATTCATGCGATTCACATGTGTCGTACTGGAAATGGCAGTTTTTCAAAATCCCGTTTGACGCTCTTGTAGTATCGAGAGGACGAAGGTTGCACGCGTTATAATATGCTACAGCGCGCGAGATTGAAAATTGTTCGGGCGGCAGTGACGCAAAAAAAAAAAAAAATAATGAAAATGTCTAACAGAGCCTGCGATAGCGACAGCTCGAAGGACGTATCTAAGTAGCATCGTGTCACCGCTCCGATACGGCCTTGCAGCTTTGAATATTATAATCTACACCCTTCTCTATTTTAGCTCGCTCGTGTAGCCTACACGGAAGAAAGTGTTTCATAAAAATTACAGTGCATCACGGTAAAGCTAAGACACTATGACTGCTTCACAAATTTGAAGTGATATCGTATAAAAATTATGAATTTTCTTATAATTTTTCTCAAATTCTGAATAAAATTTTGCAGAATCGTCATTGTAAAAATTCCCCTACTCTCCGAACTTGGCACTGCCGATTGATAAAACAGATCCGGTTTAAGGTATTGCAATGTTGAAGGTTATAAAAATGATAAAACCAAAATGTTGAACCAATCCTAAAGTTTTTTGATTCACACCCACCAAAGAAGAATTTTAAATTGTTAAATAGTTTTCCATTATTGGTTGTTCAATTAATTAATCAAAATTTTTACTTTGCCCTCAATTCAGGAACGTACAACAATAACAAATGTTTTCACTCGAGCATCCTGTGCAATTGATACTGCCGTAGCACCATTGTTTTGTCTATGTGAATTTTTGCACTTTATTATCAGTACTATAAATTACCGTGATGAAACAGTAAAATTTAACGTGTATAATGTAGAAATTCATGAAAATCGTCAGAAAAATTCTATAAATTCATTAGAAATATTATTCTTTGGAAAAATGACAGTGCGGAATTGTAATATTTCTCGGAGTGTTGAGCAGTGCTTATGCTTAGATTTATAATAATTGGACCGATTTCATCATAAAAATTGACAAATTGCTATAATGTCCCAGCTTTACCGTGACAGTTACGGTAATTTTTACGCGATATTTCTTCCAGTGTACACGTGTCGTATTTACCGTCGGTTTCGCCTAGAACGTGTACTCGTGTGCGCGCGCGATAGGCAAAAGAAAAAAAGGAACGGGAAATTATAGTATACTGTGCGTGAATACTGTGCTCGTAGCTGTATTGCTAGCGACTTTGGCCAATCAAGTTTCCTCGACGGTCTCCACGATGTCCTTGATGTCGAGCACACCGTCGTTGTGCAAATCCTCGAGCACATCGATGAGTCGCTGCTCGGTCATGGGATCACCCAAGGCCACGTCGACCGAACCGATGCACAGCAATAGGGCTAGCAGTTGACTGCGCCGATAGTCGCGATCGAGGTCCGATCTCGTGTACTGCAATTCGTTGGCGATGTCGAGTCCGAGGCTCGCGCAGCTCTTGTTTAACGTGTGCCAGTAGCCGTCGAGCAAATTGGCGGTGTGTCTCCGGCGCAGCTCGGTAGGCAGACTGCTGACGAGCAGGAGAGCGACGTCGTTGGTCGGCCGACTGTACGTGACCATTTGCCAGTCGATCACGGCGCACTCGGACAGCTTGCCGTCGTCCGCGTCGCGAAACAGCAGATTGTTGCACCAGAAGTCCGTGTGGGTGATCAAGGCCAGCGGCCCTTCGGGCGCCAGCAGATTGGCGATCACTTCCTTTGTGCGCGGGCGCAGTGCCAGCAGCGACTCGAGCACGGCCTCCAGGCCCGGGCGTCGCTCCAGGAAACGGGCCAGCTGCGGTAGTCCCCGTTCCACTGTTCGCGTACGTACATTCGAGACACTGTAGTGGCGGCAAGCTGCGCCGAGTGTTTCGACGCTCGAAGCGTCCATGAATACTCACCCAGCTGCTGATAGGAGTCAGTCGCCCTGGTCGTCTGGAACAAGAACGGGTATCTCTCGGACAGCGGCTTTCCTTCTTTGACCTTGAGCGTGAGCGAGAGAGCGTGCAGTCGCGCGACGGCGTCGAGGGCGGCCTCGGCTTGCTTCAGCGTGAGTCCGCGCGAGAATTCGGCGCCCTCGAAGCCGCGCGAGCCGAGATTTTCTAACACGAGAAACGACTCGGGCAGCTCGGGACTGTCCTCGCTGCCGCCGCCACCGGGACTGTAATGAGCGTGAATGCAGCGTGGTATCGGCAGGTCTATTGGCTCGGCGTTTGCCAGTCTGTTCTGCTTCTGGAACACCTCGAGATCCGGCACCACCTGTCGGATATGTTTATCGTGTATCGTCCTTCCTTCCGGTCGTCGACGTTCGATGGTTTTCTGCTTCTCTCTCTCTCTCTCTCTCTCTCTCTCTCTCTCTCTCTCTCTCTCTCTCTCTCTCTCTCTCTCTCTCTCTCTCTCTCTCTCTCTCTCTCTCTCTCTCTCTCTCTCTCTCTCTCTCTCTCTCTCTTTCTCTCTCTCACTCACCTGCGTGTAGAATCGAATCTCTCGGAGGTCGAACTGCGCCTCGGTAACGAAAAAACGGCTGTAAGGATCTTGAGGCAACCTCTTGACGATGAGACTGAGCTGCTTGCTGGCGGCATTGTCGTTTGGCAAACGGTACTCGAGGCTCACGGCCAGAATGTCACTGAGCACGCTCTCACCGGCGCTGCAGCCGGGACGCACCTGGAAGTCGATCACCTCGGGCTTGTTGCATTCCTTGTTGCCGAGGTGCTCCGCCAGCATACCCTCCAGCCACTCCCTCGTTATGTTCCAGTCGGCGCACGAACCTTCCGTATCCTCGCTGTCGGACATTCTCGCGACCAATCTCTTCTCTCTGCTTCTCTCGGCGCCTACTTCACTGTCAACTTGGCTTATCCTGCGCTCTACTCGTCCAAGACCTAATCAAAGATTTGCCAAATGAAACGATTGCCAGGCAGAAAGCTCTGCAAAGATTGTCAACGCGGGCTTCTCGGGGAAAGGACCTCGATCGAAGATCCAAAAGAGAGCGAAGAGCCGCAGCGACAACGATGACGAGCATATCGGAAGTCAATTAAGAATGAAAAGCACGCGACGGGCACGCGCGCCAATTGCGCTCTGCGCTAATCAAACAATTGCGCGAATGGAAACCGAGGGACAGCCCGCAGAAGAGCGCGGAAAAAAGTAAACGGAGCCAAGCGATACGGAGCGAAGGCTTACCTCGCGGCCGGCAACGCTATCGAAACGCTGAGCAGCGAGCAGCGGCGACACCAGTAGCGGCAGCAGCAGCAGCAGCAGCAGCATCGTCCTCGCGACGGTACACGAGGCGGCGGTCTGAGAGCGGTGACGGGCGTGGGACTACGGCCTGGCCTGCCTGCTCGCCTGCCTGCCTGGTCGCGCATGCCTCTGACGCTGCGCTCACTCCAATCAATATCCTCTCACTCTCGCCCTTTCTCTCGCTCCCTCTCTCGCTCCCTCTCTCGCTCTCGCCGATGCTACATCCTGCCGTCGACTCCTCGTCTTCCTGCATGCGCAAGCTCTTCGGGCGCTTTCGACCAAATGTCTTCTGCCTGTTCTTTTGTCATTCTCGTTTTTCTTTTTGGACAGGGCCAGCTGCACGAAGCTGCACTTCTTTCAGCGGGAAAGCGGATGCTAATGAGCAACGCCACTCGTACTAATGAAAAGGCTGCTGTTTTTAAGTTCGCCCTTTTCTCTTTTACCTTTGGTATCTCGGCATCGAATCGCAACTTCTGTCACTCGGATTGTCAATTATTTCGATACGACGTTTTGCATTCGAGCTCGGAGACTCGTTGGAATTGCAAAACTCCTTACATCGTTAAAGGAATACAGAGCGACGCTTTGTTTCCTTTTTTTTCGCGCTCGCGGTGAGGTTTCGTGGACAAGTGACGCGACCCCCTGCGCGTTGTTTCATTGATTATTACCGGTGTGTTCATCGCCGTCTGATTAATACAGAGACACACGAGTAATAAAAAGTAAACGGACGGCGCGCGAAAAAAATTGACAGCTTTAACGCCCGGCAACGGTGCACAAAAGCGACACGATCCATTGTCCCTTTTAGCGCGCGCGATTCTGCGAAACACTTCCGTTGCTCCGCATTAGCGTGGAAAAGTAAAATTGATTTGTCGCACGCTTGTTCGCAGATCCTGGTGTCGCCATTGATAGCTGGATTAGCGGTGGGCATCGGAGTGCCGATTCTGCTGTTCTACGTTTACGGCGTCGTGCCAGTGTCACTGTGTCGCAGCGGAGGTTGCGGAGTGTCGACTAGCGGCTCCGGTGTGCGTTTCGAGTTCGACGACGAGAATGAGCTGATGGGTGCTCTCGGCGTCAGGAACACCGGAGGTCTGTATGCATTTATTGTTTCCGTTCTGCGCGCAGCCAACGGTGCACATCGTTGCGCGCTCGGCCTTTGTGTTGTCCTCGCTTTTGCTTTCCCCGTTGTAATGGGATTTCGCGGCGGTTTGTTCTTCTCTTTACAAAAGTTTTCTTGTTGTTGTTTGAAAAGCACACTAAATTCGAGAACTATCTTGTTAACAACCTTGCGCGATCACTCGAAACATCGCGATTCATCGTAAGCATTTCGCTCTTTTTCCTTTTCATTACACGCAAATCCATCGCGGCGTAAATATATTTTTCATCGTTCCGTCGACAATTCAGACCAATTCAAATATAGAATTCGAGATCGCATTTAAAATTTTAGAACTTGAGTTCGCTGACTGTTACGGCATCATCGCGTTAACTGGAAATTGAAAATACTCAGAGCATCCAAGTTTCATATCCGGATGTTAAATGTTTTCTTCAATCATTGAAAATCGAACGCGTCATTGGTATTACAGATGCAGCTTCGATAGATGTGGCGAGCCACCGAGGTGGAAATCCGTCAATAGGAGAGGCCTCGTTGTCGCTCGGCAGTGGCAGTCAGCTTGAGAAGCTCGGACGAGAGAATGACCGCGAGAGCGCCAGTAATGTTGCCCTCGCTGGCACCAGCCTCGCAGGCAGCATCGCCTCCAGCGTTCTTCCTGGCGGTCAAAGGTAAATGCAATTTTGTTATATGCCAACTTTTTTATTGCGTTTGCGCGAATATTCTGCTCGCAGTTTTTCCACGATAGTCCAGCAGATTTCTACTTGTCGGAAAGACAAAAACATGAAAGTAGTGAAGATTAGAGCCGAAGGTTTAAAATTGAATCAGACAGTTAGAGATCGAGAAATATCGAATGCGCCAGACGGAAAATCAAGTTCCGAGTAAATAAAAAGCGCTGTATCTCAGCTTTCTCGATTGTTTATTTTTAAAAAGTCCATGATTCAATATAATGGAATTACCTCTTGATCAAATGAACGAAAACAAAATTGTAATAGGACTCCTGTCGACTGAACGACATTGATTTTCACTAGCAAACATTGACTGAGTTAAGAGACTGATTCTATTCTATAAATAAAGTTCGAGTAAGCAGCGATATGTATTACATCCTTCAACCTTCGACGCGCTGAGCTTTTATAGCGTTTTTACCGACCTTGAAAGCAAAAACTAAATTAAAAATTTTACAGATTGGAAGTCCAGGCAGACGTGACATCGGCGCAACGATTCAGTCTGTGTAGCGAGACAGCATCAGCGGCTACCAGCCTCTCGGAAAAATCCGTCAACGCATCAATCGCTCCAGACGACGGTTCAGCGTCGACCCGCACTCTGGCCGGTTCAGTTCTGAACATCAAGCTCGACTCTGCAGCGTGCGCGACCAACGAATCTTCCACCCAGGTGGATTTGTCCTCGGGTCAAGCAGCGTCTCTGAGTTCGCTTGAAGAGATGACACCAGGCAATCTGGCGAAACGTGCACGTCGTCGTCCAGTCGACAAGCAACAAACGAGCGACTCGAGTGCCGATGACGGTGGCAGTGAACGGGTTAGATTTGACCACCACGTGAGCTTCATCGAGGAAGCCAACACCACTGGCAGAGGTCATTCGAGGCGCAAGCGAGGACAACAGGAGAACAGCACCGAGGAGCCGCAGCAGAAACCCTTGAGGTTCCTTCAGCGTGTTTTCTCGAGATGATCGTATCTGGTGAGAAAATGTGTTTGAGCCGTGTGCGTTCGATGACGACTCATCGAATTGGATGACGGACGTTTATTATTATTTTTATTTATTTCGAGTTTTTTTTAAAACTTTTTAGAAAGAATGATGTTTATGGTTTTTAGTATGGATAGACTGATGATGAGTGAAGAGCGATTTGATCGCTCGCTTTTGAAAGATTTTATCTGCGTTTTTTATATCTACAAATTCTGTTGATATAATAAGAATACGCATTTTGTTTTATTTTGTATTTGAAGATTTTGATGTGTAATCTATCGTCGTATTGATGATTATTATGTTACACCAAGTTTCCGACATTTAAAAATATGGAAATCACTTTGTTATGCGAACAGCAAATGATAAATAAAATTATTTTATATATCTATTTTATTTTCGGATACAAATTTTAGTTTTTTTGCTTGTTTAATGCCATCAAAGATTTTCTCACCACTTTACAATATACCCCTTTGGATGTTCTCTCTCTCTCTCGCGTCCTCCCCCCCTCTCTCTCGCTCTCTCTCTCTCTCTCTCTCTCTCTCTTCTCTCTCTCTCTTTCTTTCTTTCTCTCTCTCTCTCTTTCTCTCTTTCTCTTTCTCTCTCTCTCTCTCTCTCTCTGGCTTTTAAAATATAAAACTGCAACGTTTAACATTACAGGTCTCCGAACGGTGACTCGAATTCGCCGGAATTATTCACAGAAGAGCCAGCGAAAGAACGTATGAACGTGACAGCATTGAAAAATATCTTTTTTCATAACTCTTCAACATGTTCAGATCGTGAAAAACGCTTACCAGTCATAGAAGAACCTACTTCAGTTACCTTACAGGCTAATTCTGCATACTTGAACACACATCAGATAGACGATACAAGTAACGAAATAAAGTCAGATGAAAATTAAAATTTGATGAAATTTTAAATGCTTATCGCTACTAAGACTGAGAAAGTTTTATTGAGCTTGCAATTTGGAGGAAATTAATAAACAAATAGTTAAATAGAAAAAAAAATAATATACCTGGAGGCTTTGGTACATGATTCAAGCTAAAATATGTACGATTTTCGTACATGTTAAATGTACATAGATGCACAGATGAATATATACATATACGTATATATACATCCATGCATTTATTTATTCACACAATTACTATATGTAATTATGAAATGGAAAAAATTATATGAAAGTGAGATGCGCATTTTATCATGATAACTTGTGTGATGTTATAGGGTCTGTGAACTCTAAAACTAACGAAAATCATTACGAATTATAGTCGTCAGTATAAAAATACCTATAGCATTAAAAAAGTTTTTTATTTAGTTTTTTTTTGTTTTTTTTTTCGTAAACTACGCTAAAATACCGAATCGATTGAGATATTTTCTTTGTTTTATAAAGGATCTTATTAGAAATTTTTTATATACCAAGTCGGAAAATCATAATAACTATCGTTGAAATTTATGTATTAAGAAAGTATTTTTACAATTAATTACTGAATCAGTTAAAAGATTTAGACTCAATTGACTTGAAATTTTGATAATAATTTTGAATTTCAAACAACGACATGTTACTTATCCATGTAACCGACTGCTTTGCCTGCGCGAAGGCTCTTTAAAATACCGAAATACATTCTTTAATTGAAAACAACGTGAACTGCCGCCTTTTTGAAGAAAAAAACAAAAAAAACGATTTAGTAATTGATACTAATAGGCGCTCTTGAAAGTTTTAAAGATAACTGGACAAAAAAGGGTGTAAGTAATAACATGCATTTCTTACAGTTCTTTTCTGTAACACAAGTATGCCATAATTATAAAACAGGAACATTACTATTTACACATACAGGGTCTTTATACAAAAGAAAATACATTAAAATTATAACTCTAGTAAACACTTCTATATAGTTCTCAAAAATGTAGGAGACTTTTTGATGAGTTCATCTGTCTTCATTTTAAATAATTCACTTTGTATTGGTTCATTTGGTAGACAGAGTGGATTTTTCACAACGTATTCAATGTATACCTGTAATAAATGAATGTACATACATGGATTTTAAAAGAATTGTACATAAAAATTCAATAAAATATTATTTAAAAAATACATACTTGGCTGTACAACTTTTGCAACAGTTCTCTAACATTCTGAGCTGCATTATCTGTATTCAATATGAACTTTAAACCAGATGGAGCTTCAAAATAGTGAAGAGTGTATTTACTTGTTTTATAGTACAAGAAACCTTCCTTTGAATCAAGCGGTGAAATTTTACTGACGAACGATTTAATAGAAAACAGCATACCATACATCAATTTTGCTTCCTTTAATGAAAATTGCATTAATAACAATCCTAATGAAAAAAATACATTATAAAAGTAGTAAATATAATTTATTTTAGTCGATATTAAGGCAATAATCATGATTAATCTTTATAACAAGCATCAATTTATAAGACGTCTAGCATGATACAATAAAGAATTTCGCATAAACATTTCACACAAGTATTAAACATGAAAATGCTATCAATACTGAAAGTGTTCTGGTATTCTGAAACGAGTTATTCCCAAGCAATGGTATTCAAAAATTGTGTTTTTAATTAGTTGTTATGAAACCATTAATATTAAAATGTTATTCGATAAGAAAATATTCGGTACGCAATTTATAGGTTAATCTTGTAAATCGTAAAATTAATTTGAACTACTTTAAACTTACCTCATCTTTTGTCATTCCTGATTTATTAAGCCGATTCCACTCCGTATAGTATAAAAGAGTGCCATTTTTGGAAAAAATATATAAATTGTGAATTGTCATTGCAGTTGCTGCTTTTACAACACAGCTTAACGATTTGACGTTTAGGATGTACCAACCGTCGGTACGAATAACAAAAGAAACAATTTCTCCGTTATAAAGGTAGGTGGCTAAAATTTAAAATGTGAAAAGTAAAATATTTAATTTTTTCCTTTTTTTGTAATTTTCTAAGAATAGTTATTCCATAAATATACATTGGTATAAAGATCATTATATGTGTTTTCTTATTTCATAATAAATTATATCCAAGACCAAGTTAAATGAATGTGAATTAAAAAACCACAAGCTCTTGTTAGATATAGTAGCGTGATTTAGCGCGCTTCGTATTATACAATCATAACTTTATTTAATAATAATGGTTTTCTACTACCTCAGTATTATATTATTAATTATATTATATTATTGTGTATTATTAATACATTTCAATGTCGTATGTTCTTCTGTTGGTTCGTTAAAAACATCCGTGAGCATTCTTCAAATCTATGGATGTCAACGACATATTTTTTTTAAGATACGATAGGATAAGCCATTTCTCAAAGCGTGAAATATTTATCTACATTATTAAATTATCATTATAACAAAAAAACTTATTAAGAAACAAAAATTTTAGTGAATTATACATTTGAATAGTAGTATAAAAAACATATAATACCTTTTCTTTCAGAAATAATTAGAAACAACAAAATTGTCGATGATATTTTATGAAATTACCAAAAGCTGTTTTAACAATATATAAACATCGTTTACATTAATCGTTTTTTCATAAATGTTGCTACTTTCGATCTAGTAAGTAATTTGAACTTATTGGTTTTTGACTTTGATGTAACATTTAAAATCAAAAATCAGGAAATCAAATAATATCGTTCATTAATCTTTAATCGCACTGAAACTCACATGTGTTAAATGATGCGATATCTTGATTTCTTTAATGAAGTATGAATTATTGGAGATACCAGAAAGTTATATTAATCTAGTAAACCTCGTGTAGTATTTTGACTTATGTTATTTTTTGTTGATCTATGTACAAATTTCGTATTGTTTCATGATTACTAAGTAAATTTTCGTCAAATTTACAATATAATGGAAAAAAGATAACTAGGTACAAATGATTGATAATTTCTAAAGTTTCAAATATTAATTGTGACGTTGAATAATTAGCATGAAAAGTTTTGAAAAAAACTCCCTCGGTTCATTTGTTATCTTTCACTATAAAGATGAGAAAAAATAATAGAATGATTACAATGAACTGATAAAATGCGTTACTTGTTACCTTAAACTAATTGCGTTTATTTTCATTTAACTGCACTTAAGATTAAATTTCAATCAGGTATTCCAACGGATTGCTCATTAGTAACTTTAACTGCTAGTTTTAACTGCTAATTGAAAAACACTCGGTAAGCTTGAAATAATCAATTTGATGATTATTCTTTTCAATTGTTTAATTTTTTCATACGGCGAAAAATTTGAAAGCAAAATTAAAATGACTATTACAGTTTGACAGTGACAACAACAATTAATAACGGAGCATTTTATCGATACTTTAAAATAATCGATATTTTATCGTAAACTGATCTCTCGGTGATGCCCAGGAACGACGAACTAATTGAATTATAACGTTCACAAGACGACTTATAATCACTGGAAGATAAAATTTTAATGATGACATGTCTATATTAATCGACTTGTTAACCGATAATTCGGTGGGTATATAAGTGGCTATACTAATTCGAGAAGATAACAATGTACGGTGTTTACTACGTGCTCGATAGTCGTCACTCGAGAGTCGCGGTATGAAAGTGTCAGTGCTATACACGCGATCGACGACTTCTCCTTCAGTGTCACATCATCACGGTACAATCGCGTCCAGGTTGAGGACACGATGGACAACCTCAAGAAAAACCCCGGAAAGGTCAGTGTCAATTTAAGTAGAAAAGAATCACGTGAGTTATGTACATAACTGTTATAATATGTTGGTATGTTAGTGCAGCGATAAAAATTTTATTGCGGCTTTTTTTTCTTTCATTCGTTTAGAGATTTATTCAGGCAGTTGTGAGCTTTGGTGATAATGTGTTGCACTTCGATTGCATTTTCTACTTCTTTAATAATTTCATTCGGAAAAGATTGAAAAAGTCACGTAGTCTACTTTCAAGACACATCAGAGTTTAATCGGGAATTGGATACTTTCTATGCCATTAAATGATGGTAGTGTAGCTATAATGTATTCTATATAGAATATTAACCGTTACGGCGCTCGGCGAAATTTGAAAAACTGTTATCGCGGCTCGTTGCGAAAATGTTTTAGCGTGTTATCGTGCATACAGATTATAATTCGAACGACCTGCACGCACATAAATTGTATAGTTTTTCATCTGTATGAAACTGCACACATGATCGGAGATCGTAACGCAATTTTGCTAATAGGAATTCCCCACAAACGAATATAAATCGACCATTTTCTCTTTTTTTCTCTTTCTCTTTTTTTTTTCTTTCGTAAGGTATCAGTGTATCAATTTGAATTACAATGAACTTTCGTTGTAAATCGAGAATATCAAATAAACGAATTCCCGCGGAATTTAAATTTTCCTAATTACGTCGTTGTAAGCTAGGAATTGCCAGATGAAGCGATAAAATAGCTCATCCGCACGTATACACAATATCTTCGAGTTGACAATTAATTTTAAGTCAAGTGATAAAACGAATACCGTAGTACTTCATTCTTAAAACTCGTCAGACAATCGTGAATTCTTTCGGGTAACACCTTCTTATCAGCAAGATTAAGCGAGTTATTGAAATATTTGCGCAGTCTGTATTTCAGGTCCCTCTGCGTGTGCATATACCACACAAAGATATGAAAAATTTACCTCCGTAGTTTCGCCTCAAGTTTGTATAACGATGCGGGAAAAAACATATGATTCAATATTTTAATATTGCACGATTGCATTGATTCAATTATAACTCATTTTAACCAACTCGATTATTTAAAAATAATTTTTGAAGAGTAACTCTTCGAAACATCGGCTTTCAATTGTTTAGCCGGAGTGACGGATAATAACTTCGTTGAAGAACAATTATTTTAAAAAGTTTGGCTTCATTATACTAGCTACAATTAAATCATAAACACAATTACCGAATCGTTTATTTTTTCCGCGTCATAACGCATACTCGAGACGAAAATAGGGAGGCAAATTTTCTACAATTTGATATGTATAGCATACCAGTAGAAGGACATTAAAACTCATTAAAAATTAGTTCGTCGGAAATTGGATACTGGAACATTTTTTATTTCATATGTAAGCTTTTATTATAACTAAATATTAACTAATTAATTAATATATATGCAGCTGTGTATGTAAAAATTGTATGCTAAATTACGATAATTTGAATGTTACAAATTCCACACTAGAGTACTATTTATATTTGAACAAATAACATTTCTTGCGCGAAGCGAAGCAGTACCTAATGCACTCCGTTGCCAAAACAAAAAAGAAGGAAAAAAGTTTACGGATATCCAAGACTCTCCGGTCTGAGTTGATTGTCTTTAATCGAAAGCGTCTGCACAATCCGCACCGACAACAACATTAATGCAGCTGCTCGCCGTCATTAGGGAATCCGTTTGTACAGGCACGACAAAAACAAATATAACCGCACGTATACGCTAGGCTTTCTTGTCGCCAAAGCAAATACACGCGCGCGCGTGTACCGCCACGGTCCCTCGAATGTATTATAATTGCTCGAGAGAAAGCTAAATGAGAACAAATCCAATCGCGGCGCGTTCTATTTGCTTAGCAGCTTGAGCTTATTATATCGTGGAGTTTAACGAAAACCAGAGAAAACAGTTTGGAAGATTATATGATGGTCGTTGTGCGAGTAACCTACATTATAAATATATGTAGTCTAGGGGGAAATCATGAGAAGTGTTGGTTAAAAATAATACACGTTAATGAGCCATGAATTTGGCGGTGCTTTCACTCGAGAGACTAATTCATTTCTAGCCCCGTACACAAGAGTTGAATTTGATTTTTCGTTTTAAAAATAAACAAAGGATGGTCGTTCATTTCGTCTGCGAGCTTGTAAAATCGAGCAATTTCGAAACGGAAAAGCTTGCCTCGGATAATGTTATTTTGTTTTACAGCATTACTCACTTGTTAAGCTTTTTGCCAACGCAAATGCAAATTTTCATTTACTTTTTCTTCAAAGCTTTTTTTTTCTTTTTGCAAAGACTAGGGTTTGGTCGCGATAACGCTTTTTTCGTGTGTTCGTGAAGAATAATCGGACAGATTAAATTTTCACTGCGCAGCTGTGCAGGACAAAATTGTATGCTAATCCGCGATAATTTGAATCTTGAGTGCTGTTTTCTTTGTAGAAATATTGACTATGACTTTAAACTTAAAGTAGAAATAGCTGAATTGTCTTCATTGTACATCAGGGGAAATCGAGCGTATGTTTTTGAAATGATCATCGATTATTAACAGCTGCATCTTTTATTTGCCTTAGAATATTAATCCTCTATCAAAGTTTCACTATCTTTTATCACTTAACCAATAGTGTAATACAATATAGCTAATTGAAATTAAAAAAAAACGTCAACTTTCGATGCAGAAATTGAAAAGTCATTAACAATTAAATATTTATAAATTCTACATTGCTGCATAAATACTGGAGAAATAAACAAATGTTTAATGTTTCGCAGATGAGCAGTCCGTCGTTGATAGTCGATAGTTCGCTAGTTGATCTGCAGAGTGGAGGGGATCGCAAGAACTGGGCGAACCCCCTCGAGTTTGTGCTGTCGTGCGTCGGCTACGCCGTTGGAATTGGCAATATCTGGCGCTTTCCATACCTCGTCTACCGTAATGGCGGAGGTAGGCACGTAAAACTGATTTTCCAGATGTGAAAATAAACCGATGTACAAGCAGTCGGCTTAACGAGATCAATGGGAGAGGAAGAGAAAGAGTCGTTGACGTGTCTAATAGTCGCACTGGAGGGAATATCGATTCGCAAGGTCTCCGAAGTGCCGACACGTCAACAGCATATTCATCTTAGGATTAACACGAGAATCGCATCTCACAGGTGCTTTCCTCATCCCCTTCATCCTGATGCTGCTGACGATGGGCATGCCGATGTTCTTCCTCGAGCTGGTTATCGGCCAGTACACGGGCACTGGCCCGACCAAAGCTTACGCACGAATGGCACCGCTTTTCCACGGACTTGGTTACTGTACTATCGTCGTTATCTCTCTTGTCACCATCTACTACATGGTCATCACCAGCTGGACCTTGTTCTATACTTTCGCTTCGTTTGCTCACCGCCTCACTTGGGCCTACTGCGACAATCAGTTCAATTCAATTAGTAAGTGTATAATTATTATCGATTGGCTTTCTTGTTGCATTACCTTTTTTCACGCGGTATATATCTGAACCGAAATAGAGGTAGGGGACAACGCAGTCAAATATTCATGTTAATCTGTTAATTTATTTGGAATTTTTAATTATAAAATCAGATATACCGCAAAAAGCGATCATCTTTTTAGCTACATAAATTTGACAATTTAAAATAAATACAGGAGACCGATGTTGTAATCAGATTTTCGACAAATTGATATTACTGTAAATGTAATACAGCAGAATAAACAATCACGGCATATTCATCAGATTGTTACAGTGGTATCCAGGACACCGAGTGCCAACGTACTTCGACGGTTTTCTATCACGGCAACTGCACGCCAGTCGCCGAGATATGCCAGGACTTTGGTCTAGCGAGCCAGTCGGGGGATTTGATGCATTGCTTCAATGTGTCAGCTGCCAGTGCCCATGAGCCGATCGAGCTGCGAACGCTCTACACCAGGGTACTCTCGTCCGAAGAGTACTTCAAGTGAGTCAAGCGAGTACACTTATGCATCGAGCTTTACTCTATGGATCCGAAAAACAATGACAAACTCGCCAACGATCACTCACGATTGTTATACGTCGATTGTACACAACGTGAAGCGTAGCTTCGCCATTACCAACTTGCCGGCGCGTTAATCCGAAAGCTCAAATCTGCCGCATAGCCAAGGCAATGATTGGAAATTAATGGTCAAACGTTTGGACAGCGATTACGTTTTAGGAGTGCGAGGCACCGATTGGGAGCACTGGGGCGGCATACGCTGGGAGTTGCTCGGTTGCCTCAGCCTCGCTTGGATTATCTGCTACTTCTGCCTCATGAAGGGCATCCAGTCCGTGGGGAAGATTGTCTACTTTACCGCTCTCTTCCCCTACTTCGTGCTGATAGCTCTGATGTGGAGAGGTGAGTTGAATCCACGTGCAGCTCGCTCGATCATCCATATTTATTGTCGCGACACTCCGACCAGCATGAGAAAAATCAGACGCGAAGCGAGTTCGGCCATTTTACGCGATGAACGTTAGACGCATATAACGAGGAATATTATTAATCAGCGTAAAAGCTCGCTCGCAATTTTTTCTCTTTCCTCCCTTCTTTCTCTCTTTCTTTATATCTAGGTCGCCCAGTTTTACAACTCGTTCTGTATCTTAAGTATCTCATTATAAGGCGGCGTAATAGAGGGCGAGTGTGTGAAGTGAATGTACTAGTTTGAATTACCATTCTTTTAACTACTCTCAAGATGAAAATGCTGCTTTCTTCATACTGAAAACTAATTTTCAAATTCATACATACGCGTTAGCTTTTGCATTTTCATGAATATTTACGAAACAACCATATGATTTTCATAAAGGATAACTACTGCATACAGTAAACAATGGATGTGCACGTACGCGCAGTATTAAAAATTTTAATAAAAAATTTACAAACGCATCTTTGCAATTTATTCAACGGCAAAGTAGCTCTCGAGCAATTACTTTTATATAATTACAGTTTCGCGAAATGAAATATAGAGGATAAATGAGCGAGCGTGCAAGCCGCTTGGAAGTAATCATTATTACTACTTTGGAAATTATCATAATGCGAATAAACAAAGAAGGGCTTTTATTTTCTTTCACTTATTAATAGAAAAAAACGTGCAATACACCGGCTCTTCCTTTTTTCTCGGGAAATTGTAGCATAGCAGTCATGTTCGCTGATATGAAAACGTCAAATTCCCCGTAACGACAGCATCTCTAAAGTATATATCTCGCGGCAACGACGACGTCGACGTGCCCAGAGTCAAGTTGAACTCTTTGCAAAAAGTCACGAACGCTTAGTTATCTTGTTGCTTCTGTGGCTCCCTAAAGGGTATGTGGCTGGCCGTACGATGTCATCCCGTGGAAAACTAAGCGGTTTAACCGTAGCCTTTTTTTCTTATAAATCCTCCACATTAATTCAATTATCACACTTGATATTTGTATAAGACCGAACGGTTCGCGACTGCGCATTGCGATATTATTATTTCAAAAGCTGTGTTTATTTTAACTTAAAAAAAGTCAAACGCCACTAGTGGAAAAGTCTTGTTTTTGAAATACAAACGTGACCTTAATATGGCGTGTAAAAGAATCAGGAAAGCGCGACATCGTAGGTAGGTCAGGTCGCGAGCGCACGAGCAGAGAAACGTTAGTGCAGGAAAAAGCGGTGTATTTTTCATTCAAGAACAATCGCCGAAAGCGATCGTAAAGTAAAATTAGAAATCGCACTCTTATTCCGTGTTGGAAAAGCACAAAGGGGTAAATTCAGACCTTTTCTCGCAGTCTAATTCAACGAGACTAGAATGTTTCAACCATTCGATGCCGAGATCATGATTAACGCATTACTGTTGTTGACAATGGCGCAGGTGCTACACTGGAGGGTTCGTTGAAAGGTATCGTGTGGTACATCACACCACGATGGTCGCAGCTACTTAAGGCTGGTGTCTGGGCGGACGCCGCCTCGCAAGTCTTCTATTCCCTGGGCATTGGCTGCGGATCCCTCGTCACGCTCGCCAGCTACAGCTCCTTTACCAACAACTGTCACAGGTATATATCCCCTGCCATTCGTTCGTACTGCCGTCGCCCCTCTCTCTCACTCTCTCTCTTCCTTCTTTCTTACACCACTGCTTTTTCTCTCGCCAGTTAAGCTTTACGCTTCTTCTTCTGTTTTTTTCCTCTCGTTTTGCTGGAAAATAGACAAAAGTATTCGTTGTTTCTTACATCGATATCGAGGCCAAAGAATATCAGGAATGCAGAAATAGACATCGCGTCTTAAGGCTATTTAAAAAACACTAAGTCCTGTTTTTTTTATATTACCTTCGTCGTCGATATGTTCACTAGTACGGTACATCTAAAATTAGTCAATTTAGTTCAAGCTTTTTTTTTAGAAATCCATTGTCTAGTAAGCGAATTTCATTGTACAATATAAATTTCCGGTGATTTACGATCAGAAATCGATATTGGAAAACTCATATGCTTTTCTGGAATACCAGCAATAAATTCTTCATACATACAGTGGTGTCAGTACGCCGATAAATCTTATATTATAAAGTTGCATTTCTTTATTTCAAATTCTGAATTTTCTAGTTTTGAACAATGATTCGCATCTTCAAAACTTTCGATTTCATCGATACATAAGTCATTATGTTTGTTTCTTCGAGCTGAATTGCCTGCAAAATAAAAAGTATACATTTGTCAGAACCGTTGCGAGTAACAAATAATTGCTGTTTGCGTCTTTGCGCGCTAGTCCGTTCATAAATCGAAATCATCGAGTCACGCAAAAAGAGAATGCTTATATACTCATAACGGAATAAAGTCTTGCCAGTGGTTATCGGCCTCATTACAATAATGAACTGCCAGCATTCCTATATCTCCTTTTTTCCACCTCCTACTTGCACACAGACAAGTCACAAATCCTTTTTAGCACCGTTGTTTACGTGCGACCAAATTTTTCATACTTACGCTATCGTTAAGTCCTTCCGGTCGCACGTGGAGATAAGGGCGCTTTCGCTTTTTTTTCTTATCTCCCGATCTCCCTGATTCTTCATAAAAATTCGCAATTTGTTACTCGATTCTCTCTCTCTCTCTCTCTCTCTAATGAAAGATGATAAAACGATTTAGTCACTCGACGGAATAACTATTGCCACAAGACATCCATTCTATGAGATTGCTGTGATTTCAACCTATTTGATCCTTCTAGCATTATTTCGTGCTTGCTGATCGATCCGTTTGGAGAGTTGTGGAAGCGATAAACTGGTGAGATAAATCCGGTTCGCTTAAAGGAAATCAAAACAGTTTTCATCCATGATACTTCTTTTACTCTGCACGATTTCACTTGAAAGATATGGTCAACATAAAAAAAGAAAAATTCATTTTATGTATGAAATTATAATTACAAGAACTTGTTCATCTAACAATAATTGTTTATTCTTGAAATATAGGGATGCAATATTCGTAACAATAACCAACTTGCTGACGTCGGTATTCGCGGGCTTCGTGACTTTTTCGATAATGGGCTTTCTTGCGAATCAGATGCACCTACCCATTGACGATGTAGTACGCAGTTCCACTGGTCTTGCCTTTATTGTCTTTCCTGAGGCAGTCGTAAGGATGCCTCTACCAAACCTCTGGGCAATTCTATTTTTCTTCATGCTGTTTATCCTCGGTCTCGGTAGTCAGGTAAATATACACACATGTTTTATCTATCCTGCACGAGTGTTGGTAAAATGGAATCTCAGTTGTTTTTTTTGTTTTGTAAAACCGCTGATGCAGGATTGCCAGGAATAAAATACCTCGTAATAAAAATATCTAAACAAATACGGGATTTGTTTTTACAACGTGGCAAATTTATTTATTTATACTCTTATTTTTTATTTATTTATACCAACGTAAATAGGCAGCTTGCAGCATACAGCTGCAGAATAGCACGAAACTCTTAAATACAGGGTTGGTATGCGTATAAAAATATGAAACAATCTCAATAGTTAATTACTAGGTACTTATTACCAAAGAATGCATAGTATAAATTATTACTTATAATATAAATTATTACTTCTGATCCAACTTTTCAGTTGTTTCTTTAATAATCGTTTTTTTTTTAGTTTTTAAGATCTTTCATTCATAAAGTAATAAGTTAAAAGTCTTGTTTGCAAATGTACACATAATTATTTTTTAAATCTTCACAATGGTAAAAAAGCGATTCGACAGTAAATTTTGTATCCAGTTTTAAAGGATAAACATCTTTCATACAAGGATTCTCACTGTTGATTTTAGTAACTTATTTTGTATATGTTATAATGGAGGTCAGTCCTACCCCATACAGCACTACCCCATACAACTATTTCACGATTCAATATACCATGAAAGATATAGCTAATTTTAGTTATTCCGTTATAGTTCGATGGATTCTGAAGTGAAAAATAACGTTCCATAGCACCAAATCAAGCTATAGTAACAATTTTGATATTTTTTTAAGTCAAGAAATTTACCAATCCTATAGCAGGCCGAAAAGTTTCTAATACCATTGATGCAGCAAGTTTATTATAAATCTCTGAGAGCTGCTACAATATAATTGCTCTTCGAGACCATTAAACTTTGCTATTTCGAATGGAAAAACTGCAGCCGTTTTTAGTTTCGAAACAATCTGGTATAAAGTATACAGGTATAGGGATATCTCGGAAGATATGTGCTCTCTCAAATGAAGTACGTTACATTGTCGCGCGGTGACCTGCAAAAGCAAGGATCGCCGAGTTTGCGACGAAAAAAGAGAAAAAATGGCGCGACAGCAGCAGCACACGATAAGAGCGCGCAGGTGAGATTTTTGTTGGGCGTGCTACAGAGACTTGCTTTTGGCATCGTGCCAATCCTCCTTTTTTTCACCGCCCGCTGGCGAGCTCACCGAAGTCGAAAAGGGAAAGTGTGCCCAGGAGTTAAACGTGAGCGAAATACGAATTTGTTTTTTTTTTTCTTCTCGTATTTTTCCGTTGGCTTGCGCACTTGATGACTTTATTGCGTTCGTAGCTGATTTACTGTTCGGCGCTTGCAATTGTTGTATTTGCCAAGAATAACATCTAATTTTCTTGCTCACCTAAGTGAAATAACTGTTATCGACGCCAAGTTAATTAAAGAAGTTGTCGTGAAATCAATAGCTCTAAAAAGTTAATGGTGAGAGATTGAAGTAAATTAAAGAGTGCTTATGAAGATACGACAGGAGGTATTACATTTTTAGACAATAAATGATATTTCGTCTGCGGAATTGAGAACAGTTGATCAAGTCATTATGACAGACAGTGCTTTGCCAAGCGTCGGTCTCAATGACATTAGGGAGCATCGGAATGTTTAATAACGAACGCCGTCACTCTCAGTTTGCAGGCGTTCAAGCGATAAGCGGAGCCATCCTCGACATGCGACCGAGTTTACAAAAGTACGAAGCTCGAGTTACCCTAGTGATATGCTTCCTAGGTTGGCTACTAGGCATTCCGATGATTTTCAACGGTGGAGCTTACCTCTTCACCCTGATGGACTGGAATACGGCCGCTTGGGCTATTCTACTTATTGGTTTCGCCGAACTGATTTTACCAGCTTGGCTTTACGGCTGCGATCGTCTCTTCGTCGATCTCAGTGATATGGGCATGAAATTTGGACGAACCCTTCAAGCTTACTGGCGATTTAGTTGGATGGTCGCCGGCCCTGTCACTGCATTGGTGAGTAAGGTGCCTGACTGTACGCGAGTATTTTCACTTGGTTCACCCGAGGTTGCTTCGTGTATTGCGTAGAGTTCCACGCCGAAATTAACTAACAATAATAATTCGATATTTTGTATGCTGTCAAAATAATAAACATTATAAAATAACGTGCGATCGATATAATCATACTCGATAATTAATTTACATATTTATTTAATTATAAATGTTTGAAAGTTCAGATGTTAAGGGATTGATATTAATTTTCAATTCGATCACTAAGCCATGTACACTGAATAACTCACAAACTCGATGTGAAAATGTGTATTACGCGCGTGCAAATTCAATTTATCAGGCAGACTCATTGAAAATTCATAACTGTTTTTTGCTTGCAGGGCGTGTTCGCCTATCAGATGTACACGTACCAGGCGGCCAAGTACGGTGACTACGAGTTTCCAGCGTGGGCCGATGCCATCGGCATACTCATTGGCCTGTCGACGCTCCTACCGTTTCCTTTGTTTTTCTGCTATCGACTCTACGTTGGCCCGGTAAGTTTCACGAGGGCATCGATTATTTTTGCTCGCCTGTTGCGACTATTCTCGTAATAGTCAGAGAATTTCTGCTCCCTTTCTGCTAGACGTAACGTTCGTGGCTTTCGAAATAATCGTGACAATAATATTTGCTCTGCAAATCGATTTTATACGGTAACTTTAATTGATAAAATAGTTTGGCTTGAGATATAGGAGTCTACTTTCACAGGATGTACGTTTGCGAGGCATCCGATATATATTGATTAATTAATTTTAACATACGGAAATGTAGATCACGACATCGTGGAAATTGATTGATATATCAAATAAATATTTCACTTACCTTGCTAAACTTTGATAGTAAGCGCGATCACACCATCAATTCACAAACTGCCGCACGACAATAGCTGTCGAAGAGTTACGCTAACTCTCATATCTTCGAAAGTCCCAAAAGAACGCTCAACTTTTTAGCTCCCTTGAACTACTGGAACTTTGACGTTCGACTCTTCAGCGATTACTCATGCGTCCAGGTTCTCACGGGATTTTCCGTCTCCTCCTCCCTCCCCTTGCCTTTGTGTCTTTGAGCGCCAGAGGTCAAACCATTGAACACTCTTTCTTTGTTTGATTCATTCTGTTAACAATTTACAGAGAGATTGGAGTCTACTGAGACCGACGTCATTATGGGGGCCGGTAAAGAAGAGTGACGAAAAGCTCGCTGTGGCCTGCATCGCCGCTGCGGCAACTTGTAATCCGGCATTTATTTCCGACTCGCAAGCTTGATTCAGTACGCGAGCGCGCGAGAAAAGGATGTATGCAGATTGGCGCATTTGACTTGCAATCGTTCGAATTTGTTCGAGTGCGGACGAGTACACACTGCGACAGCAATATGCATGAAGCTATCTACCCGCGAACGAGGATTTACGTCCCGAGTTTAGCCAGAATACTATGTTAATCCAATGTCCGACCAATTTTTTATGCGTGTTTTACAACTACTTTTTTAATGCTATATTTTTGTAGGTAATGTCTTTTGTTAATTTAAATAGAGCTATCCTATACTTTCTTTGACAACGGCAATAACTTTGAGGCTTCTTCTTGCTCTGTTAATAAACGATTCAATATTCTATTAATATTAGACGGGCAAGCTCTTTGTATTTTTCTTTCATCTTTATTAATCATTTATTAACAGTTCATGTACAATATAATCTATCAATTTACTATTAATCATTCAGTTCGTAACAGTAAATTTACATATAAAATACTCTCCACTACAGACCTCACGTGTAACTAATTGAAAGTTTTATTTCAGTTATCTCTGCAGTATTCGAAACGAACGTAGTTCTTGAATTAATAATAGTAATAATAGTAATACAATGGTTTGACTTATTCACGAAGTTCTTCAGACTAATTGTTCTTAATGATACGGATAATTTGAAAATTGACGATGTCTTCCAATTATTCTACATACCGAATTTTTATTTTCTATTTAAAAATAAAATGTTCCCATCGTGACAATACGTATTTTATGAATTAAACGTAAATTTATCCAAACTCATCTTAATTAAATATTAAAAAGAAATTCCGCAATAAACTTCCCTTAATAAAATATCATTGTAAAATAAACTTTGACCACAAAGTACTTTGATATTATTTTTTAAATTAAAAAAAAGTTTTGTATACTTAAGATTTTACTTTACGAAATCCTCTATATCTATATCTAAAAATATAGATAAACATTGATTTTCTCTCGAAAGGTAGCGTCATAAATGCGTTATCGTACCAATATCCTCGAATACTGGCATCTTTTTTCACATCAGCAATATGAAAAAAAAACCAACTCTTGCCTGCGCTCGTACGTACGTTCGTTTAGAGCACGAGGTGTACATAATTTATCCGCATGGTGCCGTACTTCCGCGCGATAACGGCCGCAGCCCGGCGGAAATTGGCTCTCTGCAACTTGCCGCATTTGTCCTAATAATAAAAGTTTTGCGTGAATCCCCCGAAGATATCGCACGCGCATTTATGTTTCATTATCGCCTATTACATTTGCTCGGCTTAGTTTAATAAGCAGCATCGATCCGACCGATCGAGAGGGCACTTTGTCGCCAGTAAAAGTATAAGAAACAAACTTAAAGTAGCTTGCTCCATAGACGAAAGGTTATGCGAAAGGAAAATTTGCTGCTTAACTTTCGCGAGAGTTAAACTTACTTTGGGCCTTAAATCTACTTTATAGCTCTCCAGCAAGCGACTTAGAAGCTGGTGCCGCGATATTCTGGTAAGTTATTGAATTTCGCTCTTGCATATCATTGCTTGTCTTCTATCATTATCACTTGTATGTGCTTGAAATTAGCTGTGTCAAATGTGAATAGTAAATAGTTCCTTGTGGAAGGCCGTATATTCGGCCAATAGCACATGTCTCTCTTCGTCGTTCCTCACTCAAAACAATTCACGAGCAAATGACCAAAGTCGGTCGAATTGAAAACAGAGCTAGAACAGAGCTTGCGGTTTAGCGGTGTTCAAACACACTCCTCTTCTCCCAAGCGGTCCACTCGGAGTCACGAGAGTCGGCACGAGCTACTGGCATTCTTCCTAAGATTCGCCGGTAGTCTTGTGTCAAAGCTGCCAACTTCACTTTGAAGGTTGTTAGCGTGCTTGCGTGCGCGTAAAGCAATCCCTTGAATTTCATCGCTATGTATATACAACTAATCCTAGAAAAATAACTGCATTGGTCAAGCACTGGCTCGTTACATTTTCAAACTGACTGAAAGCTCTTGATTGAACGTTTTTCCAACTACAAACATCAAACAAAATTGTACTTCTCTTCCTTCTAATGTCCTTGTTTTGTCCTAAGAAGTCATATAAAAACTACACAATTTTCCATAGCTTTCTCAAGTTTGTAATAAAAAACCAAACATGGTAGCGTTAACTTGATACCAAATTCCATTTCTACGGATCAATATACGTACGTTGAAAATTGCATCTTTTTTTCATGCAGTGCTTTTTTCAGTAAGCTTGAAGAAGAATTATGTATGGCGAACAAAACGTCTTTAAGTGGAATTCTCCACACACACACACACACACACACACACACCACACACATACCACGCACATCATGTAATTCGGCCAAATAGCTAACATAGTTGAAAATCATGTTACTGTACTGGAATAGCTTTCATACCGGCTCGTATTAGAAACACGAGTCGTGCAATTGTAAAACTATGATATATATAGATATAATACTCCCTTTCGATTCCTGTGTATATATTATTGAATAATATGAAACAGAATGAATGTTCACAAGTACTGTATATAGAGTTTGATTTTACGACAAAGCCGATTACTTACATAAAATACATTCATGTACAAACGCAATGCATCAACCGATAGTCTTTCTGTCACAATTAAAATTTGAAAGGAGAGAACGAAAGTGCGCAGATACAATTTTGGTATTTCCAAAAATTGATGTTTTGCAAGCGATAAAAAGGAAGTCGCCACAGGTGGGTTTCCAATGGAAATGGTTGAGGGGTAGCATCGTAATGAAAAACGCGTGCGATAGGAGCACATATTCAGCGCTTAAAAGCGTCGGTAACGAAGAGGCAAGGAGGGGCGATCGTATCGATCCGCGGTGGCGGTTGTTTGCCCCCCATATACGTATGCACGTGGCTTAATGCAATGCAATTTGCCCTCCGGCACTTTGACAGCCAATTGGCATATGTACCTTCCAATTAGATTAGACATGCCACGACAGCCATCGAAACTCGCAAATGAGAAGAACCTTTCGTAGGCTACCATTAAAGTTTCATTTTCGTTGCATGTGGGAGGAATGCTGTAATCTCTTGTGCGATTTTCGAGTCATTGGCACGGATATCGCTTGCGCTAATACATGTGAAATTGATGTTAATCAATGTGTAATTAGACCCAATTCAACGGATAGAATATAATCAAAGATAATTAAGTCATCATTATGTATTAATTTTAATCGAAGCGAAAGTCACCTGATGATAGACAAAGTGATTGATGTATAACATCGTTTGAGAATTTATCACAATATGTAAAATTTTGATGATCTAAGTATAGAATTATTCTAAGGATAATTATAACAGATTATATAGAACGAAATATATAGTCTAAGATCTATAAGTATCATTTTATGTAATTCAAGTGAATTTTGCATCGAGATCTAAGCGTTAATAAAATCAGCACATCGTTTACTAAGATTAATTCGCTTAGAATGGCCTTATTTTTTGTTAAAAAATAACAGTCCTCGAGATACAAATAAAACTGCAGGTCAAGCGAGGTAGGTTCAAAAGGAGAGCTGCTCTCGAGCACTGATTCATAATAAGAAGTCATAAAATCTGTGAAAGGAATTCTCGGATGTCCTGCAAAGAAAGATCAAAGCGAGAATAGCTTTTACACGGGTGCTTGCTTTCTATCACGTTAACGCTTGAGTGGCAGCTATTTTCTGTTAAATCTAAATTTTCTAAGAAACTCCGAAGTAAGTTTGAATGCCTGTATCGTAGCTGTGTTTTATCACGTAGAAAACATTCAAACTATTGACTTCATTCATTTATAAATGGTGTTTTTATAGTAGTTTAATAGCTTCGAGAGAATTTGACATATGAATGTGAACTAAATATTTATTTATAATTGATGAAGACTACGCCGACCTGTCTTTAATCTATAAATCTATAGGTTCATTTATAACTGCCACTATTCTGTACTTTTACCAGCGATAAATTGTCGACAATTAGTACAGGATAATTAAATTGTATCCATACCTTTCGTACGTACATTTATCTCTGAATATGATGAGTAAAAATAACGAGACAACTTGTAGAAATCTCGTATTGTCTTGAATACGCAGCTTGACAAGCCCCAGGCTAATTGTGCAAGCAACGCTTACAACTTGCTAATGCCACTTGAGAGTATGCTATTCACGTTAAGTTGTTATCTATTTATAATGAGTATAAGTGATGTGTAATCCTCGCATGAAACTCAATAAATCATTTAAGTTTGAATAAATTTATGTTGAGGGAAATTTTGACGAAATTGCTATGGAATAATCTACGTCGAGTTTGAAATTAGATTACAGCAGCTCTTGACAATCACTTTGCAGATGTATTTTACAAAATCATTTCGATTCTAAAGTGTTTGAATAAATCTGATAAGATAAATCGATAAAACTACTTGGATATCAAATCAACGTTAACATTTTTCGGAAATTGCGCTCTATCACTTCTGAAAAGTATCCCTTGCGGCAGATTTAGCTATTTATGTATGCTTTTGTTATTTATTTTATTTTATTTTTTAAAGTCAAAACGGCGATATATTAATTATAAAACAGCTTATTTGCAACAGGTTATTTGTAAAACTATATTTTTTGTTATATTGCTTTATCAAAGTATATAAAACGCTAAACCGCAATAGAGAATTGTCAGAATTAAAGATTTTGTAAACTTCATCATTCAGTTTTATTTTTTCAATATTTTATTTTACGAAAAAAACGCGTTTTTTATTTATTTTTACCTTGATCTTTTAAATGTGGCAGAAACTACGATATAAAATATGTTAAAAAAATTACAAATGTGAAAGCGTCCAGAAAAATTAAATATATATAGCTATAAAAGCTATACGAAAATTTAAGACTTTGTGACGTAATGTATCTCTCATAAAGGTGGCGGGGCGTCGTTTCATTTCCCGATCATCGAGACATGCCGTTTTTCATTCAACATACTCGTACACTACCGTCGAGGCGTCATTAGGTGGCTTCCGTCAACCCTGTGTATTTTAATTACAAAGCGGTATGTAGGTCAGGTTGGATGGAAATATAAATGGCAAGCTTTTCATTTTGAAAGAGTCTCTTTTCTTTTTCTAAGAATTTATAATTACGGTTTACTTCATCCCTAGTATTCGTTTATATGGAAATAACGGTATGTATAAATACAGAGCTCAGATAATCAATGGATTGTTAATTGAGAATAAAGCGATCTATATGGGTTATGATTACTAGTCGCATTTGTTAACAACACACATACGAACGCGTGCGACGATTCTGAATCAACGTACTGTGAAATAAGTTCAATTGTATAGGTGAATTGAAGGCAAACCAATAAATCATTTAGTTGAACTTAAAGAACTGAAAAAGACACACTGACTTTAATCAACGATACAATAGTGCCTTATATGTATCCCGGCCGGCAAATTGGCAAATCTATAGCACGTGAGCAGCTTCGTTTCACCTCAGTTGTCAATTCTGACGTGCTATGAACTTACCTATATTTTCCCGGCCTGGATACGTAATCTACTACTATTTCAAACCTTCAGGCGTCACTACAGTGACAGTTGATCGTCCGACTATAAATTCAAATTTGACAACTTAAAAGTTTACAGCAAGAATAAGAAACAAAGTGCGATAACAAAGAAGGAAAGACGTCACAGACGAGCTCGAGTGAGAAATATTTAATTACTCGTTGATATTTAGATCATTGATAAACACGAGTTCACGTTGTGATCTATAACACTCATTGATATTTTAATTAGCTCTAAATAGATTTTAATGATTCGAGACCGTAAAAATATGAATTCTTTTAAATTACAATAAAGATTCTTGAAAGTATATTTTGC